CACCAAATAGGACCGCTTCTAAATTGTCCACGCTTTCGTGGTGCGGTTCGGGGGGCCGATTTCGGCTCTTGGAATTAGTTCGGCGATCGCCTCCCGAATTGACGGGACCCGTGACAGATGGCCCGGAATGGCTATCTGGGTCAGGTGGCTATCAAAAGTAGATGAAAAGACTATCACATCGTCTAGGTAACAAAGACAAGTAGACCACTTATAACCATGCAGGAGAGAGTCCATCATTCGTTCGAATGTGGCAGGGGCGTTACATAGTCCAAAAGGCATGACCTTAAACTGGTATAAACCATCCGGTGTAATGAAGGTCGTCTTCTCACGGTCCTTTTCATCGACAGAAATCTGCCAGTAGCCGGACCGAAGATCAATAGACGAGAAGTATGTAGCGCCGTGCAGGCAGTCCAACGCGTCATCGATGCATGGTAGCAGGTATACTATGTCTTTTCGCGTGATCTTGTTGAGGTGGCGATAGTCAACGCAGAAGCGCCAGGTACCGTCCTTTTTCTTCAGAGGGACGACAGGGGAGGCCCAAGGACTACTTGATGGTTCTATGACACCTTTGTTCAGCATTTTATCAACTTCTGCTTGAATAACTCTGCACTCAGTATGGGAGACACGATAGGGGCATCGGCGAATAGGACTGGAATCACCAGTGTTTACACGGTGCTGAACGGTGGATGTTTGCCCGAGAGGTCTGTCGTCGAAATAAAAAATTTCGGTATATGACGCAAGAAGGGCGATGGATGTCGTTGGCTTGCACAGGATTGAGGTTGGGTGCAATCATCTTCAAGAAACGATTTGGCAGAGAACAGGTGCTGTTATCTACAGGAGACTGAAGCAAATTAATCTCAGTGGTGAGAGCCGCTATTTCGAATTCGTCAGCATTAGATACCCCGGCCAAGAACACGCCACGAGGAAGCACTTGAGGGCACAAGCTGAAATTGAGAGGTGGGAGCGAGGTACAGTTGTCAGTGACAGTCACAAGCGTATGGGGAATGGCGATGTTGCGGCTCAAAAGGATGTCGGCGAAAGGAAAGAGGACATATTGACCATCGGGAACCTGTGGCTGTGCGGTCAAAATGACGTAGGTGGCTGCCGGAGATGACAGTCGCACATCCTGTAGAAAGCACAGGTGCAGCGGGCAGTGTGGGGTTCAGCGACTATCTGAGGCAGCTCTAGCTGAAGGACGCCGGTAGCACAATCGACAATAGCAGAATGATTTGACAAGAAGTCCAGACCTAGGATAACATCATAAGGGTAGTGGTCAATCACGGCTAAAATGACAGAAGTAGTATGGATCTTTTATACTTAAGCGGGCAGTGCACAGACCGAGAACCATCGACATGCGGCCATCGGCCACACGGAGCATTTGTGCAGACGCTGGTGTCATAACTTTCTTTAAACGTGTGCTAAGGCTTGAACTAATGATTGAAATGCTTGCGCGGGTGTCTACAAGTGCTTGTACAGGTACACTGTCTACTTCAACGTCTATTCCATTTCGTCTGGTGGCAACGGAGAGAGGATTTGCTGCAGAAGTGGTCAATGCGGCATCACCTCCGGGACTGCATTTCTCAGTTTTCCGGGTCAATGCGGCCGGAAGCCATGGGGGACGAGAAGCGCCATGGTTGTGGCGAACAGGACGTTGGGCGACGTATTTGCGGTGAACGAGACTGGTGCCCACGTGGTGAAGGCGAGCGGCTGTACCAAGTGTTCCAAGAATGGTCAACAGCATTGGACTATTGGGTAGGTGAAAATGTGCGGGCGGTATTGTCGAAACGGGTCATATCGGTCGTTGCAGGAGGTGCCGAGGACCATGATATGTCCGATGCGGTGGCAGTTGAAACATATAGGCCGGTTATCTGCAGTTCGCCACTCAGCAGGGTTGCGAGTACGTGGAGAAAACCGTCGGTCAGAGGAGGACATCGCGATAGGGCGTTCACAGACTCTGGGCGCGGTGACATGGCACACGGAATGCACTCCGATGTTTTCAAGCTCCTGGCGCATGATGGCTTGAACAAGAAGAACAATAACAGGAGTGGTATCGGTACTGCGCGAATAGGACGCTGAGGGTGCCATTGCTTCCAGTTCGCGACGAACAATGCGTGTCAGGTCTCCCGGCGGTGACAGACGTTGTGTTGCGGACTGGCCCTCGCAAGTCGATGTTGCAGTGGTGTTTGGAAGTCGGGTGAATGTTGGCATAATGCGGCGACTTTTCACTTGCTCAAACTGACGGCACTCTTTGATGATCGCGTCCACGGTGGAACAGCCCTTGCACATCAGCAGATTGAACGTGTCGTCAGCAATCCCCTTCAGGACATGCCCGACCTTGTCACCTTCTGTCATGTCATTTTCGGCTTTTCGGCAGAGGGCCAGCACGTCTTGAATGTATGTGAAGTAGGATTCTGTGGGAGATTGGGCACGGCAGGCCAACTCCTTTTTGGCGGCGATCTTGCGACTCGCGGTTTTACCAAACACCTCTCGCATCTTTTCTTTGCATTGGTCCCAGCTTGTGAGTTCCTTTTTGTTGTTTTCATACCACACCTTGGCCGTGCCTCTCAAGTAAAACTGTACATTAGCCAATTGAAGTGTGGAATCCCATTTGTTCGGCACACTCACTCGTTCGAACATGAATAACCAATCGTCAACGTCGACGCCATCGGTCCCGCAGAATGTACCGGGATTCTTAAGTGGCGTGATAACGTATGGTTGTGACGCCGTGTTCGTGGGAGACGCTGACGTTGACGTGGAGGGCTCAGCATTGGTCTATTTGGAAAACCGATGCGACGTCGGCTGCAGAGCTCCGTTGCCTGATGGTTACGCAGCACCTCTCACCAATATGTTACGGCGTTAGAGACTTTTGTACAAAATGCGTTTGCAGAGGAAGACCCACAGGCAAGAGTCACAATGGCTGATTAACACCCTCGTGCGCCTATCAGCTGCTTGAGTTCTTCCTCTTCCTTTACTTCATCTCCGTGACAATATATATATATTCAAATTCGATTCGAAATTATTCGACCAAATTCACAATTTGCTTTAATTCACTTTGAACCTAAATTCACTATTAGCACAAGCCTAGTAACTAAACCAAATTTATTCATCATTCTTTTGGTCAGAATACATGATTTCGATTTGCATGTTTTGCTATGTGCGGCGTAAACCATCTTTTGGAAATCAGATAATTGGTGGCCCTAGACAGCCCCAGTGAGACCCATTACACATGGCAGCTTTGTTCTTGTTTCATTTGTCCACGATGGGTGCATAGCCAAAATGGCTCACAGCATAACATCAAGGTCAAATTTGCAGCTAAGTCTAGTGTTCTCTGTGACAATGCACAAACGACGACTCTTAAAATAATCTTATGAGTTCAATGCAATGTGCAACATACGAAAATAACACCAAGCTGAAAATTAGGACACTCACGGTAAAAATGTTAAGATGCTGCCAATTTCTTTGTGCTAACCATGTCACTAAGATACAAAGCATTTGCTTAACTGTGAAACGAAATGCTTGTATTCACTCAAACAAGAAGACCAAAAATGGCACCAATCAAGCGCATAGTTGTTGAGTAAATGAAGAGCAGAAACGTGCGTTGTTCACCTTCAATTTTAAAAACTGGATGCATGATTTTTAGAAACTGGACAAAGGTAAAAGTTTATGGTATTGAGTTACAAAAATTTGAAATAAGTCATATCATGATGTTCAGGAACATGAAGGGTAGGTCCACAAAAACTCAATTTTTCAGCTGATTATCAGTCCTGGAGAGCCATGTCCCCTTTTAAATGCACCATGAAACCTCGACTGTTTGATTAGCGTTGAATGCAAATGGTTACTAATTTTCATGAAACTACTTGTGTCCCATAAATTTCTGCAGAATGCAGAAACTGGTCTAAATACTATTCCTTGTGCATTTCAGCACAACTTTTTTAAAAACAGGACAGTCAAGATAAGAATATTTTTTGTGGCTAAATTTCAGAGCAGTTGGGAACATGGATATTTGAGATATCCATGTTCCATTTGAGAAATTATAATAAGCTCCTCCATCAACTGGGCATGCTGCAAGTGTAGATCAGAAGTCTTGCATTTCCACGGTCCAGCAAATGCTCTAGCAGCTCTTAACGTTACCTTCGCTGCACGGCTTTTAAGTCTCCTAGTCGCTGTCTTAGCCACACAGCTCTCGTAAGCCATGATGTTTGGGTTCCCCACAGGACATACATACATGAAATATTAGTGGGAACTGGTGATGTAGATATTGCATGCTTTGCAATTACATAGCTATTTTGGAGTGCAGAAGCTCAGAATTTTCTTTAGTTAGGAAAAGAGGTACTGCAAGTTTTTTCATGATGATGGGGTGAATAACCTGTGTGTGAAATAACATAGCTTGTCTCTTTTTGATTGTATGTTCTATGAGGGCCTTTTGACTATATGTGCTATGAAGGCATAACCCATAGAAGGGTTCCCTTATGGCTTCAGAAGGTGGTGAAGAAACGAGAAAACGTGATTGTTTAAATGTGCTTTCTGTTCACGGATCCTTAACCATGAAAAATAGGCGTTTAGCGTCAGATATTGCTTGTTTTGTATCCTTGTGTATTGTGTTGCGAGTCTCACAGTTCATATGCAATTGGACTTGAAATATTATTGATGCTACATGTTAACATCAGTGCTGTATGATTTTACTGACAACTTTTAGAAAGTCCACGATTTTCTCAGACCCTGCACACTACTGTATAAACTTTTTAGGCTAGCAGAGTTACAGGGCATGAAATACTACAACTTACTGTGGTTCCTCAGTGAGCAATCACATTTTGCTATTATTTTGCCTGATTGACTGAAACTGTGACTGATATAGCTAATATTCACTTGGAATTTCGACTCATTTTGCTAATCAGTCACAATTTCAATAGATAAGTTCACAGATTTGTCCAAGCAAAACACTCTGAGAGGGTGCACCGAGAACGACAGGAAGCCAAAAGAATCATAGGGTTGTGGCCTACCTGGAGGTAGTACTGGATGCTGTTCAGAAGGTGTGTCATTTCTGCCCGCAACAGCATCATGCCTTGCATCAGATCTGATTTGTGCAAGTGCCTTGCACGTGCAACCTTGCACTGAAGCACCCAGCACTCCTGAAGAAAAGTCTGAGCACGCTGCAAGCCAAACAGCAGCCGAAACAGTCGGTTGTATCTGTAAGACAGCCGCTGTGCTGAAGCCATTACACGAGTAAGTCTAATCTTGTGTCAATGTCATGCTGTTCCAAAACACGGTTTCCCCATTAACTCAGCCAACATTCATGGGACACAATTTATACAGAACAAAATGTAAGAAAAGATAGTTTTATAAGCATGTTTGTTTACTCAAAACTTCAGACACATGAAAGCACATTACATCCAATCTATGGAAGCGAGACAACATTTTTACTAGGCTCTCTTCTTCTAATCTTTAGTTAAGTGAACCAGGTAGCATCCTCAACAGGGCGCCACAGATTAGCATTGTTTACAGTAATTGTTGTACTCACTTTACCTCGATGCAACTTTCTACAGCGACATTTTATCTGTTCCCCCTCCCCAGCTGAACTTAGTAACTGTCAAAATCACAGTCGTAGTTGGGAACAATTTAAGCGTTGCTTTGCACAAAAAAAAATGTCATGCAGAAAAGTTCTAGCCCTAAGCATTAAGAAGTTTTCGAATAGGGGCCCCAGAAGTTTGCGGCCCCAAAAGCCCTTTTCGTATGCACGCTTTGGGTCAAGCAGTAGCGATGAGTTTTCGAAAAGGATCTGCGGCATTTTGGGGGCACTCTAGCCTTTGCCGAGAGCTGTCACTTCAGTGGGTTCCGTCAGGCTTGTCTGACACAAAACCTTTGGGGATCGTGCTAAATTCGAGAAATAGCGTTCTTGACCCAAAACCCAAACGCGGAGTGGATTTTGTGCATGTGCAGTTGCCTTGAAGCTATTTTTTCGGCGTGCCAATCTTTTTGGGGCCCCTATTCCAAAACTGTTAATTAACAACAGAGCTAATGCGGCACAATGAATTGTTCACCATACTGCATATGATACCCGAGCTTCCCAGAAAACTTACTTTGACATGATAGGCGGAGTGAAGAACACGTGAAGAAGTGGCTCAACCTTGTAGTTTAAGCCTATTGTCTCCCAGCAAGCCAAATGTGGCTCACTGCTGTCGTGTGCTGTAGGAAAGGCAAATAGATAAATTCATTATACACAAGGACGCGGTGCAGCATAATCTACAAAAGCATAAAATTCTCAATCTAGCAACTACAACAGCACGCGCACTGTGGCTATGTGAGATAGAGCCAATAAGAACCAGTCTCATGAAACAGCACGATTTTCAAGATAAGGATTAAAAAGGTCACTTGTAGTGCATAACGCATGCACTAAACTGCAACTCAGCATAGCACATCAGTGCCAGCTGTAGTTCAGGGCATAATAATGTCTGCAACAAACAAGATGAGCGGTGAACAAATCAAAACCTGTTTTCTGCAATGCGTATGTAATACATTTCTGTAATAAAGATGTGACGCAGCTTTTATTTGCAATGTATGAAAGGCACTAAATGGAGTTGTGCAAATTTTCTTGCAATGGGCTCGTCTTGGCATACAAAATGATGCTTTTCTGTAAAACATGCATGCTGCACTAAAACACGTAAACATCAATGTTCGTATGATGAGCTCTGACAGGCCTCCAGTAATGTAGTTGTGTGCAGTTCTGCGCGAATGCATTGAAATACGATAGTGCAAGGTGTCCCGTAGTGTACTTTAGAGCGAAAATCTCCTGAATGCTGGAAATAACACACAGATTCACCTCAAAAAATTTCTTTTGCCAGGAAACCCAGCATAAAACAATCAATGATACTCGTCTGCTAACCCTCTCCATATTCTGTCAGAACAAACTTTCTCGGAAAAGACATCTTAACACAGCATCCACTGCAGTCTACAGCACACTTTTTCTACCCTAATAGTTTAGCTTGTCTTTGCTTCAAACAACTACCTGCAGTGTAGCAAAGAGTTGCATGTACAATGCCGAAGCAAAAGACTATATGGTGCTTTATTCGGGCATTGATAAAGAGTGCCAGGCCGAGAGGCCATGAAAAGCCTAAATGAAGTTGGCAACTTTAGCTCTTGTTTCTAGGTCACATTGCTAATTTAGTTGCTGTTAGAAACTGTCAATGCTGCCAGATCTTCTGCAAACAAGTAACCGAATTTTCCCTAGAAACAGAAAAAAAGGACCCATATTCAAGGAAACATATTGTCACGGATCGTGACGTGGCCGAAGACAGGAGACTTCTTGTTGGAATTTAACTGTTTATTTAGGCAAACCTGTGCCCGGTAAGCAGAAAGTCCAATTACAGCAGCAGTCTCGCACAGATAGCAGTCTCAGACTGATAGCGGCGAACGGAGCGTCGGCCTTCGATCAACAACTGACAAGCGGCGAAGCGCGTCGGAATTTATACTCCTGCCGTCGAATGTTCTAGCGCTATCGCTGGCGGCGGCGTGCGTTCCAGAACAATCTGTACCATTCGCACAGTGGGCGTGATCTTATCGAAATGATCTACTACAGTCCGGAACCCTCTCGAAAACTGCAGGCGCGGTTTGCGCTGAGAATCGTGTGGTGTTTTGGGACGATAACAAAAACTTGGGAAATGGAACGTGGCATTGCCCCCCTCTGAAAAAGGCATCGTCTCGATGCTTTAACTAAAGATGAAAGTGCAATAACAATGCAAGAAAGTACAATGAATAAATTACGATACAACAATAATAAAAAAAACACTGTTTCAGTTTGTTAACGCGCATAAAACGGCTTGAGGCGTGCGACATGGACGACTTCAGGTCGCGATCGGCGTCGTTGAGAGTTCGTGATGCCGTCGGGGACAACCTCGTAATCAAGTGGGCCGAGACGTCGAACTACCCTGTATGGTCCGAAGTACCGTCGCAGAAGCTTTTCACTTAGTCCACGTCGGCGTATCGGCGTCCACACCCAAACACGTTCACCGGGCTGGTATTCCACGAAGCGTCGTCGAAGGTTGTAACGGTGGCTGTCGGTCGTCTGTTGACTCTTGATACGGAGCCGCGCAAGTTGTCGGGCTTCTTCGGCGCGATGAAGGTACTCGCTCACATCGAGGTTTTCTTCGTCGGTGACGTTGGGTAACATGGCATCGAGCGTCGTTGCCGGGCTCCTTCCGTAGACCAATTTGTATGGAGATATCTGCGTCGTCTCCTGCACCGCCGTGTTGTATGCGAAGGTCACATACGGAAGAATGGCATCCCACGTCTTGTGTTCGACATCGACGTACATTGACAGCATGTCGGCGATCGTCTTGTTAAGCCGCTCGGTGAGGCCGTTGGTCTGTGGGTGGTACGCTGTCGTCCGGCGGTGGTTTGTTTGGCTGTATGCCAAGATCGCTTGAGTTAAGTCGGCAGTGAATGCCGTTCCTCTGTCAGTGATAAGGACCTCCGGGGCGCCGTGACGTAGGACAATATTTTCGACGAAGAACTTAGCTACCTCGGATGCACTGCCTTTTGGCAGGGCTTTTGTCTCGGCGTAGCGGGTGAGGTAGTCGGTAGCTACCACGATCCACTTGTTTCCGAAAGCTGACGTCGGGAACGGCCCCAATAGGTCCATACCAATCTGCTGGAAAGGTCGGAAAGGTGAATCAATTGGCTGCAGAAGTCCCGCTGGCCTTGTCGGCGGTGTCTTGCGTCGCTGACAGTCCCGGCATGTCCTCACATAACGAGTGACGTCGGTTGTAAGACGCGGCCAGTAGTACCTTTCTTGTATCCTCGCGAGCGTGCGAGAAACACCGAGGTGCCCTGCCGTCGGATCGTCGTGCAGGGCCTGCAGGAGTTCTGGTCGCAGAGCTGAAGGCACCACAAGAAGATACTTAGCCCGAAGCGGTGAAAAGTTTTTTTTTTGTAGAAGACCGTTTCGTAGAAAAAACGACGCAAGTGCGCGCTTGAATACCTTCGGGACTTCGGCGGTCCTGCCTTCGAGGTATTCTATTAGGGCCTTAAGTTCCGGGTCGGCCCGCTGTCGTTCAGCGAAGTCGTCGGTAGTTATCGTTCCCAAGAAGTAGTCGTCATCCTGGTCGTCGGGTAGCGGTTGGTCGACAGGCGCACGAGAGAGACAGTCGGCGTCGGAGTGTTTTTTGCCGGACTTGTAAATGACAGTAATGTCATATTCTTGAAGTCTCAGGCTCCATCGTGCGAGGCGACTTGAAGGGTCTTTCAAAGTGGCTAGCCAACACAAGGCGTGGTGGTCGCTCACAACTTTGAAGGGCCTGCCGTAGAGGTATGGGCGAAATTTCGACGTAGCCCAGATGATGGCGAGGCACTCCTTTTCTGTTGTGGAATAATTTGCTTCTGCTTTGGATAGCGATCGGCTGGCGTAACTAATAACCCTTTCAAGTCCGTCAGCCCTCTGCACAAGAACGGCGCCAAGACCTACGCTGCTTGCGTCAGTATGTATTTCTGTCTCGGCGAATTCGTCGAAATGGGCAAGTAACGGAGGCGTCTGGAGGCGATGTTTAAGCTCCTGGAAAGCGTGTTCCTGTGGCGTTTCCCACTTGAACTCCACGTCGGCCTTGGTAAGGTTAGTGAGAGGATCGGCGATGCGGGCGAAGTTTTTCACGAACCGCCTATAATAGGCGCACAGGCCCAGAAATCGGCGCACGGCTTTCTTGTCAGTGGGCGGCGGGAATTCGGCGATGGCGGCTGTTTTCCGTGGATCAGGACGAACTCCAGACTTGCTGATAACGTGCCCCAGAAACAAGAGCTCTTCATACGCAAATCTGCACTTTTCTGGCTTCAGTGTGAGTCCGGAAGTCTTGAAGGCTTGAAGTACAGCTTCAAGGCGCCGAAGATGCTCGTCGAAACTCGAGGAAAACACGACGACGTCATCCAAGTACACAAGGCAAGTCTGCCACTTCAATCCTGCCAGTACTGTATCCATAACGCGTTGAAAAGTTGCAGGCGCTGAGCAAAGGCCGAAGGGCATCACCTTAAACTCGAAGAGGCCGTCCGGTGTTATAAACGCCGTCTTCTCTCGGTCTCTTTCGTCGACTTCGATTTGCCAATAGCCAGTCTTGAGGTCCATTGACGAAAAGTACTTGGCGTTATGGAGCCGATCAAGTGCGTCGTCTATTCGTGGGAGAGGATACACGTCCTTTCTTGTGATTTTGTTCAGGCGGCGATAATCGACGCAGAAACGTAGGGTCCCATCCTTTTTCTTCACTAACACCACGGGGGATGCCCATGGGCTCTTGGACGGCTGGATAATATCATCCCGCAGCATTTCATCAACTTGTCTCTTGATGGCCTCACGTTCTCGCGTCGAAACCCTGTACGGACTCTGACGGAGTGGTCTGGCATTTTCTTCGGTTATGATGCGATGTTTCGTGATTGGGGTCTGCCGAATTTTCGATGACGACGAAAAGCAATCTTCGTATTGCAGGAGCAGGGCCTTGAGCTGTTCTTGCTTATCGTTCGGAAGTCTGGGATTGACGTCGAAAGCTATGGGAGGGGCTTGGTTCCTCTGAGCAGGTTCCGCAGAATCGGCGAGGGCGAAAGCACTGGTGGCTTCGACAATTTCTTCGATGTATGCGACCGTTGTTCCTTTGTTCACATGTTTGTACTCATTGCTGAAATTTGTGAGCATAACCGTTGCTTTGCCTTTCCGCAACTCTGCAATTCCTCTTGCGACGCAAATATTTCGGGTGACCAACAGATGCTGACTGCCTTCAACGACGCCTTCGAAGTCAGGTGATTCAGGAGCGCCGACTGAAATAAGGACGCTTGAGCGAGGCGGAATGGTGACTTGTTCTTCCAGCACATTCAAGGCATGGTGTCCAGACGGCGTGCGCGGTGGTAGTGCTTCTTCTGTGGATAACGTTATCGACTTTGTTTTTAGGTTGATGACAGCACCATGGAGGCATAAGAAGTCCATGCCAAGGATGACATCTCTCGAGCAACGCTGTAGGACTACGAAGTCTGTAGGATAAATACGACCGTTAATGGTGACTCTCGCTGTGCAGATTCCTGCAGGCGTTACGAGATGACCTCCGGCTGTGCGGATTTCAGGGCCTTTCCAAGCTGTCCTAACTTTCTTTAACTTCACGGCGAACGACCCACTGATGACAGAATAGTCGGCTCCAGTATCGACGAGAGCGGTCACACTGTGGCCGTCGATAAGAACGTCGAGGTCACTAATTCGCCGTCTCGCATTACAGTTAGGGCGTGGCGTTGGGTCACGGCTGCGTCGGCTTGTTCCGCTGCTTCCATGTTGCGTCGTCAGGCCACCTTCGGTAAGTGAGCTTTCGCCGTCAGGGCTTTGCCTGGTTGGCGTTGTGTTCGGAAAGCTCCGTCGCGGCGTCGTCGTCGTCGGAGGATCTTCGGTAGTTCGTCGCACAGCAACCGCACCTCCACCGGTTGCTGCCCTTAGTTTCCCGGATACGGGCTAGGAGACCGGCCCCGCGTTGGGCCAGAGTACTGTCGGTGGTGCGGTGACGTGCGGCGGCTGGGCGACGGCGAAGGGCTTCGTGGTGTCCACCGAGTTCCTGTCAGGTAGTCGGCGATGTCACGTGGTCGTTCTCCTGGCTGTGGGCGCGGTGCATTGACGGCGAAGCCACGCAATCCCATCTGTCGGTACTGGCAACGGCGGTATGTGTGTCCGGCCTCGCCGCAGTGGTAGCAGAGCGGGCGATGGTCAGGGGTGCGCCAGACGTCAGTCTTCCTCGGTGCATTGCGCTGGGCCGCTGGCGAACGGTATGACGTCGGTGGGGGTGGTGGCGGCGGTGGCGTCTGTCGACGGAAGTGCGATGGGGCGGCGTTTTGGCGTGGACGGGGAGGAGCGTTGTGGCGCAGTGCAGCGGCGTAGCTCATAGCTTCCGGCTCGGGTAGCGGTGCGTGGGGAATTTGAAGCGATTGCCGAACTTCTTCTCGCACAATGTCGGCGATCGAATCCACTTGAGGCTGCGCCGAAGGCAACAGCTTGCGCAGCTCTTCTCGCACGATCGCTCGGATCGTTTCACGCAGGTCTCCAGAGTTACTGGCTGGAGCAGCAGCGCAGTCTGCAGTCAGGCGACGATTATACTGTCTCGTGCGCATGTCCAGGGTCTTTTCAATAGTGGTCGCTTCGGCTACAAATTCTTGGACGGTTTTCGGTGGGTTTCTCATCAGCCCCGCGAAGAGCTCCTGTTTGACCCCTCGCATGAGGAAACGAACTTTTTTCTCCTCAGGCATGTCTGGGTCAGCGTGACGGAATAGTCGGGTCATTTCTTCTGTGAAAATGGCGACATTTTCATTTGGTAGCTGAACCCGGGTCTCTAATAAAGCAGCGGCCCTCTCTTTTCGAGCGACGCTCGCGAACGTTTGCAGGAATGCGCCGCAGAAAACATCCCACGTTCGGAGCGTGGACTCCCGATTTTCGAGCCAGGTCCTTGCGGTGTCTTCTAAATAGAAGAACACACGACGCAGCTTTTCGTCTTGGTCCCAGTGGTTGAGGGCGGCCACACGGTCGTATGTCTCTAGCCAGGACTCCGGGTCTTCGAACGATGACCCATGGAAAATTGGTGGTTCCCTGGGTTGATGCATGACCATAGTGGGCTGGGACGCTGCGGTTGTCATTGTCGCTGCAGTCGCGGTCATGGCCATGGTCTTCCGCAGCTTGTCGTGTAGAAGCCCGTACTCCGGTGGTAGCCCTTGCTGTCGGCGGCTTGTTCGCTGCTCCTGGTTGGTGTCGGTGTCTTCTCCGCGACGTGGGCTGGGTTCACGGCTTGACGGGGGCGTCCGGTACATGAACGATGCAGCACCTCCACCAAATGTCACGGATCGTGACGTGGCCGAAGACAGGAGACTTCTTGTTGGAATTTAACTGTTTATTTAGGCAAACCTGTGCCCGGTAAGCAGAAAGTCCAATTACAGCAGCAGTCTCGCACAGATAGCAGTCTCAGACTGATAGCGGCGAACGGAGCGTCGGCCTTCGATCAACAACTGACAAGCGGCGAAGCGCGTCGGAATTTATATTCCTGCCGTCGAATGTTCTAGCGCTATCGCTGGCGGCGGCGTGCGTTCCAGAACAATCTGTACCATTCGCACAGTGGGCGTGATCTTATCGAAATGATCTACTACAGTCCGGAACCCTCTCGAAAACTGCAGGCGCGGTTTGCGCTGAGAATCGTGTGGTGTTTTGGGACGATAACAAAAACTTGGGAAATGGAACGTGGCAATATTTTTATGTACTAATGTTTTCAAGGAACCATTCCCGCATGAGAAAAGAAAACAGGTATATATAGTATTATGAAAAAATACATAAACATGCATATACAGTTGCATGTTGTAAATCACTTCTTCATCCATGTATTTCCTAGTACACAAGAGTGTTGTAGCGCAAGCTCAAAGAAACAAAATAGGTGTTTGTCTCTAATTTGCAGTCTATCCAGCAAAGAGGGCTTGCGCAATGGCAAAAAGGGCTTAATTATTGGAAGAATTATACCGGTGTCACACGGGCATGTTTAATTGCGATCAGGTTGATCACGATTATCCGGATCGCAATTAGAAATCCGGATCGGATTTCTTCATTGCGATCAACTTTATGACCGCTGCTACACGGCCCAAGCCAATCTGGTTCAAGCTAAGGTCAAATTAAATGCGCCAGGTGGCGATTGCGTGCCGTAAAACATCTCACTGACAAAAGTTGGAGTGCGAGATTTGTAGCGCCATTTATCAGCAATCTTATTCGTGCAAGAACTGCTCAAACGTTAAAGCTTTGCGTGCCACTACAAGAGCAATTTAATAAGTTCATCATTCCATAGAGTTTCCCTTGTACTTGCCTGTATTGCTTTCAGAGATTATTATTCTTCCCTTTTATTTCTGATGGCCCCCGTTTATTTGCGTCCAGTCACAGCGAAGCGTCAATCTCGTTGTACGCGACAGAGTTTCACTTCTGGCGCCTGAGGTCTTTGAGTCGCCCTTGCCAGCTGTCAATTACTAGAAAGGTCTCTTCATTCGACCTCGAAGTGCGCGTATGTTGCGACGCAGTCAAAAGGCTTGCGACACTCGTAATCAGTTTGTTTCGAGGTGCTCCAACTGCTCCAGTGGTGCGAGAGTTGAACTAAGCACAGGAGACAACAGTCGTCTGGTTATCGTCTGCTTCTCCCATAACTACATGTGGTTAATACGAATCTCAACATATGCGATATTTCAGTGATAGTTCCAGTTTAAACAGTTTATAAATTGCTTTTTTTTAAACTTCTAGCTGCTTTAATGTGTTTTTATTAAACTATGCTCGATTTTCTTTTTCTTTTGCTTTAAACTAAATTGGCCAGGGGGTGCAGACGACACGAAATCGCGATCCCTCAGCCAGACCGTGATGCACGGATCACGATAGTCTTGATCACGATCATGCCCGATCAGTGATGAAAAGTGACCGTGTAGCAACACCTAATCCGGATCGACACTGATCGCAATTAAAAGTGCCCGTGTGACACCGGTATTATTTGACCCCCCCCCTACCGGCATGGAAAGGTGAAACTGAAGGCTAACTGGGGTTCATAAAGGCAGTGCTGTTGAAAATAGGGCCTTAGAGGCACGAAAGGTTGAATTATTTACAGGTAAGCTTCCCAAAAGCTACCCTACATGTGTTAATAATGCTGACTTGATGCCCATGTAAAGCAGGCAGGTGATACTTTAAGACACTTCAAAGTTTTCTCTATAGCAATTATGTCAGAGCTCCAGCGAGTTATAATTCCAGCAAATTAGAAAAGACGTGCCAATGCATGTATACCTATTCAAAATGAATTATTGATTTGTAAACTATACTGTAGTCTCCTTTTGAGGTCTTCTAACTTATTTGCATTCTTTGGGGAATGCTTAGCAAAGTGAATGTATGCTTCTCTAAGCATTAAGTGTGATTTTCCGGTCTTGATCGTTGGTTACTTTTTCATTTGTCACTCACACCCTGTAGGACCAATTGTGATGCGGAACTGTTCGGCGAGGTTCTCATCATCTGACTGGAGCAGACTGCAGGCTTGCCGAAATATCACGTTTGTGTCTGAAAAAAAAAAAAAGAAAAAAGGATAACTATTATCATTATAAACTAAAACTTGAGCTTCAATGCCTACACAACACTGTGTTTTTACACTATTTTCTTTCTACTTTCTTTTTGATGGCGTGGACAGCATTTAATCTTTCATTCTTGTGTGTATGGTTTGATGATGTTGCGGTTGCATGGAGTCCTAAAAATTTTATAGTTAACGCTTTCTTGTTTTTACAGAGAAACTTTTTACTTCTAGCCCGTGTGTTTTCAGATAAAGAGCACAGCAACAGCAACAAAAACAGAAAGACAAAAATGCAGCTGGCGTGGCCAGCAGAGCGTGCTCACAAAGACAAAAAAAATAATACAAGAGATGTCGAGCCGGTGCAGTGCATTCGTGTTGCAGTAAAAAGCTAAAAAAATAGTGAAGGCATTGACAGCAACACTGCCAATACAGACCGGCGAAAGCTGGGAGCGAGTAAAAGTGGACAATACGTTAAAAGACCACGCATCTAAGAACGTCGCTGTCCGCAGTCGCTTAGGTCGAGGAAACGATTGGACAGCTGTCTTCAGCAGAAACAGAGATACACTTTCACTAGCAATCCCTCCAGATCTGATTGTTACAGCCCCAAAATTTTTTCTATGGTGCTCTTGCTGAACTCCTTCTTTCAACTAGCCACGTCGCAAGCAAATTACATTAAATTAGTATTGTAATACTAGTTTGGAGAAGAATCACACTTAAACTTGATGTGCCACACTTGCACAAATGCTATGCTATAATGCATTAGTCACCTGAAAATTAAAACTCCAGGAAAGGATCCTGCATTTCATGTAAAATCTACTGTGAATAAAACAACATTTCACCCTCTCGCCTTTTCTCGTGCGCCAAAAGAAAGGCAAGCACAGGTACATGAAAGCCTGCCTCTGTACACTTGTACAGTGACATAGCATTTAATAAATCTATTTTCAGTTCTTTTGCAATAAACCTGTGCAGTTGTCAACAAAAGTTATTCGAAATACATAGACAGCAGACTTGTGTAAGAAGTAAATTTTAGGTTCAAAGCTACCAGTGATTTGGTCAAATAATTTCGAATCGAACTCGAATATTATATGTCACACATTATAAATAAAAATGAGCATATCTGTCATGACCCAACTAACCACTCAATATTTTTTTAAAATTGAAAGAAGGGACATACAAATGTCATTCTTATTGGTGCAAGAAGAGGAAGCAATTTTGAACAGTAGCAGAATTTGACTTTCGGTGGAATGCAAGTGAAAACACCTGTAAAATATGCTACGTTTTAATATTTATGAAGAGCATATAAGCCTCTATAACAAGTTTTCAAATTTTAAAAATGTATGATTCAATGTGAGGGTAGTCCTTCAATTAACCTTGAAATGGGGCTTCTCGGCAGTGCGGATTTTCCTTGAGTAGGTGTATTCACAGTGTAGCATTTCTCCACAGCAGTGAAACAACTTTTACAAAAATTACACGAGGTTCTTGGTTTTTCTTTGTTCATATCGCATACTTCAAATTTCAAAACAATTCAAAATCATGTCAAAGTAATTTTTAATACTGCAATATTTGTTTGAATATTCAAAGGGCTCGAATAATGGCACAAGCCTAATTAACAGTACTTTCATGAAGCCTCTGAGAAGCTAACACTAGGTGCAGAATGGTACAGCGATGGCTCTTCATGCAGTGCCTGCATTACTCCTGTGAGTATTTAAATTCGCTGTCTGATTGTAACAGCATTATGTAGGTCCTCTGTAAAGTCATATTTGAGAAACACACAGCAGCACACCAAGTCACCCACGCCTTAATATAACTGTAAGGCTCAATTACGAAACCCCAGAAAAAAAATTAAATGAAAGAAAAAGAAATCTACAGGCACTATTGTAGAAAGCAATCACATGTGTTCTTATTGAGACTTCCCGTAATAAAAAAAAGAAAGAAAGCACTGGACACTAACCGTATGAGTAAGGTTAACACTAAACAAAGCTTCAGAAACAATTTTACTGTTTATAATAATTAACTGCTGTTTTCACAATCACGCTCTACTAAAGCACCAGAGAAGGTGATTTTAAGCTGACGGCATGCTGCAGCTGATTATAGCTTTGATTACATAATGCAATGTGTGCTACGATATAACTATCACTATATTTTCCTGCATGTATTTACATGTGTGAAAGCATGAAGTATCCCAAAATAAGAAGCATGGCAAGAGGTGATATTTTACTTCTTGTGCAGCAACCAGCGGGTGAACAGATTTTGCGAGAAAGCCAACCTCTCTACATTTGTGCAGTGATTTAGCATAAACTGCATCTAGTTGACCTGCCTTGCACAGAACTTGTGCATTCAAGCGTCCAAGCTTGAAGGAATAAGCAATAATTCTATAGAAATATGGGCAAGTTCCTGAATCAGTGTAACGGAAAGGCATGAACTGATGAGAGACTAGAAGCAAGACACGGAACAGCCCTATCTTCTCCCATTTGGCATCGCAGGTGCTACCGATGCTACACTCAAACCTAATTATACCAAAGTTACATCTTACATAAAAATAAGTTCGTTATATCCAAAAATTTGTTATAAAGGTATATTCGTAACCTTATATATATTGCAATACTATTTTTCATTTACTTCATTATAACCAATATTTTGTTATATCCAGGTTCCTTATATCGAGGTTTGAGTGTACCAACAAAACAGGCTGGTCAGGTGAAGGTCACTCCCCGATTGGGGATGTCACTCACTCTGCTCGGTAGTGGGTTCGCGCACTTGGCACAGGATGTGTTCGGCCACCTGTGAGAAGTGCAAGAACAGCTCCCCCCGGCCCAATAGAAAGGCGTCCCTCAGAAGCCGCAGCTGAGAAGGCAGGCTGCCATCTTCCACAAACAGCTTCCACAGGTGCTGTCAACAGAGAGCGATGCAAGACAATGGTCATGCAATAACGAAAATGGCTGTTATCAGGTCATAAATTTAAAACTTTGTGCCAGATTCAACTAAAATTGCATTTTCAGGCCCTACAGGCTTTCAAGGGCTGCTGGACTTACCAATGAATGAATGAATGAATGAATAAACTTTATTTAAAGCCTGGCAGTTTCCCCCCTGGGGGGGGGGGGGGGGGAAGAGAGGATTAACCCCTGTCCCTTCCCACTCTCCGTCGATTATGATGGCGGTGCCTCAGGTGACCGCTTGAAATCCTTGGACCCGGGTAGCATCTTCAGCTTGCTGGACGGCCCAAAGCTGGTCGGCCAGCTCGTCGCTGGTGAGTGCCGCCTACCAGCGGCAGTGTAGCTGATGCCGCCGATCGGCAACAGTGACCGCAGCCGCGGCGGAGGCCGGCCCTGCCCTCGTGCAGTGGTAGCAGCAGCAGCAATTGGCCTCTAAGTTCGTCACTGCCTAACATGCATCGCGAAGGGAGCGACGGCAGTGACATCAACTTTTCCAGCACACTCCAAAACATGTGCCGCAGTGTGGCCCTTTCCCCACACGCTTTACACGTGTCCGTCGGGTATAGGTGAGGATAACACAGGCGTAGGATCGCCGGGCCGGGGTACGTAGTTGTCTGTAATAACCTCAGAGTTACAGCCTGTCTTACCATGGAAAAATTTTTGTGGTGGCAGTTATATAGCGATATGCAGTTCTTTTTTTCAATAATATACAGGTTACCTCAGACCTGCAACAAGTATTTTGTCCTAGATTGTCAGCAACATACCAACATGACTTTTGACAAAGAGCTTGAAGGAGTACTGACACAAATTTTAAATATTTTCAGATTGTTGCTCTGAACAAAACCACCAGTGTTGAGAAACATATAAAGAATGTCGTAGTGCTTGGGAACGCATTGAATATAATGCCGCTACCATAAAACAGCAATTTTGGATTCGGTATCAAGGAGGCGTGTCACAGCAGTGCGACGTAATGGGAAGAGAAACACTGGCAACGTAATAATGACAAATCTGTCATGTGATAATGGTGCACTTAAATAACGAGTAAATTCTTGTCTGGTGAGCCTGACAGTGATTTCTGCGATTTTAGGCTGTGTGTAGGACGCAAATCTCACAGACTCGGGAACTGTCTTGACTCATCGGGATAATGTCCGTCGCAGTGGCGCTGGTTCACAGATAACTTTAAAATACAAAAATACATCTTATACTTGTGTTCTGACTCCAGTGTTTAGAAATCATTGACACTGCATACCAAAGAAACCAAAAATGCCCCTGTTGCGATATTCCAAGACTGTTTCAGTACTTTTTTCAAAGGCAGCAACAAGCTACCACTGATATCTATCAAATAGTGCTTGCTTAGTTTCAAGGTGCAAAGTTTGGCATTTGATAAAGTTATCTCTATTCAAAAATACTTATGCTCCCCTGAACTTGAAATAGAAAAAGAATCTGTCGGTTGTACCAAGTGCAGGAGAACTCGATGCCAAATCATTCGACAGTAGTGACAGGCGAATGCATTCCCCTCATGATTGAATGCTGCTTAAATTAATGGAAGACGGTTACCGCAGCTGCAGCTGAGCGAACGTCCTCAACAAAGGTTTCTAGCTGGAACAAATCAATCTCTTCAGATTCGCTGATTTTCTGCAGGCGCTTCAAGAACTCTGCCTCTTGCTCAGCTGTATAGACTGGCCGCTCTGCACAAATAAAAAAAGACCATTTAGCATGAAATTAAAAATAATTCTTAACAGAATAACATCCAACACAATAATACCAAGAGTGTGCTAATAATGACAACTTTCAATATAAATAAAAATAATCTGTTGAGAAATTACATGAGTGCTTGCACTTGAACGTAACAATAACCGTTATCGACAACCTGGGAGAGACAGATTTATGCAAGTGACAACTATTCCTACTGAATCTGCAGCAAGATTTTCATAAACGTTTAGAAGAAGCATCACTCCCTGAAAGAACTGATGGGGCAGGTAACATGGGGTAGATAATTATGCATTGTTTTTATGCAGCTCCCCTACAAACTTGCATAGATATGGGCGACCCAATTTAATGTTTGGCCACTCTCGCCACGTTTGCATCTACTTCAAATCTGTGTTGCCATTAAATGACACCGACACTGTACACACTACTCAGTAATGTTCTGCACAATGACAAAAGCTTAAAACAGCACTTATAATGGTCATAAGTGCTATTTAAACCATGTCTCATCAAGCCAGTAGCCAACTAGTTGATCCTTGTACCCTAATTGACATTCTGCTCTTTTGTTTCGTTGCAGTCATTTCCATGTTGCACAGGATAACTGATATCATTTCTGCATCAACCAGTTTCTGCCTCAACGACAAGCTCATCCTCTGTTCCTTATACCAGGGCAAATCTTTAGGGGCGAAGCTTCCAAAGCCGTGGGTCTGTTCCTCCTAGCTCACCATGGTTCGTGACTGCCTAGTTCGATGACTCACTCAGCAGGAGTGGACAGACAGATGGACGGCTGAACAGACAGACGAATGGACAGACAGACAGATGTACAGAGGGACAGACGAATGCACAGACAGAAGTGCGCACGGATGCACGAACGGACGCTTCGCCCCACTCATTATCATTCACTCTGTAGATATTCTGTGATTTTTTTCTCAGATGTGAACCTCTCTCCATGAGAAACCTGCATTTCTTATAGCTTCGTGCTACAAATTGCTGCATGACTACTGTTTTCTTTCATGCACGATTTTTTTCTGTGCCACTTTTGCAATCAAGCCATTTGGCATTCATGCATTGAGGCAGTCATCATGGGATACTCACCTGCAGACTGCCCAAAGACCCTCACAGCTGAACCAGCAAAAAGCACTTTGCTGGCAAAAGACTGGGACAGCTGTTCTGGCAGCAGATTGGATTTCAAACGAAAATCTTGCATTGACGCTAAAGGGGCCTGCAATGTCAAAAACAAAACATTCACACAGATGAATGCCGTCTTACACCCCAGAGTTCTTATACAGTGGTATGTCTTGGACGTGAAGTCTTTATTACAAATGAGCTTAGCCCAATGACTGGACACTAAGTCGAAACCCGCAATAACGAAACCCTGTGAGTACGAAATCCCCGCGGCAACGAAATATTTCCGGATCCCCGGCTAACGTTCATAGAAGCCCATGTATTACATATCTCGTGGCAACAAAATGTTTTTAAACAGCGATCCCGCATTAACGAATTTTCTACCACGGTGCGGGCCTTATTTTGCCCTCCAGCCAAAGCTTAACTGTCGAAAATATGCTCTTATGCATGTTATGCGCACTCAAAATTTGTAAACGTCTGCTTTTGCCGCGCTAGCGTGGGTACCACCATTTTTGTTTACTTAAATCGGCGATGGGGTCTGTGTCCTGCAACATGCCTGGCCGGCCCTAAAGTGATGCATCTGTTGCGTGTGGTGTTTAGTGTGTGAAGAGGGTGGAAGCGTAGGCATACATGATAACAATTATCTTTGCCCTCTCTACCAGCGAAATCAAAATGTGACAGCGTGGTGGGCCATGAGCCTTACGCATGATCCTGATGAACGCGATAGCAGAAGACCATTTTCCAGCTATGTTTTTTCGTGAATTTTGATCACACGGACCCATCTTCTTGTGAACGCATTAGCTTGATCGTCCTGTACTAGAGTGCCTCCGGTAGCACAGCGTCTCTGCAAGAAGAGACGCACGCGGAGAAACCCAACCCGCGGGTTGTTTTGGATGTGCTGGACACCATTCACTCCTTCTTCGGGCACATGATGACGACGTAGCAACGGACCACTTTTTCCAGTGCAAAAGGAGAGCTTTGAAGTTGTTGCATGGCAAGGGTCAGCAAAGTCGGCAACTTCTGGCAATAATTTTCGTTCTGCTGGCCATATCACTGTTTTTATGTCTCATATTCGCGGCAACGAAATTCTCGCGAAAACGAATTTTTACGGTTTTCCCGGCGATTTCGTTATTGCGGGTTTCCACTGTACTTCCGTAAAAAATCTAAGTTTCACACAAGGACGAAGGAATGAACACAAGTTACAAATTTAAATGTTATACGAAATAAGATTAGCAGATAACTATACTAGATACGATCTCACAAAACGCAGCAAGATGCTGGTTGAAGGGAATATAGCCGCTCCAGTGATCGAAGCAGTTTTTTGTGTAGCCAGTTTTCTAAACGTGAAGTGCTGAGTGCACAGCAAGTTTAAAAGCCGTCTACTCATGTATGTTGAGATAGCGCGTGCACCAGTGCTGGCCACTGCCCCCTTTTGAGCAAAGTTGCTTTTCAAGCGACGCAGCCCCTGCATATGCTCCTCCGCCTGAAGGACAGCCGGGACGTTTTCTCGCTGCTTGAGAAGCCATTGACTGCAGACTTTGTACACAGGGTAATGTTATCTCATGCTCTTCTTGTGCGACAGAGTTGGCTAGCTCGTTTCATTTCTGTTTTATCCATGTTCGTCCACAGCACTTGCATGCTTTTACTCGCTGAGAACGCCAATGCAGAGAGAAATGTACGGAGCACGCCGGCAGTAGCAAAAGCTTGCGAAGAGTGTCAATATAATTGTTAACACAATACACTCAGACATCGATATAGCAAAACCAGATATAATGAAATATTAGTCATAATGAAGTAAATAAAATATAGTCTTGCAATAGATATAGAGTTAGGAATAAACTTGTACAGTTGATTTTTGAAAGTAACAAGCTGATTTTCTAGTAAGGTGCAACTTTATTATAACAAAGATTGAGTGTAAAACAAACAGCTACTAGGTTTAACTAATGACCAAATTTATGTACTGTTTCTCACTGCATGAATACTGCGGACATTAGCTATTGCTTTCTCTCAAACAAAAAACAAAATGCATGTTTTTCTTACAACACTTTGCAAGTTTACACAACTTTAAAGAGAATATCTATTGAAGTCCTGTATTGCAATTACAGAGCCTTTGTAAGGTATCACCTAAAGTATTGCACATTAGCACCGTCTGTCATTGGAAAACCATTGATTTGTTAATGCCAGAACTTAGCCTTACCACCTTTTTATAGGACAATGTTCAGTGTGTGAGAAAAAAAAAAGCAATTTGAAAATTTCAACAGTTTATTCCCTGTATGTGTCACTGCATAATCATGAAAAATTGACTTGAGAAATTGCACGAAATCAACTAATCAGATTCCACATCTAGAATCCACTGGAATAGGCTGGCAATAGGATGCCTACCAACCTATACCTATCAACTACTAAAAGTTTACCTACATGGCAAGATGTGTGTTACAACTAACCTCTAAACAGCTGCTGCTGGTGTTGGGCTCTGTTCGTGATGGGTCACCACCCAACGCCTCCACAAAAAATTCTTGATAGGGGTCCCGCAGAATACCATACAACACCCAGGAGGAAATCTGTTGGCACAGCACTCCATAGCCAGCCTGCAAGAGCCTGCACAAATGATGAGAAAGTTGAAAGAAAAATAATTTATGTGTACACTTTGTAAAGAGGGTTTATTGAAGGACTGAGCAAGCGGGTGGTAGCTCGAAAGGAACGCAGGCGGACCCAGATGACGGAGCTTGATCGCCGATCACGTGCCTTTTTTTTTTTTGTGTTGATAGCTGACCTGATGGTATCAACGTCTTTCTTATTCACTATAATTACCCCTGGCAAAAAAGTTGAAGCCATCCTGGCAATCTAACACGTGGGGACAAGCGGGTCAAAGTAGGGCTTGAGACGGTTTACGTGAACAATATCACGTCCACGCCGACGACGGTCGCTCGGTGGCGTGAGGGGTTCAATGGCGTAGTTCACGGGTGAGGTACGCTCGACCACGCGGTAGGGACCATGATAAGTAGAGAGTAGCTTGGGTGATACACCAGGGGCGCAGGGCGGTACATGAAGCCATACAAGTGCTCCAGGAACGAACGTTGGTGCAGAATGATGTTCGTCGTCACGGGTCTCCATCTGGCGCTGTTGGTCGGATGTAGTAAGCCGCTTGGCTAGCTTGCGGCACTCTTCTGCGTAACGAGCGGCTTCCGAGACAGGCGTGCGTTCGGAGGGATCTGGTGAGTATGGCAGTAAAGTGTCGATGGTGTGCGATGGTTGGCGACCGTACAGGAGAAAAAATGGGGAAAACCCGGTAGTGACTTGCGTAGTGGTGTTATACCCGTATGTGACAAATGGAAGAACGAGGTCCCAGTTTGTTTGATCAGAAGCGACATGTGTAGCGAGCATGTCCCCCAGAGTACGATCAAACCGCTCAGTCAAGCCATTTGTCTGTGGGTGGTAGGCTGTACTCTTCCGGTGTACAATATGGCACTGTTGAAGAAGTGCTTGGATTACATCGGAGAGGAAAACGCGCCCTCGGTCACTGAGGAGTTCTCGAGGAGGACCATGCCGAAGCACAAAACAATTGAGTAATGAAAGTTGCGACATCTTGTGCTGCAGCTGTGGGGAGAGCAGCAGCTTCAGCGTACCGTGTTAGATGATCCACTGCCCCGATGGCCTATCGGTTGCCTGTCGTTGTCGATGGTAGTGGTCCATAGAGGTCAATTCCTATACGGTCGAATGGGCGGTCTGGGCATGGAAGTGGCTGCAATGAACCTGTCGCAGGATGTGGCGGGCTTTTCCGCCGCTGACACTCGTGGCAGCCGCGAATGAACTGGCCGACGAAGGTAAACATTCCACGCCAGTAATACCATTTCGTAGGCGCTCGTAGGTCTTGAATACACCGGCGTGAGCACATTCGGGTCGGAATGAAACGACGCGCAGATAGTAGAGCGCAGAGTTCGGGGAATGACTAGTAGCCATTTCCTACCATCTGCTGAATAGTTGCGCCGGTACTAAAGGCCATCCCGAACACTGAAGTGCGGAGCTTGGCGGTGCAGTGTTCGAGTGGTTGGAAGTGTCTGTTCCTCGGATAACGTGTCAAGAAGCGAAGCAATCCATGGGTCGTTGCGTTGTGCAGAAGAGATGGTGTCCTCGTCAAGAACTGACAACGTGTTGTCCGAGGAAACAGATGCAATGTCCGGGGATAGGGGAGATCGCGACAGTGCATCAGCATCGGTATGGTTGTGGCCGGAATGATATACAACGCGAATGTCATATTCTTGAAGCCGAAGAGCCCAACGGGCAAGACGACCCGATGGGTCCTTGAGCGAAGATAACCAGCATAATGCGTGGTGGTCCGTTACTACATCAAAAGCACGGCCATAAAGATATGGGCGGAACTTGACAAGTGTTTAAACGATCGCCAAGCATTCCTTCTCGGTGATGCTGTAGCTCGATTCAGCCTTGGTGAGAGTTCTGCTGGCGTAGGCGACGACATACTCAGCGAATCCAGGCTTGCGTTGCGCGAGAACCGCACCGAGGCCGACACCACTGACGTCGGTGTGGACCTCAGTTGCTGCCATAGGATCGTAGTGACGCAGTATTGGTGGTGAAGTGAGGAGACGATGAAGGGTAGAGAAGGCTTGGTCACACTCAGAAGACCATGACGAAATATCAGTGGTGCTGCCTATAAGTTCGGTCAAAGGCGCAATGATAGAGGCGAAGTTGCGCATGAACCGGCGAAAGTAGGAGCATAACCCCACGAAGCTCCGTAACTGCTTCATAGTCGTTGGTTTGGGGAAGTCGGCGACAGCCCGTAACTTAGCCGTGTCTGGAAGTATACCGTCCTTTGATACGACGTGCCCGAGAATCTTAAGTTGCCGAGCAGCGAAGTGACACTTCTTTAGGTTGAGTTGCAGCTGAGCATTCTTCAGGCACGTGAGGAACGTGTCTGAGACACTCAAGATGTGTTCCAAAGTCTGGCGCAAAGGTGACCATATCGTTGAGATAGCAGAAACAGATTTGCCATTTCAAACCCCGAAGAACCGAGTCCATCATGCGCTCGAAGGTGGCAGGGGCATTGCAGAGGCCGAAGGGCATGACATTAAACTCATATAGACCGTCCGGTGTCCCGAAGGCTGTTTTTGGTCGATCGGCATCTGCAAGGGGGACCTTCCAGTACCCTGCGCGCAAATCTAATGATGAAAAAAACTCAGCACATTGTAAAGTATCAAGGGCATCGTCAATCCTGGGTAAAGGATATACATCTTTTCGAGTGATTTTATTTAGGCGCCGATAATCCACGCAGAAGCTAACCTGAACCATCCTTTTTTTTTTTAACGAGCACTACAGGTGAGTCACATGGACTTTGGGAAGGTTGAATGACGCCGCGTTGCAGCATATCATTCACCTGTTCGGTAATAACTTGGCGCTTCCGCCGCAGAAACACGATATGGTCGTTGTCGTAGTGGCGCACGGGAGCCGGTATCGATGTAATGTAGAGTGGTAGAAGTGCGGCCAAGTGAAGGTTGAACAACACCGAAAGATTCGCGGTACTGGTACAGCAGTTGGAGGAGTTCAGATCGTTCAGATGGTGACAGTCCGTCTGCGATCGCCGAATCGAACACTTTCGAAGCCTGTAGATCAGAGTGGTTAAGAGCACTGACGGCGGCGAGGTCACTTTGGGATGATTCTTGCGGCACGGTAAAAATTTGTACGTTATCAATGGGCTGTACGCATCCAAGAGACTCACCTTTAAACAGTTTGATGGTATGCGGAAAGGGATTGGTAAGGCAGAGAGCACTGGCTCCATTAGAAATTGAGAGGGCTAAATAAGGAAGCAGAAGTGGTTTCCGACTTAGAAAGAGGCTTGATGGCTCAAAAAATGCTACTTCATCACGCATGTCGTCGGAGACCACAGGGAGCAAAACAGCTGTTGTCGGTGGAATGTCAGTGTCCTCTTTGACAACTAGCTTGTGCGCGGCTTGATTAGTGTGGTCGTAGGGCTGGTCGAACAACGGAAGCAGTTCAAGTTCGGAACGGGCACAATCTATAACGGCGCGATTACGCGATAAAAAATCCCAGCCAATATGATGTCATGAGAGCACGAGGAAAGGACGATAAACTCAACAATGTAGTGGTCCTCCGCAATTGTGAGTCTGGCAGTGCAGGCGGCTATAGGTCGAACAGGTTCTCCATTTGCTGCACGTAAGGACATCATATCAAGCGGCATGGTCACCTTTCGGAACTTGCGGCAAAGTTTGGCATCTATAACGGACACAGCGGCACCGGTATCCACAAGAGCGTATGCATGGGCACTGTCTACAAGAACTTCGACGATATTTGACGGCAAGGTGCGAGGACTTGAACATTACGATAGCGCAGTTCTTGCTCCCTGAACTGCGACGGCTAGTTTCCCTCATTTTGAGGGGCTGGTCGTGGACGCATGGGTGACAAGGAGCGTCGATTGGGTGAAGGTGAGCGACGAGACGAAGTTGCCGGATAGTCACGGGAAGACGTGTTTGACTGATGATCCGAACTTTCATAACCAAAAGGGGTCGGTCCGTGTAGTTGCTTCGTGGTCGGGCGTCTGTGTAGCCGGGCGCGCGACGACGGCAGTATTGGGAGATATGGCCAGGGCCGCCGCATGCAAAACAGATCGGCCGGTTATCGTGCGTTCGCCAGGCATTTGCAGCGACGGGCGCCGCCCAGGTGACATACGGCTGAGTCGAGGCTGTAGTAGCGAGGGGAGGAGCCCATGTGACGGAAGACTGAGTAGGAGCGGTGACATGTGGCAGTCCATTGAATGGCGAGGGCTGGTGTGGCTGCTGCCTCTTTACTGCGTCAGCATAAGTAAGAGGCGCAGCGACAACTTGCCTCTGAAAGGGCACTGGCATAGCCTCGGCAATCTGGTCCTGAAGCACATGTCGGAGCATGGGAGTTAACGGGGTCGGTTGTCGCTCTTGCTGCTGCTGCGGGAGCTCTTGGCACTGACAAAACGGCAGGAGGGAAAGCTGACATGCGACCTCCTCACACACAAAGTCTTTCATTTGTGTTAGAAGGCGGGAGTGGTCAGGTACAACGTCCAGAGCAGCGAGTGGTTGGTTAGGCTGAAATGAACGATGGGTGAGAGCTCGTTGCCGTCGCAATTCATCGTAGCTCTGGCACAGAGTTACCACTTCAGACACCGTGCCAGGAGACTTCGCAAGGAGCATTTGAAATACGTCGTCATCGACACCTTTCATAATGTGCTGGATCTTGGCACTTTCGCTCATTGCGGCATCGACGCGCCTGCAGAGATCGAGTATGTCTTCGATATAGGCGGTAAACGTTTCGCCAGGTTCTTGTGCCCGTGAGCGCAGGCGTTGTTCGGCGCGCAACTTCCGCACGGCAGGGCGACCGAAAACAGAGGATATTACCTGCTTGAAAGCGGCCCAGTTTTCGAACTCGGATTTGTGGTTTGTGTACCACAGTTTCGCCACATTAGCCAAGTAAAAGTTGACGGTGCTCAACTTAGCAGCGTCATCCCACCTGTTTGGTCCACTGACTTTTTCGTAGGACGACAGCCAGTCCTCGACGTCCTGGTCTTCGGCGCCCGAAAAGATCGGGGGGTCTCGCTCGTGAACCGGGCCGGGGCAAGTAGCGGCCGTGAGAGGTGCTGTCTGTTGGGCAGCGTCAACTTGCATGGTCGACGGCAGGGTGCGGGATCGGAGTTCCAAGGTGTAGGTGATGTAGTTACCCCGCACCTCCACCAAATGTAAAGAGGGTTTATTGAAGGACTGAGCAAGCGGGTGGTAGCTCGAAAGGAACGCAGGCGGACCCATATGACGGAGCTCGATCGCCGATCACGTGCCTTTTTCTTGTGTTGATGATAGCTGACCTGATGGTATCAACGTCTTTCTTATTCACTATAACTTTAACACTTAGTCCTATTGTACCTGACATATTCTGTAACGAGATGAACTTGAACTACGATTATTAAATACAACTAGGCACAGAGCTTGCTTTGTCATCATTTACTTCAATACCTTTTCTATTTCTATGGCAAAGCTAAAAGTACATGGTCCTAGAAGTGCTTTTACAGGGAAAATGTAAAGTCTGTCAAACTGGAAGATGCATCAACGAGCGGCTCAGGGAACACACACAAAAGATTAACAAAAATGCAGATAAAGGAGCCCATCTTGTGGCTCATATTAACGCTTGTTGCAAATGTGAGGCACGATTTGAAAGGGCGTAGGTCCTTGGCAGGAGCAACCATGAGCATGTGCGGCTCGCTTTGGAAGCCTATCATGTCAGAGAAAGTGCTCATCCTTGCATAAGTGACACGTCCCTGTCCCTGCAACCATCCAAGTTTGATTTCATTTCATCCTGTATGTAATACACTGATTCATTTTTCAACTCTATTTCATTTTTATGTTTCTGCTTTTTTTTTCAATTGCGTGGCACGTGCGTGGCAAGGCTGCCTTGGAGGTATATATGCTATGACAATTGCCGAAATAAAGTCAGTTGATAGTCAGAGCTTGTGCGTGTCGTCTCTTCCTTTGTGGTGTGTCTACGTTTGCGCTGTAGAAGTACTTCTAGGATTATGAAACAAGTAGGCTCAAAAGAATTTTTACTAGAAGTACATGGTTAGCTGCAGTACACATTTATATTAGAAAGCTTTCATCCCAGGACTGCAGAATGTTTAGTGAAAGTGGTGCAAGAACCTGCGTATAGTGTGTATACCAAAAGGCTAGGCTAGAAAGTGTTTTACAAAACAACGGTGTATGTTTTTTCAGCTGCCTGGAAGCCATAGGCTTACATGCTTTTGTACGAGTAACATTTTTTGGGAGCAGTGCCATTGCAATAATTGTTTACGGCGACGCTCTTGGACAAACAATCAATCATAAGTTGCAGCTTACATAAAATGAGTGAAAGTGGCACTAGGTTATAGAATAACATCCTCCAAGAATTGCCACTAAAGCCAGCATTTTATGAAGAAGTCTATAGGGAAGCCTGTATGTAGCCATTGCTATTTCAAATATCAATAGAGTTAATCTTGCAGGCTAATACCCTACAAGTAGGTGAGAAAATTATTACTTTTTAAGTTCTTTTTAACAAGGCTTCCACAGCACTAAAGATATGTGGTTAAGGAGAAGGCAATATTATACAGCAATGAACTAACCAGTTCTTTATTATGATACGCATCAAGTTAAAAAGATACTACGATACTGTGATGCAACGATTAATGCAACCTTTATTATACCGCAAGGGCACGGTTAAGTGACCACACCCAAGGCACAGATTGCAGTCAAGCCGAGTTCCCATAACCAACGAAGACAACGAACACCCGTGATAATAAGCATGTATGAATAATGTAGATAAATCTAATGAATGCCCAGTGTGGGCGTTCATTAGACATGATATTAATACACATCATAGAAAAAGAAAGGCAGTAAAACAAGAATTCACCAGCTCTTGAATCACTTTTGCTTTAAAGGTGCTTTTTTGTTTCTCCAGAATTTTTATTGTTCAAAAAACACGCCTTCCGACATTACAGTGTAAAGTGTGATATTTCATCGTCACAGTGAATAAAATTTTGCCATTACATTAACGAGCATGTTCAACAAATATTGTGCTCTGGCTCACTACGACCAAAAAAATGTGATAAACATTATAACCCCTATAGCATGGTACACAAAATGCCCACACTCACAGCGACATGCTTGCTTTGCCAACAGGGAGTGCTGTGGTACAGCTCCGATGCAGGGACTGTAGAATGTTGCAACCATGCACTTGACTGGATTCGATCTCAGCAACAAGGTCATGCAACTTCAGAAAAAGCAGGTGGTACTGCACGCAGAAAAAGTACAACGAGAATGCTTGAAAATTCGAATAACAGCACAAAAGATGTGAAAAAGACAGACACCATATTGTTCGTTGTTGGACATGTCAAAAAACACCGTACCAACATTCCGAGTGTTTAATGCAACTCAAACAGAGCTACTAAGAGGAAATTAAGGTAGATGTAGATAGGAAGACAAGGCGACAGCTTGAGTACTGCTATCTTGTTTTTCCTCCGACCTCCGCCTCTGTTTCATTTTACTACGAGTTGTGGCAAGCACTCGAAACAAGGTACCAACCAGCCCTAACTGCTACTACATGGTACAGTTGGCAGCGTAAAATAAGACACTCGGAGACGTTTCATGACCAGCCAAAAAAAAAATAAGAAGAACATAACAGGATTATGCTGCATCCAAGCTCCAATAGGGGATCAACATCCAGTATACTGCATTAAAATTCTGGCAAAGGTAATGTTTGCTGCCACATGACCTAAGCACAGTGTTTGGATGTCTCACACTGGTTGGCATAAGAAAAAAACACTCACTTTTTCGAGCCTCTCTTGAAACCGCATCAGAGAGATCTCATGTGCCTCGAGAACTTCTTTTTCAAGAACAAGCAGTTCATCTGTGTACTCGTACAGGACTTTTTGCAGCCCCGAGCAGACTGCATGCAGATACAAGCCACGTCTAACTGGCCTCTGGTCTTCCTGAGCACCTTTAAATGAGAACAGATGGACCAGTTGAAGTCTCGCCTTACACAGACACAAAAATATCTCCCCTGAAAGCAATTGTAATCTTAGTAAGTGATGTTAAAATGATCTGCTTCCAAGGAGACTACATCTAAGTTATCAGAGATGTCCAACTGGAGGGCTCCAACCGTTTTGGTTATACAGGTGTCTCTAGCATTCACCTATTTGACTTTAAGTGCACCGTAATGTTGCCCATATCACAATGCAACCAGAAGGGCCAACACATGACCGTGAAACTTACTGCTCAGCAGACCAGTGTGCTTGCCATCAAGTTAAAGGGACCTACAACTGACTCTTTTCGATCCAGTTTTTTCCTGCGTGACAGAAAGCTTACCCTTCGTAGTGATCGTAGCTGCAGTAGTTGATCCCAAGAGCTTGTAGTCATTTTATTAGCAGTATTTTTCGATCTGAAAGGCTCTGAACACGGTATTCCCTTTTCATACGGCAACGCTGAGTATTGATAGTGATGCCGGTAAGCTTCCTGGTGGCTTATGCATGCTGTCGTTCTTATTTTGCAGGATTTTATGGAACTATGCTTAACCACATTTGTTCTGCACTTTACAACTATATTTTTTTAAAAACAAGCCATTAAAATGAGACGGTGTGGCTCTATAGAGCTTCCCTGCATTTGTACCGCGTCGCCAAGCCAAGTAATCTGAAACAAAACTGCGCATATGTCACGCAAAGGGAGCACTACTTTAATGCGTACTACTAACGCAAGCTTATACGTATACTTTTATAAAATATTATTTTTTGCTATAAAGAATCAAACAATATTTCAGTACTAATCAATAAATCGTTGACCGTGTACATTAAACCATGGTCACGTGGCAGGGCATTCATGATAGTTTATGTTTTTGCCTCCAGAGACACCACAAGCCATTTTTCGTGATTTTCAATGAAGAAATAAAAACAAAAATCCACTTGTCATGAGAAAAAACAGGGTTGGCTTGAGTCACTATAAGGGACAATCTTTCCTTTCGTGCAGTGATCTCATTTCATGTTCTGGGCAGTTGTCGGTCCCTTTAAGTCGCTAGGCACACACCACCTACTTCTTTTGCTTGGTCCAGTGCATTAAAAAAACATGCAACAGTTGTGTTGTGCATGTCACGTTGTCTAGCAAGTGACATCAAGTGCGAACACGTGCTGAATGGAAGGGTGTACACATATAGTGGTGGTCTCCATCCCCATCTTCTATGAAACTGAAACAATATTTTAGTGCCAGCTACTGACAATACTATGCAGGTATGGGCGATGACAATGCCTCTGAAAATCTGCAAATCACATGCTTCTAGGCAATATGTTTGAAAAAAAAAAGAGAGAGACACGATTATTACCGCTCGCGAAGAAACTTCGGTGAGTTGACACGAAAGTTCGCAGGTACTTGACATGGTAGCCTAAAGCACAAAGCTTATCCAAAATCAGTGTTTCAGATGGGTGCATAAACGGAAGTCCTTTGGTGACCTGAAATAAAGTGCACAACTATTAGCGATATATTTCAAAAATTTTACAGGAATTATAATATGTGTACCTGAACTCTTTTATACGTTCTTAAAATCGCTAGAGCCATAAATTTCGCTTTGCATCGACTCATGAAACGACATAACAGATATCAACTGAGAATCATACCCGAGTTAGGTATCAAATTTAATAGAAACTGAAAAGTACGAGCCCAGCTGGTGAATTGTCACCTTTCTTTAAAGGCCGCAACTTCAATGGAAGTTCGTTTCTACATCGCACCGGGACAGTTTCGCAAGACGCGATATCGTTCGAAGAGATTAACATTTTATGAGTGTAGATATCATTGCCATAAACACAGTATGTTCATTTCAGACATCGCGAAAAAATTATCGTAAGATCGCAAAGAAGTTTCAGATTGCTGTTATCGTTGACTAGTCGACAAGCTGCCTCCGTAACATTACCGAAAAAGTGCCTTCTTTTTCCACAAAAATGCTTCCTGGGTATCCATTCAAAGCGAAAATCAGTTCGTGAAGCATCTTCTTGGTTTTTGCAGAAATAGATGTCACTGAATCGGCATAATCAACGCCAAACTCGAATTACAGCAACCTTCGTGTAGGCGAAACCTCGTACATGATTGCCGCCATAATGAACCTATTCTTGCTATGGTTACAGCAATGCGGCTGACTATAGTGGTTTTAAAATAGTCACGAATCCCACAGATTTATTTCAGTAACAATTAACCACTAATTTTTTGCGTTTTATAAGATTACTTCTCGCATATGAAAATAATTTGCGAAGAAGTTAATGCGGCGACAATGTCAGTGACACTAGCGAGGCCACAACTGTGGATGGTGGTGGTTTGCTGCAAGTTTCGGTTTTGTGGACCCTTGGCAACAGCATTTTGTTTTGCGCGATTCTTCAGGAAATGGTATTTTCGCTCCAGTGTGAGAAAGCTACTTAAAATCAAGTTCGTTAACGTCGAAACATACAGACTTTACTCAGCCACATAGCTAAACTGATGCAAATCTGCTGGAATAAAGTGTATACCTAAGAGCTCGTTTTTCCGTGTTTTGACACAATATTAATAAGATCTAACAGACAGTAAGGTCAAGAAATGTATAGGAGAAGTTATTAGAACCAATGTGATGTAAAATAAGAAGAAAGAAAAGTGGGTGAAAAAATAACTTGCCGTGAGAAGGAAACGAACCTAGGACCTTGGAATAACGCGTTCGATGCTCTGTTATTTTTTCACCCACTTTTCTTTCTTATTTTACATTACATTGGCTTTTAATAAGTTCTCCTATACATTCCTTGGCATTACTGCCTGTTATATATATATATATATATATATATATATATATATATATATATATATATATATATATATATATATATATATATATATATATATATATATATATATATATCCCACATTTCTTGAGTGGTCCATGGTGGAGGTGCCCCAACAGAAGTATTTTTACAGACGATATGTTGACATTGCTGTTAGCAAACTCAGCGATCCCGCACGTCTAAATTTTGTGCAACGGACTACAGTGAATGCTTCACCACAGTAAAGGAGCCATATAGAAGACTTTCCGGCATCAAAAAAAAAAAAAAGCAATAACGAGAGGTTTTGCTGCCAGATTCAGGTTATGATCAGTGGGATATAAGTTCACAACACATTACCAATTTTTTCACCGAGCTCAAGTAATGCCTCTACCGAAGTGTTCTCCCAATCACTTTTTTTTTTCATTTATTTTAAAAATTGTTAACTGTTGCTTGCTTCTGTCAAAGGACCTACTACTATATGGTTATACAATAAAGGTACTGCATGGGACAAAAGACTGTGGTGCACAGGTTCCATATGGCAAATTTCTGCTTAGTTAAATATAAATGACCATTCTCATTTAATACACAAGTGTGCATTTCAGAATCTACTAAAGGAGGAATCTTTCAATTAGAGGCTATATATGTTCCGTGGTTAAGTTAGAACTCCGCTTTTTGCAAATATGTCCTGCGCTCTACGAAGTTTTGCACAGCTTGAGCTACAATGCAAGAAGTGTCAATATTTCTACTGACTACAACTTCGTATATGAAAGCATTGTAACTGTGTGCTAGCACACCATGATATTAAAAGCACATTTTTAGTGCCACATTATTTTGCAGGTTTTGCTATGAGCATATACATGCACACTGATGAAAGTTTACAGGGGCAAGATATCCTGCAGGGGAAGGGTATTATTGCAAGCGTTGCTTAGTCTGCAAGTATACGTGCATAGAAAACCTCTGAAACGATATATATTCACTTCTGCAAAACTTTTTTGCACAGCTCAGATGCAACGTTAAATATGTGCTCTTAATGTCATGGTCTACCACCGTACAGTTACCTTGTTTTCTTATACCGCAACGCATTGTGATTAAAGAATGTTGTACATCAAAGCCAAATGAAGTAGTGAATGCATCATAGATTTCTGTAGAACTGGCTATAAAGGGCAACACAGCTTACCGCCCCTCTATTAAAGTGATAGCTCTTCACACCTTTTGAATTCATGTATTCAATTTCTTTTTGTTTACCATCATCTTGTGTTTGTTTCAACAACTTCGCAAGGTAGGTGGTTGCAAGTCTGTACAGATTTCTCACTGCACGTGCCATTTGACTTCCAATGCCAGGTATTTTTAAAGCAAATGTTCGACCAGTAGGTTAATCTTCCACTTGACACAAGACAAATTATGAAAAATAAATGCTCTTTATGCCCATGAACCTTCTCTTGGGCTGCACTGTCATGAAGCTACACGTAAATGTTTGAAACAGCAGGAAAAGTCAACCTTACTTGGAATTCCCTCCGAACCAGAAAATGCAATAATCAATCTTGGTCAATCTTATCACTTGCGCTAGTAACCATGAGGGTATGTCTATGAGGTATGTGTCAAGTCCTGTTGGCTAGAAGCAGCCTAATCCCATTGCAGGTTGACACCTGTGTGACTATTGCTCTATGTTAGCATCTGTATACAGATATATTAAAATTATTTTATATTAAAGATTATTATATTAACAATATTTTATATTTTATACTCTCGGCTGCTGACCCGGAGGTCGCGAGATCAAATCCCGACAGCAGCGGCTGCATTTTCGATGGAAGCGAAAATGCTGTAGGCCTATGTGCTTAGACTTGGGTGCACGTTAAAGAACCCCAGGTGGTTGAAATTACTGAAGCCTTCCACTACGGCAGCTCTCATAATCATATGAAGGTTTCGGGATGTTAACCCCCCAATATCTATCTATTTTATACACTTGGTCGTATACAATCTATTTCCAAATACAATTGCTAACAAAATTCATCAACATTACACTTCCATCAACCAAAGAAACAAGCAGGATTTTGAACAGGCTACTCAACAATCGACCACATTCATACTCCCAATTAGGTGATAGAGGAATGCTCAGAACACACCCAACCACTATACATAGCCTTCGTAGAGTACCAGACGGCATTTGATTCAGCAGAGATATGAGTAGTCATGCAGACACTGCGGAATCAGGGCATCAAAGAAACATATATAAACATTCTGGAAGAAATCTACCGAGGATCGATTGCCACCATAGTGCTTCATAAAGAAAGCGACAGAGTACCAATCAAGAAGGGTGTAAGACAAAGGGATACAATCTCCCCAATGCTATTTACTGCGTGTTTAAAAGAGGTTTTCAGAGGCTTAGAATGGAGAAGTTAGGGATAAGAGTTAATGGAAAGTACTTTAGTCGCCGGCGATTCGCCATTGACATTGCATTCCTGAGTAACTCAGGGGACGAATTGCAACTCATGATTACGGAGTTAGACAAGGACAGCAGAAAAGTAGGTCTTATAATTGATCTGCAGAAAACGAAGGTAATGTACAACAACCTCAAAAGAGAACAGCACTTCGAGATAGATAGCAGTGCACTTGAAGTTGTAAAGGAGTACGTCTACTTAGGACATGTATTAATCGCAGAACCAAACTCCGAGATCGAATTAACTAGAAGAATAAGAATGGGGTGGAGCACGTTCGGCAAGCATCCTTAATTCATGACTTGTAGATTGCCACTATCTTTCGAGAGGAAGGTATATAACAGCTGCACCTTGCTTGTGCTTACGTACGGAGCAGAAACCAAGGGGCTTACAAAGAAGGTTCAGTTCAGCTTAAGTTCGGGACGGCGCAGTGAGCGATGGAAAAGAAAATGATAGGTGTAACATTAAGAGACAAGAAGAGAGCAGAGTGGGTCAGGGAACAAACCGGGGTTAAGGATACCACAGTTGAAATCAAGAAGAAGAAATGGACACGTGCCATGCACGTAGCATGTAGGCAGGATAACCACTGATAATTGAGGGTTACGGACTGGATTCCCAGAGAAGGCAAGGAGGGTAGGGGGCGACAAAGTTAGGTGGACAGATGAGATTAGGAAGTTTGCGAGTACGAAATGGCAGCAGCAAGCACAAGACAGCGTTGACTGGTGGAACAAGGGAGAGGCCTTTGTCCTGCAGTGGGCGTAGTCAGGCTGACGATGATGAAATAAAAGAAGTTTGGTCTCATGCTCCTTGAAATGAGCAGTTCAGCATCTGTGTCTTCTTGGTTCGTACCCCTTACTCAGTGGCACCACACAACAGTATGTTAAGCAAAAGGGCGATATGAAGCAATGTTACTGAATGCTCTGTTGCTGCATTGTGTCTGTATTGCTAAGGACATGGCACTGCTTATATCGAGCAAATGGCACCTTGTAAATTTTGTTATTACACAGAGATTTCTAAAAGTGTGCAAATAGGCCTACAATGAACACCTGGGTAACTTCCGAGAGATAAGCATGTTTGGCTCTGCAGGATCTCTCAAACTGCTATGCCTTACGTACTATCACAAGAGTGATACCTTTCTTAGAAATGTCAAATAATTTTAATAGAAATATAGACAATGTTGCTTTGTAATCCCTGTTGAACATCGTCAGGTTTCATAGAGAATAAAAAAATGCACACAGGAAAGAATATGCAATTTGCTTGATGGAAGTAAATCTTTTTGCTGAATAGGAAGCAGTGGCAGTAACAGTTACGATGACAGTTAATCACTTCAAACTGTTGCCTTAATTTGTATGAATACCACATTGCTTGTCAGGTCTATTATTTACAAGGACTTCAACAAAGATCAGCACAGTACTTTTCCATTAAGAAAATAATTATTTAGAATCGGCACCCTCTTTCAGGTTATTCGGGCAAGTGGCTGCCCTCCTGCCTTCCTCCTGTGCGCACCTATGCCTCTGCTCACAGAGCTAGGGACATGACAGAACTGACAAATGATTACAACTCTCACTTACTATCACCACATAAGCTTCAATATCTTCCTTTCCTTGCTATAAAAGCGGATGCTCTCTTCTGACACAATAAAAAAAAAGGAGAAAAAAAAATGAAGATAACAGGACGTATATACAGGGGGGGGGGGGGGGGGTCGAAAGTTCCCAGGCCAATAACCAGTGTATTGCTATGGGAGCCAGCTACGTGACATCGTTTGATGTTGACCTTAATACAATTCTTTATGACCTGCTGCTTTAATGTAAAAAAGGCTTGCAAGAAGCTGTGATTTTTCAATTATTTTTCAATAATATTTCAATTATATTTTCTCGAATGTGAGCAATCACTTATCTAACCATTACACCAATTGAAATGGAACAACCAAAAAAACTGCACATAAATTTAAAGGCCTTTGGCTTGGGGTCTGCAAGAATAAAAGATTACACAAAAAACATGAAGGCTTGATTCTCAGTAACAGTGACATTTTAAATACATTGGACCATAACTATATCACTGCGGCTGTAGCCGTACACCTTCACTGCCTCTACCATGCATAAACCAAGAATTCAAGATAAACAAAATATCACCAGCGTTAACTTTGACACAGTAGTTGACGCAATTATTCTGACAGGTGCTACTGTTCTCATTTGATTAATTACAGGTACAGTTAGCTATGCCTTCTCGGCAGAGATATCTGTACTGATGTCAGCCCTCTGATTGTGTTTACTTCAGATCTGGGAAATGTAGTCAGCATTATGGGAAGTCATCTTACTTGAAAATTTTCACAGTGACCTGTATCGCAGTGTGACCCAGGGGAGACGGTTCCCACATACCATAAAAAATATGCCTTAAGTGATTGGAAGATGCAACAAATTTAGCAAGTATATAACTGTTACGAAAGCTGCATGCAACAATCGACTGTACACGCCTCTGGCAAGGCTATGCCACTTGCAGCGTCTTCTGAACCTTTAATTTGAGAATGCACTTTGTCTTAAAAAAATAATCTGTCATTATACTGAGTTACAATAATGCAGATTTCCTGTCTTGTTTAAAGAAAAGCAGTAGACTGATTGATTGATATGTGGGGTTTAACGTGCCGAAATCACCATATGATTATGAGAGACGCCAAAGAAAAGCAGTAGCATTTCTGTTTTTAAGTAATAAGTTGAAATGGAGCAAGACTTTTTAAGTGGCTGTTTTTGTATGCCATAAATTTTGTCTTAAAGATACTGGACATAGCAGTGTTACAGTGTACTGGTGGCTGATTGTGCAATGCATGTAATTTTCTTCCAGTCATCACGAAAGTACCACTTGCACCTGGTGTACCCAGAAAGCTAGCCCTAAGGCCTATAAATGCCTGCTACAGCCAATCTCTGATCACAGCAATCGAGCAACCGCTGCAACTTAACACACTCCCGGCAAGCCACAAATGCACAGCTTAGTATATTTACAAGTTACTAAATAGTATTTGCTGCTTTCGGATTGCTATCCACATCTCACATGCAACACATACACAAACGCAACACAGGTCATTTGGCTGATGCAGCAAAAGTATGCGTTAAAAAGCCACGCGTGGACGTAGACGGTAACATTGTTATAAGAAGATAAAAGCATTGTTTAGAGGTGAACGGGATGACCTTCCAACAAAAATTTTACACGCAGCATGCCTAAAGTCATTTAATTGTGCTTGACCGCGCGAATCCATAAAAAATGTTAAACCCTCAACATTTGCTTGTCGGTCACTCTACCAACCGTGAGGCCTGCCAGGCAAGGATCGCAGCTGGATTCACCTGCGGACAGTGTGTGCAAATCGAGAAGCGTACTACCCAACAATATCTGTCAATAGTGTTGAATCTGCCTAAATTGGCAAAGTATTCCTTCAATCTCCTTCATTTATTAACTTAACAATGCAAGGTTATTAGAACAAAAAGTAAAAAAAAAAACTGCACTTTACTTTTCAAGCCTACACTTATGTGTCAGTGTAGCACAACAAATTTCAATGCATTTTTCCTACATTTTGGTTGTCGCAGTTTAGTGAAGGTTCAAAAAGGTAGAGAAATGAAGTATTTGGTATCCTTCATAATAAAATGTAGTTGTGATTTGGCAACATGCAATTAAGCAGGCCCAAGGATTCACCGTTGACATCTATTTCATCACGGTGAGCTGGTGCAGGAACTTCAAAGCAGCATTGTCATCTTCTGTCTATTCGTTTTAGCCTTCTTTGTGGCTACCCAAGCTTGTTCAAACAGTATTGACCACTTTCTGCAATTGTACACGCATAAAACAGCTAAACTTTTTCCTTTAGTGTCTCCATTCTTTCCAAGTTCAACGAAGTTTAGCATACCAAAGAAGGATTTTTGAATACTAGAAAAAAAAATTATTGTATTACTTGATGCCGTTTTATACTAGTAAAGCTTATTCTGTATTCGACACGTATGAATGGCTGTCTTACTGCTCCTTTGCCAATTTGTAACGGGGTCGCGACCTCGCCAAGCTCTCGAGCTTTTCAGTCCCATACTTGTATTGAAAGGGAATAAAATTGATAGATATTGATATTTTATAGCTTATTAACCTGGTCTATGAAACAACGTATAAATGTCACCAGTTCATAGCCCCTCCCTACTCCTATCCAGATGTATTCCCCGAACAAGCTGTCAACCCTGCACACATTATGGTAACCTAGGCTCATGGACTTTTGCATCACAAAATATACAGAGTAATATGGCACTGTAAGGTCAGCGACACTGATGTCAGTCGTGAGGTGTACACACAAGTGAAGGGGAGCCAATGAGAGTAAACTTAGCATGCAAGCTCAAATGATATGTGTAGCCTACTCAGTGTCCTACCTAAAGTAGTGGCACTATAGAAATAAATCATGCGACATGGAAGGACTTGACAATTGTTATGATAGAAGCTCTTTTTATGCATAAAATCCATTTAGTCACAGCACTGATGTAGATACTGTGAAACTGAATAACAAAAATATCAACTGTTGTCGTGCTCAGAAAGCAAAAAATAGCCATTATCACTAACAAAAAAGAATGCTTTGTTCCAAAAATATTTGCACTATAACAAACTCTAAACAATATGCAACAAGGGCAAGCTGCTTGTAGAGAAAGCTCCAAATCATCACACTGGAAAAAAAAAAAATCAATGGAGGACAAGCCTGAGGACACAAACAGTGCATTTGTGGCTCTGAGCTGGAGTGTGTTAATGAGATACAGAGAGAAAGAGAGGAGAGAGAGAACATATAAAGAACCCCATGCCATAGATTCTGGAGGAAAACATAGGTTAAAGAAAACAGCAGCTTTCGCTTCTTTCGCGAAGGTCCAATCACATAGCATTGCAAGCTTTCTTCAGCAATGATTACAGCCAAGTGCATATTTTGCATGTTTTAGAGTCCAATGAGGACCTTTACCGGATGCAACAGAATTTTAGGCCGCTAATTTAATTACATCAGAGTGCCTAACCTTCAACAGCACAAAGTGACCTTAAACTGAACTAGCATACACATTGTCCAGTGTTTGTTGTTGCAGTAAATGCAAAGAATGGCTAGAGCAACGCATCAGAGTGACAAGTAACAGCTACTGATCAACACGCACTCCTGCTTGGCCAATGCATAGCACGGTATGTTGTAGACCAATGAACCATCTGGGCGGTGCACTCGTGACAACTGCAACCAAATGCCTTCAATTTCACTGCATACTTTTTATTCCATCGCATGGCGGGATCTTTTTTCTTAATTTTGAAAGTAAAGAGAGAATGAGAAAAAAAAAGAAAGAGCTTTTACAGCAGCACCGCAGGGAGTCTTCTTAGAGAAAGACGTAACCGGGTCAAATTTCGGTTCCGTGGAAATCGTAACGATCCCCACAGTGGTCGATGTAAAGAAAAAAAAAAATTGAGAGGGAAGGCGGGAATTGGTATAAGAGTGCAGCGGGTAGAGAGAAAGAGAAGCCTAGAAACGCGCAGCCATGTTAGTGGCATCTGATAGGCTTCCCCCAGACAAGATGGCAGGGTCCTGAGCAATCCAGGGCATGTCTGGAACACCACTGTTGCCCCAGGGTGGGGGACAGCTGTTTCCGAACTGTGAAGGCCCCCGCAGGTGTGGTGCGTGGTGCGGACCGGCACCAGCCTGTGGGCTGCCCCCATGTGGTGGCCCGAAGGTTATGTTCACTGTGGGTAAAAGTGAGCGCAGTGCTTCTTGGGACTCACGCAGCGCACACAGTTCTGCCAGCCCATTCCCAGCACCAGGCATGGCAGGCCCCTGGTGCGTCGGCAGGGGCATCAGTTTCTGTGTTTGCTGTCCCACTAGGAATGGACTAAAGCCCGGCGGCGGTGGAGGCCTGCGTAGCAAAGGTTCGAAAGGCGGAGCTGGGCGTGACGGCTGCAGGAAGGGTGTCCGCTGTTGATGGTGCATCGACAACAAGGGGCCCTGCAACGGTGCTGACAAACTTCTGGCCAAAGGTGCCGACAGTGGCGTCGAGAGAGGGGTGGATAGAGGTGTCGTAAGCGGGGTTGTCAGCGGAGTCGAGAGGACTGTTGGTGGTGGAGCACCGAGAGAATTGCCGCTCACCAAGCGTGGTGTAGCCGTCGTTGTCGAGGTGGTCGCCGAGACTGCCTCCTTTTCAAGCAAGTCTGCTAAGCCCTTGGAGCACTCGTCCCACGGGTCGAAACCCAAGTCGTCTTCGTGGACGATCGCATCGTCACCGCCAGCCCTGGTACGTCTCGGGAGACGGGGGCGATAGGGATGCCGTAAACGTTGGCGACGGATCTTCAGGCGGTGTGCTTCTGTTCTCCTTGGGTGCCTGCGGTGTGCCACCGCTCGTAAGTGTTGCTTGCCGCCGCCGCCGCCGCTGCAGCAGCTGCGGCCGCAGCAGCTTTCTGTTCACTCTGCCTAGCGTGCCGCGGTGCCAGCCCTGGCTTACGCGGCTTGTTGGCCTTCTTCGGGGCAGTAGTAACAAGAGGCGCAGCGGCCGGAGCCACAGCGGGCGGAGGGGCACACGCAGCCACGTTATTGTTAGCCGCTAACATCTGTTCGTGCAGCTTACGCTCGTACTCTTGGTGTTTACCGTGTTGCATCTCTTCCTTTGTGAAACTCGCCGCTTGGTCACCCAACTCGTGCAAATACATGCAGTCCGTCTTTGGACACTGCTGGCCACGCAAAAAATAATTGCAGTACTTCGTGGTGCCGAGGGAAGCCTTTAGAGTCCTTCCGTCCACTTTCACGTTGTTGACAGCCTGGATGGCTCGCAACGCATCCTCCGCCTTGTAGTAGGTGACGTAGGCGCTCGCTGAAGGGCCTTGCAGCCCCGCGTATGAGGTGCTCTGATTGACGACCACTTTGTGAGTCTTACCGTATTTACCGAAACAGTCCTGCTTCTTGAGAGTTTCCGCGTCCGCTAGTCGTGGTGGCAGGCCCACTACAAACACCAGATTCTTCTGTACAACGCGAACGTTCGCCAAATGTTTACGATTTTCGGACAGCTTCTGCTTCCTCTGCAGGTCCCTCTGTCGCTTCTCGTTTTTTATCCTATGCAGCTCTTCCACCGAGAGCGGTTTGAAGTCGGCCGGGTCCTCGGGATACTGTTTTCTGCAGGCGGGACAGAGCCCATTTTCGTCAGTCCTGATACGGTGCCAACAAAATCGACAAATCTGGTATAGACAAGTGCACGGGAAGAAGTTGATGTCGTCCATTTCCAGTGGTTCCATGCACAGCGGGCATTCCACATTCTGATCCTCCCCAGTAGACATCGCTGACCGAGGCACAGTTTCTAAGGGCACACGAACACCACCTTGCCCAGATATGTGTGGGAAAATTCGCCTTTTTTTGAGCACCTGTCAAGTCAAGAACACACCTTAACTTCCGCTTGCGTCGCTTATGCCTCTCAAAAACCGAACAAAAAAAATAGAACGTTGGAAAGGGACCAGGTGGCAGCACAAATGCTGGCACGTTCATTTACGTGTTCACGTGCAACAGCGAAGCGACGCTCACATATCACACAAAGCATGGCACAATGTAACTGACGTCATGCCTAAACGTTTTCCTGCGGGTGGTCTGCCTCGAGGATTATCAACCGAGCGCATCCCGAAGCCTCTTTTCGAATACTGAGGGCGCTCTCATCGGAACCCGAATCTACGGCGTCTGCGGCTCTTGGTGAACTGAAACTTGTTGGAAATGTGAAGGAGTCTCAAAAGCCCTTTCTGACACTGCAGCCTGATGCTACAGGGCAGCAGGATAAGCCCAGAGAAACACTTGCCGCAGCTGTTGTGACAGAAATTTGTAAGACATCGAGATTTTGCCTCGTCTCGTTTCCAAGGCTCGGTTCCGGCATTTGTTGCAGCTTCTGAAGGGTTCCTGTACGAGTTCGTTCTATTGCAAATGCCTTGCAAAAGTTGTGTCAGAAGCCGCCAATAATGTGGCGACGCTGTCCAATGACGAAACGCGCGTTCGTGTAAATCACGGTGCAACCCGATCGCTTGCAACGCCTCGTTTGGCTGCAATATGCGAAAAAGTGTCGTGCCGCCTAGTTGAAGTGAAACTCTATCCGCCTCTTTTTGCCTCTGGTTGTAAGCAACGTTAAATTCGAAAGATATGATTAGCAAGAGAAACGTGTAACTTGTGATTTTCTGTTCTTTTTTAGCAAAAAAAAAAAAAAATGGATTCCAAAGAAGTGAAGCAAGCGCTGAAGGATGCAAGAGAAGCAATCAGACAAAAGGAGTTCAAAGCTGCTCTCAAGCACTGCAAGGTTGTATACATTCGTTATTATTTTTTGTCAACATAAACTAACGGTCTTACCTTACACCATTATAGATACTCTGTTTGGTAACGGCACTGCAAAATTAAACCTTGGCTCGGTTCATGTGCATTTGCGCACTACTTGCCGTGGAAAGATTGACGCACTGCTCACGGCATAAAGTTATCGCAGTGACAATTTCACATTCTGCCCCTAGCAGTGCCCAGCAGCAAATAGATTGTGTACACAGTGTTGTCTAAGAGCCTTTTTAGTATAATTGTGATCTGCAACATGAATTCTGTTTCTCCGAGTGCCTTTGAAAAGGTCTCTTGATTCCAGCAAATGATGGGTTAACCAATGTCGCAACATTGTAGAGCAAGTGATCTCTCATGTTTATGTGATGAGATACGTAGGTGATGTGGCAAATGGAAGTGCAATTGGCAAAGGTAGTCGGTCTTGCCATGCAATAAGATTGAAGACACGCTCGTGTGCTATAGCTTTTCTTGTGCATGTGGTAATGTCATTTGAAATGCTGTGGGAATTGTTTTAAGTGTTTCCTGTGCAGCCAGCATTGTTATTGTGCCGCATTTGGACATTTGTATACCCCAGCATAGCCTGTCGAATTTAACAGAGGAATGCCACGTTTGTGGTGTATGTAAGATTATGGGACGCTACTTGTGCATAATTGTTTGTTGCCTGTAGCGCGGGTTTCACATGGCTGGGACATGACACCATGCGAGGCCTTATTACAAATTTAATCTCTGTTGCAACAAAATATAGCAGGCCAGAGCACAACCAATTGTACTTCTGACCTGCCCAGATGTCCTCCATCCACCGCCGAGGCCTAGTTCGTATCTTCTGCCTGCTAGGGCAGGCGCCTACGAGCAGCGTGGCAGTAGTCAGCACCTGTTCGCTGACTTCGGCTTCAGCGTTTGTGGTCATATTTTGGCCAACGGAGCACTCATACTGCATAATTATTATGCATAAATACAAAATAATTGGGAAATAAATATGCTAAAGGTCATTCAGAAATTCTTTGCAAATAAATGGACGGGACACCACATAAGCTGTTCCCACACTGTGTAAGTCTACGAGTTTCCATGTTTGTCAATCGGTGTGCAATAAATACTCAACCACCCTGAACAGCTTCCTTGACCAGTCGCCTAAGGTTGGTTGAAGAAATAGTCACATATATGCCAGCAGTTCATCGCTGGATGCAGTCCTTCTTACTCCAGCGCCGACCAAACAGCCATAGAGTAGCAGACGAACAGGTTGTAGGTAGCGCCGTCAATGGCGAGTGGGTGAACGACAGCAGGGACATGCGCTCTCATAAGAACCCCGCCACCTGGGCAGGTCAGGAGTACAGTAGGTCATGGGTCGTGGACCACAGTGCACTGTTAATGAGTGCGCAATGCAGCTATGCAACCTAATAACAAAACAAAAAAAAAACTGTTTATGAACAGGATGTGTTATAACAGAGTTGTTTGATTTGTATGTAAGATAGTCAATCAAGGAAAATTCTGGCCCACCTGGTTATGCTGCTCAGGTGTATCTCTAGAAGCACCCAATTTGAGTTTCTTTATTAACAGCTCTGAGACGTTGCTACTTGGCATGAAGTTTTAAATTAGTGGATGCAAGGAGTTTGCACCCACTACTGCAAAGCCTAAACTTGTGCCTCGCTAGGACCTAAAGGGTTATGCGAGAGGAATGTTAGCCGTTTGTGTGCCCCAACTTAAAAGTGCATAACATACTTTTTTTCTTCAACAAGTTTTACAGTTATGCTGCTTTAAGGAGACTGATTATCTCAACATTTCCCTTGCAGAGTGCTTTGAAAGTAGACAAGGAATGCTACATGGCTTGGGTGTTTGTTGGAGCTGCAGCACAAGAAATTGGCCAGCTAGAGCAATCTGTTGCTGCATTTAAGAGGGCTTGTGGCATCTCCCCTGACCAAATTCTGGCTTGGCAGGTATGTGTAAGCTTAAAACTAAGACCCTTGTGTGAATACTAGGAGCCAGGCCTCGTCAAACCGCTTTCAGGCACTCTTTTCCTGCCATTCTCAACTCTATTGGTTTGAGACGACTTATCTGGCTGACCGCTTTCATGGTGGCTTTGATTTATGCAGGAAGGTTTTCTTTGCTGCTCTGGGGTTGACAATTGCTGAAAGTGATGATGATTGCTGGAATTGCGGTTTCTGAGACTATGTTACAGAAAACCTATGGTTTGAAAATCTGATGATAATTGCGACTGTAAATTTGTAAAGGAAATTTTCCAGTATATGTGAGTGTTGGCAGGATTCCGTCTTGGGGGTTGCGCACCTGTGTAGTATTGCGGTGGGGGCAGGTGTGCGCTGCTGAGTGGGGAAAGGAGAAAGCTGGTGTACCTTGGGGAAGGTGGCAAGTTTTCCTTTGCACCCCTATGGAACTCAACGCTAGTAACGGCCCCTTCGTAGAGTTACACTTTCTGCATGTGGCATGCCTGTTTAGCACTTGCAAAAAGCATGTGATTGCACACTTGGCAGAACTACCAAATGTTCTCAGCATATGCCAGCGAGGATGCTCACTTTCGGTGAGTGGAATGTTCACCTCCCCTTTCAGGGCTCATTCTTGAAAAACATGGTTGATCTCCAATTCATAAAAATCATTATAACACGAAAGTGATACTTGTACTTATTATACTAGTAGCTGAATGTTTACTGCACATTGATATAAGAGAGCTTGCACATGTCTCTTGATGTTTGCAGATATAGCACCGTGTACCATGAATGCACCCACGTTGACGCTTAGTGATACATATTCAATTCAATGACTAATTTTTATGATAAATGATTAAACAAATCCTTGTGGTAGCTGTAGTAGGTAACGGTAAGAGCAGAATCAAAGAAACTGATGCAACCGTCCTGAAGAGCCGTCACTGAATGGACGCCAAACTTGGACTGAGGTCGCCTAATCATGGCATTTTAGAGTATTGAGGATCCCATTGCCAGACTAGAGAAATGAAACGTGCAATGTGTCTACGCTGTTGGCCAGTAGCGATTTTTCATGGGGTGAGTATAAATGAAGAACATGGAGTCACAGCCAGGCGATCCGGAGATATTTTTTGTGTGGATGGTTGCTATGAGCGTCACCGATGCTAGGGGTAATGTCGCCATCTGGCATTGTGTTAATTCAACGACAAAATGGCTCTTTTATTGGAAACGTGTTGCATGGGATGGACATGAAGAAGCGACATGTTGAAGAACTGCTCGTGGATGTCGCGGTCACTGATGTATTACTCGACATTTCCAAGAACATTGTGAAAGGACAGTGCTAGATATAAAAAGTGCATCTGTAAGGCTTTCGAAGCATGTGGCCATGGCGCAGCGGGTAATGTACCGGGACTCTGTTGTTCCGGACCGAAAGTTTGTGGGTAGGACTCCCTTAGACGAAACTTCTTTCTTTGATTTCTGATCATGTGCATTTTTTCGACATATTTCTGTGACCGAAGTGTGTCGCTGAAGTCTTGGTGGACCGTGGCATAAAATACTTTCGCATTAAAAAAATGTTTGTTATTAGAATGATCACTGAAAACTGAAATATATATTATTACATATAATAATTATGATTAATCAGGGCCATTTGTGCAGTCATCATTATCAGTCGCCCTGTCAGTCATTGCTGCCCCCTCCCTCTCTCCTGAAAAAAAAACAACAACAAAAGGATCGGCACTTGGCAAGAATCAGTTGTGTCGATTAGCCTAAGTAGTATTTGTTTTGTAGTACATTAATAAAAGGGCATGTGCATTAAGTGTACATTGTGCCTTAACTACATTCCTTAATCTTGGGGTATTAAGTTTTAGTAAGATACATGATTCATCGTGAGTCTGGCTGCGAAAGTCTATCTTGTGCTTCTGTGTGCATACTTTCTTGTTGTCCACTCAAGCTTCTAAATCGGTTGGTGTGTAGCTTAAAGCACATTATATTCATCTTGTAAGTTTCAAGCCAGTATTTGCTCATTTCTTTCAGGGCCTTTGTTCTCTGTATGAGAAGCACCAGAGCCTGGGAGATTTCGAAAATGACCGCCATTCTGTGTACATGAAGCTCATTGAGCTCACCCAAAAGTAAGTTCCAATGAAGGAGAAGCTGTGTTGCCTCTTTTGCAGGATTCCTTTACTAAAAAAATTTTTTGTTGCAGTGATGCTGCAAAACAAGTTGAGATAGCTGATAAACTCACCAGCCACTACAGGGACAACGGAAATGATAGCAAGGTGCGTACAGCCAGGCTAGTCTTGGAACTTGGAATTAGTATTCCTTTCTGGTTTTCATTAACTATAACTTCTTAAAAAAAAGTTAATTTCGAGCTACTGGTCTCAGGACATTTTTGTTGCAGTAATTCTTTGAAGAAGAGAAATGACTGTGATGTTACGTGTTATGAAACCATTTAAAGGTACATGCCTCCCTTTCCTTCCCATCATGTACCAAATTGGTCATTATCATCATTGTGCCGTAACCTCACCGAGCTCTTGGGGAAAACGTAAATCTAGATTTTGATTGTATGTTCCTTCTGTCAAGATTCACCTAGGCTATGGTGAAACTACTTCGTAGTTCTGATCAGGAAAAAATTCCCATAATTTCTGCATTTTCTCGTGTGGTCAGCAAGTGGCAGTTCTGACTGATTGATATGTGGGGTTTAAAGTCCCAAACCACCATATGATATGAGAGACGCAGTAGTGGAAGGCTCCGGAAATTTCGACCACCTGGTGTTCTTTAACGTGCACCCAAATTTGAGCACACGGGCCTGCAGCATTTCCGCCTCCATCGGAAATGGAGCTGCCGCAGCCAGGATTCGATCTCGCAACTTGTGGGTCAGCAGACGAGTACCTCAGGCACTAGACCATTGCGGCGGGGAAGTGGCAGTTCTCAACAGCACTGGTATAAAATGTTAAGTTGTCATTCTATATTATAGTGGCTGGTTGTTGATGGGCAGTGGTGCTAGTATCTGCTTGAGTGCATTGGATTTCAGCACAGTTAGTGCAGAAATTATAATTGAACATAATTTCAGCAGTCAGTAGAATATTAATATACAGTGATCAGTATACTACATGATCAGTGATTACAGCAATCAATGATCAGTGATTATAGCAATCAGTATTTTTTGTTTTTCTTTCTTTTTATGTGCATGCAATTTATGTATTTAAAAAAATACAAGGTAGACATACAAATATACATTCTGAGGTCCCTAAGTGAGAACCTGTCAGGGGGACCTCCTAATAAAGAATAAATGATGATTACAATAATCTGAGCAAACAGTGAGTTATGCATTTTATACAGTATGAAGTGTGTCAATAGCAAAAACATGTACTGCACATGGTGTATTCAGTATTAAAATTTCATTATTATGAAAGGGACGCTGAAATGATTTTGACGATTTTGTACAAACACATTGGGTTAGGTAGGGCGAGTCCTAATTTATTACAATGAACTGCGAATCACAGCGGCTCAGCCAAATGCATTTTAAACTGCCCACCTTCAGTACATCGACCTCTAGAAGTGTGACGTCATGCAGGCAGTTCATCTGATTGGATGTGATATGCACGCCACAGGCAATATTTTTCTACATAACTGCGAGCAAATGCTGTTCGGAATCTTTTAAACTTTTCAGCTTGTATCGGTTAAATATCAGTCACAAATAAAGTGAACACGGTCGCTAGTTTACAACTCGATTTCAGGACATCCTGCGCACAGCGAAGCGTTGTCTGTGTGTCTGCCCACTCGCATTTATGACATAGTGGTGCCATCTAGTAAACCAGCCTGGAAATTCTTCTTTCTGCATGCAATAAATTGCACAAATATCCGTCGGTATCTTTCGTAAAGGTATTCAAGATAAATACAAAATAACATCTGCACATTCTTAGTAGGCAAATGCTTTTTATGATTGATATTGCAAGCATTGTTGCAAGCATTGTGATATTGCAAGCACTAATTTGCACTCATCTTTAAAGTAATGTAATGGACACAATGACAATGTTCCAAGATGTCAGCAATTTTGTGGTTAGCAATCTGGCGGCTCAGCTTTCCCTTTAATGGTCAGTATGATATGCGATCATCCGAGTCAGTGGCCCAGCTCCTGATCCACCAGCGGCTACTGCGCTGCCTTCGACTTACACGAAGTAGACGACACCACGTCATGCTAGTGTTCTGGCACTTCATATCGTGACGCAGAGCCATTTGGAGTGGAGCTTAGGCACAAGCGCTTGAAGAAAAACTTTAGGGTGAAAGGCAGAGTGGAAGAGAAGGGTAGCTATTTATTACTCGTAGCTCCCTCAATGAAAGGTGTTTTGAATGAATTGTGGTGCCTATGATTCACTCGAGTAATGGTCAATTAAGGAAAATGAAAATCTAAAAACAGTTTCAGGGAGCCTTTTAAGTATTAATTTTTTTAGAAAGCTTCTTTGAGTAAGTTATTGTCCTGAAATATCATGCGTAATGTAGATATATAATATTATTTTAACGTATAACAATAATTTGCAATTTGTGTCTTCTAAGTATGTAGTACTATAGTGTGTGCTTAAGTGTTTATGTTTTGACATTTTTACTATTTTCAGTACTTGAGTACACTGGAAGAGTGTGTTAAAATAATAGGTGCCAAACCAGAGACCACTAAGTTGTGGAAGTCTCTTGTGGATTTCAGCAGTAACAAGCTGGTTACCTACCCCAAGAACCATCAAGAGTTGGTGAGTTCCATTTGAACTACATCCGCTGGTGGTGGTAGCCAGGCTTGCTTTCACAGATAGGATTTTGGCGTTTATTCAAATCTGTGTGCAAGAATGGGGCATCTCTGGCACGCTACAATGGCTCTGGTGGTATTGACTTACCATAGTTTGGAATCATCTACTAAAATAAAACCTGTGGTGGGGCACTGGAAGGAAGCACTGGATTACAAGCGTTGTATCTACGGTTAAAATGTTCGACTCTGAAGAATTAAAAAAAAAACGTAAAAAGAAGCTCCGCTTCGCTCATTCATCTCTGCATACGTGATCAAGCTATGAACTGCACCCAAGTGTTCATGTACGTTGCTTGCTGTTGGCAGTGATTTTTAGCCGCAAAACCGACGCGGCTGCAGCCTCAGTGGCTCTGCAATGGGCTGATAATAGCTTGTTAGAACACAGTTTGAGCTAACATACCGAAGAATAAATGTAGATTTCTAGATAAACCTATGAAGATCCCTTTTAGTTCTTGTATTATGTAATTTTGGGCAATAATATAGTCATATTTAACACACAAAAGAATAACATGTTTTCTTCAAGAGGTGTTGGCAGGTGTTTAAAGAAAACTTATGGTGCAAAACATATTATGCAGAATCTCATCAATGGAATTCCACTGTAATGCTTTCAACAGTGGTAAAATATAAATGGTGTTTCAAATTAAGCAGTGGGAGTATACGGAGCAAATTTTTTTCTGTCTCATCAAGGTAAAAGTGTTCTCGTATTATGTTGCAGCTTGTCAGAGCCTATGCACACCTGGCTTTCTCAAGTGAAACTGAACGTCCTCGCAGAGATGCACTGTGTCGATCCTATGTAGACGCTTTGTGTAAGGTAAGCACCAGACTTGCAAAATATGATGACTGAATTCTGTTCAGAGTAGTCGGACCGTTATCGTGAAACCTAGCTCTTGAATTGCCCATATAGTGTATACTGGCATCATTCAGTTGTATGTCAACCATGAGGCAAAATTAATAAGGCGATATTGTTTATCAAAGTGTGCTGTCTCCTGCGGGTTTCTTTGGAACATGAAAGGGACACTAAAGGCAACCACACTCAATCCTCGTTATAACGTAAAAAGATATAACGAAATAATGGATATAATGTAGATGAAATTCCCCTTGAAAGCTGCATTGAGAACCATGCACATTAGACCTCATTGTAACGAAGTAAAATAGACTGGCAAATAAGTATAACGAACTGTCAAAGTCTATTAAAAAAAAAAAGACTGTAGTGTGTCAAGTATATCAATTTCTGCAGTGTTTGATGCTCATTCGGCGCGACTCTTTCAAAACTACCACGCCGACCTTACAGCCACGCCACGCGTGGCCGAGAGCCGTCCTTCTCACACAGCCAAGGGAGAGGATGTGGGAAGCGCTCAGTGGGTCACATGACCGAGAAGCGGCACCGCAGTGCAAAGCAATTTCCCTCTCTGTGCCTTAAAGGGGGAGGTGGCATTGAAAAAAAACTTTTTTTATTTGTTGACCTACAGCAATGAAATTTGGCATGCATACTCATAAGTGTCTCGAATAGGGAAATATGCAGTTTCATCATGATACCTTCAGTAGTTCTCCAAGTTACACCATGCTACGTGGTACAATTACATGGTCTGCTCGTTGAAAGCCTAGCGCTGTAACAAAACATGCCAGGAAGCTGCGAATGGTGTTGATCTTTACTCAAAAAAAAAAAAAAGCTGCAATGTATGGCACTCTCAGTAAGTTCTCTCTTCAAGAGATCATCATGGCTGCCGACACACATTGTCAGAAACAGTGGCATGGACAAATCATCGCCTAGAAAAAAAAAAAAACAGCGCCAAAGAACAGAAATTTAAGATTGTTGTACCAACAAGCAGTGTTCAGGGATTCAGGAAAAAAAAACTGAATCAAAATCGGTCCAGTCATTCCTGTGCTACTCTTTCCACGAGCAATGCACAATGTCCAAAACACAATTGTAAGAAAAAGCCTCTTTTCGATGAACCTTTTTGTTTCTTGTTGGATATTGATAAAAATTGGCACAGACACTAAGAATGACCTCACAGTGCTTCCATAAAAATTTTGAAGCGATACTACAAATACTTTACGAGAGACGTATTATTTCTTTATCGAACCATGTGGAGGAGCTGAGCATAATGTCAAAAAAACAGTATTGAGAAAGCTGCGAAAGTGTGCAGCTTAAGTGTGCAACGTAAAAAAAAGTTTCAACTTTTCTTTACGTTTCTAAGACACCTAAAAACTGTGATCTCAGGTTTGTCTTGTCATATTTGACTTCTTCTGATGATTTACTCCTTTTCATGATTTACAACGAACAAGTATGGATTTTAAACCAAGTTCTTTGTATGAAGGAGTGGTGTGATGGGTGTGACAGAATAGATTGTAATTGAATAAAACCATATACTGAAATTATTACACATATTTTTTGTGCTGAAGTTGTGATTAGCATAATTAAGTAGTTGATTACAAATATTCACTGAAGTTTTCTTTTTTTGGAGAGAGGTTTATTGCATCGGAAAAATGGATCACACCATGACGGCCTATGCCTCCTTTCCAAATAACAAAGTTATGGGCAGAAGACTGGTGGCACAGGAATTTCTAGCAGTATAATTAATGACACGAAACGGGCATATAAAAATTCGTGCCCCTGATTCACGCGTGCTCTTTCGCCGCTCTAGCTGTGATACACATCATCATACAGCCAGCCGCGAAAACTCTAATCTACAGCAATTTATTAACCTCGGAACATTCATAGACCTTCGTGACGATATCAAGCACGGCTCCAAGCACGTCTGAATTGCATCACAAGAGCTTATTGACAGCACGCCTTATGACCATAGGGTGCGCGGCCGCGTGGACAGTGCAGTGGCGTTCGGTGACGATGCACGAACTGTGTAACTACGATGTCAAAAAAATCGGCATGCACTGCTCTTGGAATCGCATTTTCGAATGACGACGCGCGAAACTGCTAGCCGCTGTTCCGAGCAATCCTTGGCAGTGAAGGGAGGGGGGGTGACGAGCTTGAGTAAGTTGTCCGCTGCCGATGCGTAAAATACCCGTACGTGATTCAGAGGAGCTAGCGAGTGATGTGCTATATTCCTTGCGAAGAAGCACGTCACCAAGAGTGCGCTTGCACGTCGTTCCTGCCCGCAGTCTCGCCATCAGCGGAGTTAGGGCTAAAGCCGACTCCGATGACGCGCGGCGCTCGTAGACCGCGCCCCCGCTCGTAGTAACCTGATCGCGCATCCGCTTACTGCTCGTAACTAAAGCGTAATTATATCTTAAGTGATCATCAAGTCGTGAACACGTCGCGAAGTAGCGATTTTCGAGAGCCATGTCCTCGTGACGCACAAGCAGCAGATGACGATTTCCCGGAGCGAGCATCGGGCCAATAGCGAGGCGAGCTGAGGCAACATGGCGGCCATGGCCAATCAAGGGCCTCAAAACGACCTTCAAACATTTGCTTTTTGTGCGCTTGTTGTTAAAGGGAGGAGCGAGCTGAGGTGGGAAGGTTGAACACTGAGAAATGCTCTTTCCGATGAGCCCAAGAAGCGGGCTTCCGGCCTAAGCATCGCGAAGCTATAATTTTTTGAAAATCGCTGTTTTCTCGCCATTTCCAGAAAAAGTTTTGCTACCTAGGTGGGTGAAACGAATTTTCCAAAGCATTTCTGCACGGTTTTCAGTGTAGATATGTTGGAATCAGATAGAAAAAGGGTTCCAGAAACTAAAAACTTGAGTTTCAAAAAATCAATTTTTTCGCCATTTTGCGCAATCCCAAACCCACGTCCCCCTTTAAAGGGCCGGTCAACAGGCTCGGACTTTTTTTTTTAACACCCCCAAACAAGCTCGATAATTCGTAGTGTAGACCGCAGCGATCACGTTTTCTGAATATTACAGAGCTACGCGCCGTGCACAGTCTCCATTTCGAAAAACACCGTGCTCCTTTCCTACGCCTCACCAATTTCCTTGCAGTCGCTGGGACGACAACTTGGTGATCGGCGACGTGACGCAGCACGCAGCTTGTTGATTGGTTTAAACCAGGTCTCAACAAACAGTAGTGAAGTCAATGACAGTTTCTTTTGCAACCCACAGCTAACACAGAGCTATTCAATCATACGAGTTGCGAAACTCCCCATAGGCTCCATGCATCAAAATCGGGACAATTCACTGACCCAGTCTTTGGGAGTGAGCAGATTGTCCGCCACCTGTTGATAGGCACACGCACTATTAAGCGCATTATTTGTATTTTGTGTTGCTGTTCCCAGATGACGCGGCAGTAGGCTCCCAAAAAATTGAACTTTAGAAAATTTTGGAATGTAGTTTTGCTGCAAATTGTCGGCTGCAAATCGAGTGACTGGGCTTCTGAGAAGCATCCGCACCGGGTAAGCGGAAAACAACCAGGCATCACAGCAAGCGGAAGTGCGTTGCGACTGATCGAGTTCGCCGATGGCGTCAATCGTTGACGTCTTGTCACAGTGCCGAAGTGGGCGGAGTCACGACGACGCGCCACGCCTTCCCTTTTCTTTGAAGGAGAAGGATGGCAAGACCACGCGAAAATTTGAAACCAGCTGAATGCGATGTTCAAGCCCCTGTAACTTCCTTAATATAGCACGTATTTGCAAAATTCTTGAAGCAGCATGTTCACAAAGTAAAAGTGCACATATTTCTCTTTACAACAATTTTTGGATTTCGTGGTTGTTTACTGGCCCTTTAAAGACGACGGCAATGACCGCGTCTCCGCTACTACCCTCTGCGCCGAGAAAAAAGGACTCTCTCCGCGACAGCTTTCCTTTATTTTTTTCTCTTTCTCCGCGCGCGGCTTTGAAAGGAGAATGATCTCTACGTGCAGAGATGAAAAAGGGAGAAGCGTGGCACAGGCGTGTCACAGATCGGCATTTGAGAGAGAGCAGACAATCTGCCACAATCTTTTCTTTTTTTTTCTTCGCGCGCAGCGTTGAGAGGTGCCACCGCAGGATTGGGCATGGTGCTGAGAGCATTTTCGGAGTGCGGTATATTCTAATTAACCGCCACAAGTGCTTGTGTGTTTGAATTACACAGCATTTTCGCCCATTGGAATACACACAGCTTTGACGGGACCTCAGCTTGAGTTCGAATTAAACGTAAGTTTGATTAAGCACATTCGAATTAATGAGGTTCGACTGTGTTTATTTTTTGTCGCACGCGTGGTTGCGTAGCGATACATCAGGCTGCGAAGTGGTTTCTATCTTTGCATGCTTATAGGCGTGTGCCCATCAGTGCATACATTGCCACATACTGCTTTAATTAAATCGATATAACAAAATAATGGATATAACAAAATAATTGTGGCTCCGCTTCAACTTCGCTATACTGAGGTCTGAGTGTATTAAGTCGACGTTGATTGTTGAAATAGCAAAACCTCGTACTGTTACTTTTGGGCCAAGGAAGAGCTTATTTCAAAATAAAATCATGTTTTGTGGTCCGCATCGGGTTAGCACACTTCAAATTACCCACGTCACTGTTGCCGTGCACAACGTTGCTCGGCTTTACCGCGCGGCCACCGACACTAGTAGCAGCAGAACAAAAGCAGCGGAGCCACAGCAGCAACAATGGCAATTCAACAATTTCCTGCCATTAGCTCCAAAATGGCACACGTGTTTTGGTTCAAATGGGCCCCACTAGATGGCATGAGCTGTTCAGTTTACCCACGTAAAAATTGAATTTTCGAACCACTCGCGCCATTCCCCATAGTAACGTCCGGCGGTTCTTTTTTTCATGAATCAAACAGAAGCGAACAAGCAGCACTTTATGGTGGGTCTTGATGCACTGAAGGTTCTTTATTTAGTGCAGCTAGATCGATTACTAGTGATTGATTATAGGCAGTTTGTCTGACGTCATCGGGATCATTTTGAAAATGTTCTACTGCGGCGCATGTATTCTTGTGCATTTATCTTAATTTCTCAGTAGGGCACTGCTGTTGATATAATATTGTCGTTTTAGATGTTGTCATACATTGAGCTTTCACTCGGAAGTAAATTGGTATTTGACTTTAGTGTCCCTTTAAAGCGTAGTGTTTCTTTTTCTACATTATTTTGCAGACTGGTCACAGGGAGGAGGTAATTAGTGAGGCCCTAAGGTTTGGGGAAAGTTTTCCAGATTCGTCGGTTCCCATGGAAGTCATCAGTGGGATGTATGTGGACATGACTCTTAGCAGTAAGTGATGTAGGTTTTTTTGTGTCTGTGCTTGTTTTTCAATCTGTGAGAACATCAGCTTTATACGTTGACGAGAAGAATAAAACATAGGGTCCTTGTTACAAAATAAAGGCCCCTTTACTGATATCGAAAGCTTCCGTTATAACTTTCTTGCTTCTGACAGCACCGTAACTACTTATGATGTCACATAGGAAAACTCACTGGTAAGGAATGGCATAGTCACACAGTATGCCTGTCGTAGCCAGACATTTGCTAGACTATTACAGACAAGTTGTTTGGCAAGAACTACTGACAAAGGTTTTTATTTTAACTACAGGTTGGGAAGAACCAAAGCCTTCAACAGAAATTGACAAAATCGAGGAACTCACCAAAAGCCGCCCAAATCTGCAGGTTGGCTGGCTAGCAAAAGCAACCCACCTATATGCTTCTGGAAATTCCAAATGATGCTCTCGAGGCACTGGCAAGAGGTAAGAGTTGTTGCTGCTTGTGGATTTCACGCTGTTTTCATGATCAACTGCAAGGTTGTGCTTTGCATGGCTATGACTGCTTGCCAGGACATGATTATGAAGATATGAGTGACCAGCTGATTTTACCATATAGTTTTTATGTTTTCTGTAAATAATATTGATATCCTGAATCTAAAGCAGCTGGAAGGATTTTTAGGCACCTTGATAGCGTAAGATGCCTCGTCAGTAAACCTATGGGACTCATCTGGCCGGAAAAATTGAGCAAGAATCATAATCTGGACAAGTTTGTAATCCTGGCAAAAAAAAAAAAGTTTTTCTCATACACTGATATGGTCTGTGGTTTCTTCAAATTGGCCTCTCAGGGGTAAATATTTTGTTCATTTCTGTTTTATCTGTGTAGTATTAAGTAACGAGGTACACAATGTGTGTGTAATTAATTTATGTGTGGAAATGTTTGTTTGCATGGTTTTGCACACACGCTCTTCACCTTCAATGCAGTTTTTTGCCATGATTGAAAACTTGCCTTCTCTGCCACGGTGAATCGGCAGTTACGATGCTTAGGTGGTGACCTTGAGGTCACGGGTTCGATCCTGGCACCGGCAATTGCATTTCAGTGAAGGCGCAGTAGTAGGGGTGATGTACTCTGCGATCTTTGTGCACATTAAAAAACATTAGCACATTAAAGAACACCAGATGGTTGACATTTCCAGATCTCTCTGCTACGGTGTTCCTCATTTGGTTTGGGACGTAAAACCCGAGATAATACTTTGAACACTCACCATTCAGTGTACTTGAAATACTTGCATATGTTGTAGTAAATTCTTGCTTTCTAACTAAAATATTAAAATGAGAAACCAGTGCAACCATTTCTGTAAATTTTTATATCCTGTGAAACACTTAAATTTTATCTTTGCAGCTGTTCAGGTTGGGCGTAGCTCGAGAGAGGCCAGCCTGTTGCTTTCCTTGTGCAGCCTGAAGACGCACAATTTCCGCAAGGCTGAGGTTCATGCCCAGAATGGTGAGCCTATGAAATAATTGAGACGATGGCTCTACAAGTGGAGAACATTAACAAGCATCACTGTTTCACGTCTCGGCATGTGTTAACTGAACTGTCCCTGCTAAAAGATGTCGTTTCCCAAAATTTCTCTATTTTTGTCACCAGCTCGATAGCAAAGCAAGCCTGTCTGAGCACATTATGTACATTTCGTAGATAATGACAGACTATAGAATTGGACGGATGCCTGCATCAGCAGTTATGCTGGAATGTTTGATGACTTGCTGAGACATACAGGGATTGAAGATCAACTTGACCCATGGAAACAGATTTGATGTGAAATGTTGTTGATTATGATAATTGGTGTAATTTAAGCATCACTTTTTTCTCTATTTCTCGATTTGCATTGCACAGAACCTCATTACTCGTACTCTCAAGTATGAAACCCTGTACATGTGGAGTCAAAGCTTCAATCAGCTGAACCTAGCTGTCCCCACATTCATCACCAGTTAGCGCCTGTGACTGGACGACATCTGCGACGCTTTCTAAACTAGTTAGGGTTCTTCGGGAAGTATCATTAATTAGTAAATCGCCATCACTGTCATACTTTGACTTTTCTCCATGGCATTCGCAGTCGGCCTTATGCTCTCTGCGACGGGCTTCAGCGTCATGCGCTTGTCAACGGGCCTTAGCCTCCAGTGCCTCACAATGGGTCTCGACCTCTCGCTTTTTAATGATGTTCTGGACCTTTGGTCCCTTCAGTATGCCTCGTCCCCTTGAGCTTTGTGGCAAGCGTCATCCTCACGTGCCTTGCGGCGTGCCTTGCAACGTGCCTTGCAACGTGCCTGCGACGTACCTTGCAACGTGCCTTGTCGTCTTTAGCTTGGTGACGCGTTAGTTTTCTTGCACTTTTCTATGTGCAGCCTCCTCTTAGGCTTTTCAATGTGCCTCCGCCTCCTGTGCTGTCCGACGGGCCTCAACCTCCAGTGCTCCCTGACGTACATTGGCGTCCTGAGCTTTGCGATGAGCCTCGGCCTCTGATGCCTTTTGATGCACTTCATCTTCTTGTGCTTTGTGTCACGCGTCATCCTCTAGCATCTTGCGACATGACTCGTCCTCAAGTGCTTTAAGACGTGATTCATCCTCACCGCATGCTTTTAAGCGCCTCAGTCTCTAATTCTTTACGACGTGCTTCAACATCCAGCGTTTTGCGATGGCTGTCAGCCTCAGCGCTTTACAATGCACCTGATTCTTAGCAATTTCAGTAAGTTGCTGCAAGCTCTCTGATATGGAAGCCACAACTGAGCCTTTCCTGCGCCTGTGGCATTCAGCGTGCTGGGTACTCACCTTTCCTCTTCCCCCATGTTTGCGCCTATCCGGTTTTCGAGCTTTTCATGTATGGCTAGAACATCGGAATGCATCGGTTGACAAGGCATATTGTACAATAGCGCCCCTTTTACCTTGTAATACTCCTCAGTGTCCTCTCTACAGAGTCTAGCTGCTACACTGGCGACATCGCAGGGCAGAAGTGCTAGCAATTTCTGTGGCCAACTTTTGGGGGAGAATCCCGCCTTTTCGCATGTTTGCTCAAAATCAACAAGAAAAGTTGCGATGTCCTTGCCATCTTCGCACGACTTCAAAAGGTTCGCACGACTGTCTCACTCACAGCGAAAATACACCTTGCCGCTGTTATTCTAAGTTCCAGCTCTCTTAGTTTCAGCTCGAGTGCCTCTCAGCAGCTTTGTCGTCTGTCTCCCTTCTAGCTCGAGCCTCATGAGCTTTTTTCTCCTGAAATGCGATTTTCGTAGCTCGAATTTCCTCATGAGCTTCCTGGGCCTCCTCAACAGTCACTTTCTTAGCCTTTATAAATGGGAGGATCTGTTGTTTATGCTTAACCCGAATACCTAACTCTTCGCAAATCTCAAGGAGGTCCTGCACTTTGAACTTGCCTAGAGTGACACTTCACTTTGCCTCATTTACCCTCTACCGAAACTAAGCGGTCAAATTATACAATTCTTTGCTGACCAACAAGGTTACAACAGCAAAACCTACTGACGAAGAACACTAGCTAGGCCTGGCACTACGAGAGCTAAACTTCATGCACTCACCACACAAAGGTAGCTGACGTTGAACGATTCCATCAACTTGCCATCCACTGTTTGGAAACGGCATGTCGCAGTATCCCACCGCTGGCACCACTGTTAGGGCTGGTGCTGCGTGGCCAGTGTGAACACGGGTGGTTCTTGTGCTTGGAGCAGTCGTGAGGACGAGCTGAAAGACAGCAAATACTTTATACAGAGTATTTACATGTTGACGGTCTTAACTCTCAAACAACAGGCAGTGTGGTCATCGGTCTGCCCTATGAAATGGGAATGGGGGGTTCAACCCCCAACATCTCTTCCCCACGTAAACAGCTGATCTGAGCTATTCTGGTGGCAAAAGTGCAGCAATTCTGCAACACTTGCTAGCACACAATGATGGCCACGTTGGGGCCTCCAAGGGTCAATAAAATGGTCGGTCACTTGAATGTAAACATTGGACAGAAGTTTGTCTGGTTGGGTATAAAACTGGGAGATGATTCAGACTCTAATGAAAAGTTTTGAAGCAACCCGACGTTTCAAAACTGACTTAGTTCCTTCCTCAGGTGTGACTGCGGGGACTACGTAGCAGTGGCATCTTCAAAGCATTCGCGGGGCGGATAATGACTCCCTCTCTCTCATTATCTGCCCCGCGAATGCTTTGAAGACGCCGCTGCTACGTAGTCCCCGCAGTCACCCCTGAAAAAGAAACCAAGTCAGTTTCGAAACGTCGGGTTTCTTCAAAACCTTTGGTTGGAGTCTAAATGATCTCTCGGTCGGTGACGTATGACCACTGAGATTGGTCATTGACCGCTCTGGTGATCCTGTTTTGGAGTCCGTGACAAGCTGTTAGCTACTGAAGAGGCAAGTTCGGTCTGATCAGATCAGCATGACGCATCACGTCGGACGAGTAAGCACCACATGTGCGTGGGGCTTCATTGTTCACACAACTCAGAAATGTTGCTCTGCGGTTGGCACCCAGCTTAGGAATGTTGCTTTTTGTAGAACGATGACTGCCTCTGCCTGTAGTGACCGGCAAGGCAGCAGCACAACACTATAAAAGGTCAAAAGAAAACAGCCAAGTGCCAGAGAAGCCACAATAAATCAGTTTATGAACCTGACTAAACTGATTTTGTTAACACGGCTTTTTCGGTTGTGCACTTCTGCACTCCGAAGGCAGCAGTTGCAAAGAAGAAAAGAAGCCTATAAACAGATAGCTCTGTTTTGTTTGCAGGTATTTCTTTGTCACCAGGAGCAAGTGACTGGATGTCCCAAAAACTCCTTCTGTGTTTGGCTGAGTCTCTCTGTGCACAGCAGTGTCATGAAGAAGCATCAGCAGCTTTAGGAAAGGTGAAGTTCTTGATGACTCCTGATTGATTACTTTGTCGCTTTGGGGTACAGTAGCTTTAGTTTCACAACTGAATACGAATTGTGGGACTGCGACCCTCGCTGAAGCCAGCCACATTACAGTACTGGCAAAATGCAGTGGTTCCCATCTGCTTAATCTGTGCAGGACTATGAGCTAATCATTTTTAGTTGGAAAATAACGCACTAAGACATTTCTGCACTTCTATTTTTGTTGGCCAAATATTTTTTTAGGTAAGGTTACAAAACAGAGATGTAAAAAAAAAAAGCAGAATCTGAATTATTCATTAACACAAAGCGACAATGCAGCTGCTTCATTGCAGCCAAGTCTTGCTTTGCTATTAGTGACCATGTGGCTACTGCATTTTTGAACTCACCTGTTCACAATCTGTGCCGTGTTTTTTTCGAGGGTCATTCTGAGAAGTACTAAACCGTAAGTAACTGGAATACATGACAGCAACCAGTGATGCCATTGCTTTCAGATTGCAGAGGAACATGCGAGGCAGCCTGCAGTCTTGTGGTGCTTCTTTGAAACTGCTTTGCAGTCTGGCAACTTTGATAAGGCAGAAGAGGTAAAACTAAGCGATGTGCTTTGATGTGCGTGCAACACTCTGTATGTATCGGCTGATCCCTGGTCTGGTATCTCTCTCTCAGGTTCTCAGCACTTTGCAAGAGATTGCTTTTGAAAGCTCAAGAATGAAAAGTGCACAAGCCAGGCTGCTTATACAGCGTGACGAAATAGCTGAGGCACAGGAAATGTGAGAATCATTTCATTAATTTTTGAGAGCGTAACTGCTGAGTAAGTTTCATTGCCATCAATCAGCTGAATACTGTTGTTTCAAGTTGAGGGACATGTTCAAACACATATGTACACTGTCATCCTTTATGAAAAGGAAACACGCTGCCTACAAGACCATCATCAACTTACAGCAAAAGAAAATACATTGGCTTTTGGCGTCATCTATTGGCAAACAAAACAACGAGTTATGGCCGCTGAACAAGCGCTGCAAGATACTGTAGGCAGCCATTGTTCTAGAGAGCAGGTCACAGCGATCGTGTGTTTCCTTCCATAAAGAACTGACGACAGTGTACACTCATACCTCATTATAGTAGCAAAGTTGAACCTTACAAGGAAACAAGTTCATTATAAAGGCTATTAAAAAGGGCAGTTAAAGGGCAACTTCGACGATTTCTTGAGGTCAATAGATCTCAATGAAATTCGCTGGGTGCATTCATTTGCACGTTTCCATCATTTGTCATCAATTGCGAGCTAAAGAGATACTCGGATTTTCACAAAGAAATTTTAGAGATTGCCCCAACTCTCCCAGCTGGCTTCCAACAATTATTATTGCGATAGCAATGATGTGGACCCTCTCTGCTGAATTTCGCCGCCGGCGTCTGCGTCGATGTCATGCACCGTATATGTATACATATCTATATATATGAAAACGCAAGAAAGAAAAAAAATCAAAAAAAAACTTCGGCGCATGTAATTGAATGTGGGACCTCCACGTCGTGAATGTGAAGTGTTAACCACTGAGCCACCGAGGGGGACCTCCTTCAACGTTCAAACGAAAAGCTATTTATATCTACCACTTACCGCTGTTTGCAGGGCATCTCAGGAGAAGAGCTATCGTGTTTTCAGCATTATCAGCAAGATGGTGCCATGAGCGCGCCGCGGCTCTCATCTCTCATGCGAACTTTGGGCCGCAGAGAAGAGAGGAAGAGGACAATCTCTTGCGTGCTCTTATCTCCCAGTTGGGAGGATCATACATCTTGGCTGGCGTTGGGACTTGCATGAAACGATTCTGTTGTAGTTACGGGGTGCACAAAGTTCACTGCAATCAGTTGCACAGCCTCTGTTTGCGAAAAGGGTGCGCTTTTCAGACACAGCGAAGTAACAACTGAGACGCTTATTCGCATTCATTTGTACCTGTGAGTATGTTTCATGCGTCATTTGTGCGTGAGAAATGTGGGGCACATTTCTATTTGCTTGTCCATTCTGCGCGTGACCTACCAATTTGTTGCTATTGCGTTCATTGCTTTGCCTTTGCGGCAAAGCTGTGATTTTTTTTTTGGCAACATTGTGTGTGCGTGCCAATGCTTATGTCAAAGCTACGAAAGCGATGGAACTGAGGCGCCGCAGCATCGTCTGCTGTTCACAAGGCAATGATCATGTGTGTTGCTTAGCCAATGTTTCGTTGGTTCAGCGCGCGAGTTGCAGTTTGTTGTGGGCTTTCTAGCATTGGGTTGCAAAGTGGTGTTGCGTTGTGGTTACACGCGATTCCCCGTATATTTATCTGAGCGTTCAGGAAACATGCGGAGGTTATTAATGCTCTTCGTCTCGATGTTATATATTGTTTCAGCTAGCAGTGCCGGCTCACTTCACGGCAACTGTGTTAATAGCGTACTGGCAGAAGAGGGTCCATGTGTGAACATTATGGTAGTGCACTATGCGAGCATAGTAGTGCATGGAAACACTTTTTATACAGGGCGCACTATGACCAGGCATAGTGCGTCGTGCGAAAGGTGGCGCCTACTCGGCCTAAATTAATTTTTCTCAGCCCTGCCAGTGCAATCTTAAATTTCCACTATTGCCAGACATATGCACTCTTTCTATAGCAATATTAAGAAGCTTCAGTTAGTCCGCAAGCTTTTAAGTGATAGCATTTTATCAATAATGGCCCCACAAACCTGAGTGTCCTACACAGGTGACGCCATCTCATAGAGGAATGCACAACTAGCAATTGCCATTCCTCTTCAGTGATTTTACTTGGCCTCCTCGTGGATCCGAATCTCAGCTGTCATTTTTCGACTGCTAGGACGAGCTTGTGCTCATAGCACAGTCAGTAACAGACATGGTGCGACTGTTGCGATGGGGTCACCTTTTCCCTGAGTGCCTGTTCTTCGCCACTTTTGCAGGCAGCTTTCAAGCTTAACGCTGGCGAGACCAGCATGCCTTGTGCGGTTTCTGGTTTTCATAGGTTTTTACGAATGCTTACGTTGCACGAAGATAGCACTGTAGATAGGTTTCGGTTTCGCTGTTGCACTTTTTTGCTTAATCAAAATTATTCTAAAGTTTGCCAAGTATTTCTGCTATCAGGGCCATGACAGGACCATCTGTGGAACATAAAATCACCATTACCTTGATGAAAAAAATCAGCCAGTTCGTCTTAAATCTATTGCAAGACGATTTTTCATCTACGTTAAAACAGATATTTTATTATGTCAGTATTCGTTATGTTGAGGTTTGATTGTAATCGCAAACCACATAACGAAACATGGACAGGATGATTCCCGTGTCCTGCGCTTGTTTTCTTGTGTGGTTTGCATACTTGTGCGGTAAATGAGGTTAGCAAAAGAATACCAAACAATTCATCAACCTTCGGAGGAAACTTGAGAAACGGGAATTTTTATTGCGCAGGACTTTAGTCTAGAAAACACCTTATACTTTAGTGGTATCCATTAGAGCACTGCATGGGCAGATTTCTCTGCCCCGAGCCCGGCCCGGCCCACAAACTTCATGCTCCGGCCACCCAAGCCTGGCCCGTGATTTTTAAATACGGACTGTACCCGGCCCGGGCCCGAATGGTCTGGGCCGGGCCCATTGCCCATTCCAGCCAGTTTTGCCTTGAACATAAACGAGGCACAGCCCACGCTTCGGTTATTGTGAAGGTATTTTCCTCACACAAAAGATATTCTACTCAGTGTTTTGGAACTTCTTTCAGTGTCACAACTTTATCTGTTGCACTTTGTGTAATTTCGATTAATTCAAACCTCATTACAACAAAATCATACCTGCCATGAATATACTTCGTTATATCCAAAAAATTGTTATAAAAATCGTTATATCTGCTGTGCTGTATCTGTGACTGATCTATTTTTTATTTACTTCGTTATAATCAATAATTTTTCATTTTCGGTTTCGTTATATCGAGGTTTGAGCGTATTTACACACGTAAAGCTTGTAAAAAATAATTGCAAGCTAATATATAATATATTTTAGCCATAGCTGGCTGTCTCATGTACGCAGTGCTAACCACACAATCTTATTTTTGCATTTCAAAGGACCACTAGAAGATATACCCACATAAAGTGGGAAAAATGGCAGACACATGTCACATGTAGTTTAAGTCTACAGTTTTTGTGCCAGTGGCTGCGGGGGAGACTTTACCGTGAAAGGGTATACTGTCATCGTTAAACCTGCGCAGGTTAGTGCAGTGCAAATATTTAAAGTGGCATTGCGGCTAACGTAGCTCCAAAGGTTTTGCATCCTTTTATCGCACAATTTCATATTCAGATAAGGATGCTACAAGGAAATCTGTATGGATTTTTCAGAAAGAAAAGCCTTTTTGTTGCCCAACAATTTGTCCTGGTCCACGGTCAGGGTCGTCTTGGTCCGGAGTCAGGAACCCAGACCAGGACGAATTTTTTCATTACTGAAAGTCTTTTCTTTCTGAGGAATTCGTATGGATCTCCTTGTTGCTTTGTGTTACAAACGGGTGGTTGTCTTCTTTCCCTTTCTTAACCTTTCCGCCACCTTTCGTGTTTCCGCAGAACTCATATGCATTAGGTGTTCAGCGAGCATTGAGCGAAAATCGGGTCCATGCAATGCAATTGCTGTGCACTCATTTAACGCATAGGTGTCGTCTTAGTGACCACGACCAATCACATAGCTCAGTGAGACTGCCATGAAAGCCACCACGACAACGGCATCGAAGCAGGTCACTCGAATTGAGGTGTGCATAATGCTCACATGGCGGGAGCCATTCAGGCTAGTTGCCGTCTTCAGAAGTTGTTGCGTTGTCGAAGGGGGAGCTGACGCCTCGAGTGTATTTGTTTTCAGCTCCCTCTTAAAGTTTGACATTGAGAGGTACTGTTCTGCTTTGTTTGAAGATGCGACAAAAACAAGCTAGGTTTTCCTCGTGCATATTTCGCGCATTACTTCTGACATTTTATCAGTGGCGATCTTCTTTACGTGTCCGTTTCAGATGCGAAGCAGCTAAGGGTGGAGCTCAATCTGGTGTGTGGTGTGACCACCTTTATGGTGCATGTGTGTCCCTCTCTCTTGCCTCAAAACGCTGATGCAGGCACCGTCAGCTTGCAAGTTTGTTGATTAAAAAAAAAACAGACTGATCGCACTGCGCAACCATGTACTGGCCACACCGTATATATAGGTACTGGATATAGGTAATGTCGGTGGGAGTTTTGTAGCGTTAGCTACACTGGCCTCGCTGAGCCAATTTCGCGTGGCACTGGTCTGCGCGTGCGCAATGATACTCCGCCGCCGCCGCGCGCAGCTCGCCGCCAGTGTGCGCACAGTTCGATGCGCTGTGCAGACGATCAGTGGTGTCACGCACCAGAGCCGGCACCTCTCTCGCACTCGGCCGCGTCTGCGCGCGACTCGCCGCCGCGGGTGTGCGCTTTCCAGAGGAGCGCCGTCATAGCCTTGGTAGACATATGGACGCCGATGCGCACGCCTTCCCTGTGCAGTCTCCATCTGACACTGCGCTGTAGCCGCTTGATAGCGCCTCTGACTGGCGTTTGTCACTGTGGTACAGCCATGGAGAAGGAGAGTACAAATGCTGCTCAATGGGGCAGTAGAGTGGAGAAGTTCAACTCATCGGATCCCGAAGTAGTTGCCCAGCAAAATAAATATACATGTGCCATATAATACCTATACCGTGTGTGCGTCATCGGAACAGCTGTTGGCATGGTATCTGGAAAGCTTAAGAATAATCAGCTGAACCTTTGCTAACGCTACGTATATCCTGGCATAGCTGAGCTAAGCCACTGCCATTTTTTTTTCTGTGCGCTGTTAACAATAAATATTCGCAACGTGCGCGTTATCTAAAAGCAGACTGCGGGTCTTTGTGTCTATTCGGACTCTTCTGTCTCTCATTGCCCATTAGCAGCGATTGACATGTTCCAGAAGGAAAAACCAGTCCACGATTGCGTGCTTTGCGCCTCGCCAGGTTTCTGTTCTGCGCAACGCTACGCTGAGCACCAGCATCAACGTCGCCGCCAGTGTAAGCGTTAATCCCACTGCTTCGCATCTTCATATGGCTTCCTTAAGCAGGAGATGGTGCAATTATTTTTTAATGGGTGGAAAAAGGCTGAACTGTTTTTTTCTTGAAAGAAATGACAACACTGTCATGATCCTTCGCTGATGTCATTGGTAGCGCAACTTCTTTGCAACCATTTCGGAAATCGATGGCTTCGTTGAACCCTCTCATGTCGATGTCCTGCTGCGGGAATGTCTTCTCGGCTATACCACTAGTATCGGGCTCATAAACCCGTTTTGACATGTAAGAAAAATCCTCCTCTCATAAACATCTCTTCGCAGGACGCAGATATGACTGCTTGCGTAATGTCCAACTTGCTTCTCGACAGATGATGGTCCTTGGAGAGTCTAGTTGTTAATAACGCTCTGTTATCCGACACCCAACAGACTCCACTGTTATTTGGCATTACTTTTCATAATCGGTCCAATCCAATAAGAAGACATACTCCGGGTTCGCAGGTGGCGCTTGGGAAAACAACTGCAACCGCCAGTGGTTGACCTTCTGCAAAGATGACTTCGTGGAGATTATTTGTCTTTGGAGATTCAATGATGTCGCCGCAGATGAAAGGAATGGCGACAGCTTCTATCTGCACTAACTATGACAGTAATTACAGAAATTAAAACAAACACTTTAACTATTGGAAATAACCGGTCAAGTCAAATGAGCGAATTAAAGTTCTTCCTACGAATAGTTTGTAGCCACATTGAAATTTTCCAAAGGCGGCCACTTGTAATCACCGTGGAGCGATGAAATCTGGGTGATTTAGCTGGTGAAACCGAAACTGGCGCACCAGGAAGCCCATCTGCCATTCACTTCAAAAACACCCTCGATAATAGGTTAATGGTAATTAATTGTGTAGAAAGTTATTTGTTTAATTCAATTACTGCCGTAAATATTGTTTGTACACATTTGAAGTGCCTTCTGCCAGAGTAAAGGGAACGCGGCAGGCGGCATGCGGATGCCTCCTTTCTGCAATTGCTTCAAGCACCCGGTATATGAGACCCAGGCCTGATACGAGCCTGCCCTAGGCCCCGGCCCGGCCGGTGCCCGAAGCTCATGGACCCGAGCCCGGCTTGGGCCCACTACAACAATGCCTTACCTGGCCCGGCCTGGCCCGCAGGCCGGGTCGGGCCCGTGCGGTGCTCTATTATCCATGCATAAATACATGAGGAACTGAAAGAAATCACAATAAGTGTCAGACGAGATGAGCAAAACATTTTCTAAATGTCCAGCTGCTACCCCTCATTTGAATTACCCATAAAGCATGTTTCGGAGTGCTGTGATTCATCAATAAAAATGGTGGCATTTACATCAGTTTGCATGTTGTAATGTGGGGTTATCAGCCTATGCATGACTTAATAATTAGAATCTATATAGACAACTTCAGCTGTTCTGTACATAAAATGTGCCAGTATTTTATATACATATTCGGCCATTGCTCACTTGACATGGCGCACTTGTGCAAATTGAGTATGTTTCTAGTAATGTAGCTTGCTTTTGCTTGGAAAGCGATTATCGCATTTAGACGGCTCTTTTCCTCTTAACCCCATAGACAGCATTGATGTAGCTGCAAGAAGAAGAAAATTTATTTTGCAAGAAACTTGGACCTTAATAAGCTTGTCTTGTTCCCTCCATAATATAATAAAGCTTTTGTTATCTTTGTTGCAGCCTTACAAGCTTTGAAGACAAATCCCCAGAAGCCACCCATCTGCTTGCGTTCATTCACTGGAAACTTGGCCAATATGACGAAGCTGTGCCTATCTTTTTAGAAGTAAGATTCAGCACTGCCTCTGCTCACTGTCATGAATAGGAAATTTAATCGGATCACCTAATAACGATTTATTAGGACTTTGTAGTATCAAAAATGTATTTAACTAGCTTGACTTAACATGAAAGTAAAGCAAATTTTTAAGCACGCTGTTTGCTTAGACAGCTTTAGGCAAGTCCTGGCAAAGATTTTGCATAGTCTGCAAAGACTGATTTTGCAAAGAATTTGCAATGTCGGCTGCCGATTGTGTGTAGTTTTGCTAACCACATGAAATTCAGTGACTCTCAATGATATTAGAAAAATCATTCGAGATGTTGCATGCAACTAGCCTTCAATTATTGTTGAGGAAAGAAAAAAAAAAGTAAGAGCAATGTTATTTAATGTAATCAACCAAGTTTTCTTATATTTTCGTTATCAAGCTAATAGAAGTCGGGATAAATAAGATGTCTGTGAAACAAATGCTGGCTGTGGTAAAAGACGAGATGTTGAAGCAAAGTACAGATTCCAATCCAGCTGTTGTCAGTTGGTCATATTCCTTTAGAAAATGTTTGTTCATCATGCGAATGACACAGTCTGCATACTTTTTTTTTTTGAAGAAGTCAGAGTGTGCTCTGCAGTTTTTCCAGGCTTGTGAAAGCTCAGGTCTTATACGGAGATTACGTTTTGTGATTTGTTTAACTCTTTCAGTGTCAATTTTTTTTTTTTCAATGGAAGCTGCTGGTTTTTAGAATTTAAGATGCATGTGAATACGGTAGTACAAAAAATAAAAAAATCTGTGCTTACACTTTTTAATCAAGAATATTAGTAGCCAATTTAATTTTTGTACCAATTATTATTTTGTATTTCAATAATTTATGCTTAATCTCTTACTTAGAAGATTGTTTTCATGGAATAAGTTAATACCCAACTTCCGAAATTCATATTTTCAGCACAGAACTAACACAAATGCTCTATTTCTGCCTGGTGAGTGAAGCTGCCTCAGAGAATTGAACAAAAAGTGCGACTGGTTCTGCGATTTCTTCTTTCATAAGGGATCTCACTTGCTCGTGTGTACCAGTTTGGCAGCGTAGTTAGAGCGGATGCTCACGAATGCCCCATTTTTTTTTTCGCCAGTTGGTTGCTGATTTAACTACAAAATTGTTGATTCTGAGTGGAATCAAAGGGCCTAAAAGGGTTAATCTTAGGGCTTGTGCGAATAGTAAATTTTAGGTTGGAAGTGAATATGAAAAAAAAAATATGATTTGTTTTGAATAATTTCAAAACGAATTCGAATACTATATACCACATACCATAAAGAAAAATGAGCATATTTGTCATGACCCAAATAACCTGCACACTATACAATTTTTTTATTGAAACGAGGGACATGGAAACGTCATTCTTTTTTTGGTTTAAAGGAAGTGGAAGCAACTTTGAAAAGTAGCAGGAGGATGATTCCACGTGAGATCGAACAAAGCATGGCTGGTCGGTTTTGAGATGTTTTATAAAAATATCTAGACTGTGCAGAGAATGAAAAATTAATTAAAGTAACCCCATATATTGTCACGTCGCTCCAGGGGGTGTCGGCAAGATTTATTGACGTCTGAGCAACAGGGCTCTAACCAAGCGCGTCGGTTGGGCTTGCTTGCCAGAGCAGGGGGGGGCCCACGCGCACTTCTTTCTTCTCTGTGGTGTGAGCCTTCACCTTGGCATACGACCCACTACTAGAAGTAGGTGGCAATATGCCTCCTCAACAAAAAAAGAAAGAGCATCGTCCCGATGCTGTAAGGTTATTGAAAAAAAAACCAAAACAAGGTAGCTTAAACAATGAAAAAGGGCACCAGTAATCAAATGTTAGACGCGATAAGTTCACCAATGATGAGGCAATTGTCGGAGTACAAATAAAAAAAACACAGGAAAAGTGGTCTTTTAAGAAAGCAAAATGAGGCTTCATGCGCACCACGTGAACTATGTCAGAGGTCGGTTGTTTTCGTTGTACCTATCGTGACGACGTAGCGTCCGGAACCACTTTGTAGTTTACGTCGCTCACGCAGCGTAATACTTTATACGAACCAAAGTATCTGCTCAGCAACTTTTCAGAGAGGCCACAGCGTCGAACAGGGGTCCAAAGCCAAAGTTGGTCTCCCGGACTGTAAGATACGTCATTGTGACGCATATTGTAACGTCGTGCATCAACCTGTTGCTGCTGACCAATGTGTAGCCGGGCGAGCTGGCGAGTTTCCTCGGCACGCTCTGCAAATTCTTCTGCGTCAGTTAATTCATCGGCGCTTTCACAAGGATGCATGGCATCCAGCATCGTCTGAACTTCGCGGCCGTAGAGAAGGCGAAACGGTGTAAATCGGGTTGTTTCTTGAACGCCGGTGTTATAAGCAAACGTCACATAAGGCAAAATGCGATCCCATGTTCTGTGTTGGACGTCGATGTACATGGAGATCATGTTTGTGACTGTCTTATTTAGTCGCTCGGTTAAGCCGTTGCTCTGCGGATGGTAAGCAGTCGTCGTTCGATGCCTAGTGTTACTCAGTCCAAAAACTTCATCAATAAGCTGTGCAGTGAACGCTGTTCCTCTGTCGGTTATCACTGTAGATGGAGCACCGCGGCGCAGAACAATGTGGCACATGAAGAAGCCGTGGCTACCTCAGAAGCCGTGGCTCGTGGTATCGCCTGTGTCTCAGCATAGCGGGTCAAATAGTCAGTTGCAACAATGACCCATTTGTTGCCGTCGGACGATAAAGGAAATGGGCCGAGAATGTCCATGCCGACTTGGTCAAATGGCTTGTGGGGTGGATCAATTGGCTGAAGTAATCCAGCCGGCTTGCTTGGTGGCGACTTTCGACGCTGGCATTCACGACAGCTTTTGACGTACTGCTTCACGCTTGCCGAAAGTCCGGGCCAGTAGTACGCCTCACTTACCCTGGCGAGCGTTCGCGAGTAACCTAGATGACCAGATGTGGGCTCGTCATGACACGCGGAGAGGACTTCATCCCGCATGTTCTTCGGAACGACGAGGAGGTAAGCGCGGCTCGTAGAGCGGGCGTTTTTTTTGTACAGGACATTATCTCAGAGGCAGAAAGACGTCACGACGCGAGATAGATGGCAAGGTATAACGGCGCTATGACCCTCCAGATAGTCGATGAGCGGTCGAATCTCTTCATCTTCTCGCTGGCGTCTGCTCAAGTCAGATGAGCTAAGGGCGCCTAGGAAACCGTCATCGTCCTCTTCGTCGTGATTGACTAAAGGTATGGGTGCACGCGACAGTGTATTGACGACAGTGTACTGTACTGACGCCAGTAACATCGGCCTCGGCCGATGTTACTGGCGTCAGTGTGCACCTCTGTGTCAGCATCAGCGTCAAAGTGCGCAAGAACAGGGGCTGACTGCATCCGCTGTCGTAGCTCGGCAAAAGCAGCCTGTTGTTCGGTAGCCCATACAAACGGTGTGTCGTCGCGTGTAAGGCGAGTCAAGGGTTCCGCTATCTTCGAAAACTCTCTAATAAATCGTCGATAGTAGGCGCACAAGCCCAGAAAGCGCCGAACAGTCTTTTTGTCTGTAGGATGCGGAAACGCGGCTACAGCGGCAAGTTTGTCGGGGTCGGGTCGTACACCATTCGCATTGACTACATTCCCAAGGAATTTGAGCTCTTCATAACCAAAGTGACACTTCTGCTGTTTGAGTGTAAGATCTGCTGATTGAATAGCCTGTAGCACACTCCTGAGGCGGTCAAGATGTTGCTGGAAGGTTTCAGAAAAAACGACAACTTCATCAAGGTATACGAGACAAGTTTGCCACTTCAGACCAGTTAGCACAGTGTCCATCATTCGCTGGAAGGTTGCGGGCGCTGAGCACAAACCAAAAGAAAGGATTCGAAATTCATACAGGCCATCAGGGGTAACAAAAGCCGTTTTCTCGCGGTCTTGCTCGTCAACCTCAATCTGCCAGTACCCGCTTTTTAAATCCAAAGAGGAAAAATAGTGGGCACGGCATAATCTGTCTAACGAGTCGTCGATGCGTGGCAGCGGGTACACGTCCTTTTTAGTCACGCTGTTCAGCTTCCGGTAATCGACGCAAAAACTTAGCGTTCCGTCTTCTTGACTAGGACGACCGGAGAGGACCACGCACTGTTGGGAGGCTCGATGATGCCGTCGTCAAGCATTTCTCGAACTTGCGTACGAATGGCTTCTCGTTCCTTCGCTGACACACGGTAAGGCTGTTGGTGTACTGGGCGGGCGTCGTCGTAAGTGACGATTCTGTGCCTAGTGATTGAAGTCTGGCGCACCTTAGAGGAAGCAGCGAAGCATGACTTGAATTCAAGCAAGAGTTTTCGCAGTGCTGTCTGGTTTTCTGGTGTGAGGTTAGAATTAATATCGATATTGTTTAGAGACGTATCGGCGGCCTCCACTGCGTCCGACGAGAAGCAGATGAGAACGGTTCCTAATTCATCTGCAAATGCTAACGAAGTGCCACGGAAAAGGTGTCGGTGTTCGTTGCTGAAACTTGTAACGAGCAGTTGAGATCGGCCATCACGTAGCTGTATGATACTCCTAGCTACACAAACACCTTGAGTCAGCAGGTGTTTGAAATTACTTTCTGCAATCGCTTCACCATTTCGCAATCCACAGCATGTGACGTGGACAATAACACTGGCTCTTGGAGGAAGCGTTATACTTTCAGCAGAAACGCGAAGAACGTCGGCACATTGTTGGTCATCCTGCTTGTCGATTGCTCGGTCGGCTGAGAAGGTGATGCGATTCTCTTGAAGATCAACGACCGCTCCATACTCCTGCAGGAAGTCAACACCAAGAATAACGTCGCGTGAACATTCACGGAGCACAAGGAAACTTCCTACAAAAGTATAACCGCAGACCCGAACTCAGCACGTCGACTGCCAGCGACCTCGCCTCCAAGGGTCGCTTGCGTTAGTTTTCCTGGCAGGGACTGGGGGACCGTGCGCCAGCATGGCGCTGTGGCGAAGATGAAAAGCGCCTCGGCGACGGTGAGCGCGGCTGCCGTCCAGAAGGCGGTGGCATGCGCTGTTGAGCCAGGTAGTCCTCAATGTCCCGGGGTCGCTGGGCATACCGAGGAGGCGCGCTGAATATACTGAAAAGCCGCGCAGCCCGAGGCGGCGGTATGGACAGTGGCGGTACAAATGGTCCGCTTCACCGCAGTGGAAGCACAAAGGTCGGCGATCAGGAGTGCGCCAAACATCAGATTTCCGAGGCGAAGCACGTCTGTCGTCAACGTAGTGTGCTGGTTGTTCCGCAAGATGCACAGGGCTGGCGTAAACGAGGGGTGGGGGCGTGCGTGTGTTCTCGTAGTACCGTAGAGGCTGCGCCGACTGAAGTGAAACCGTAGGAGGTGCTTGAACAAACAGCGGGGAAGAGGAAGCGGGGCGCTTCAAGGCTTCCGCATAGGTCGCACGGTGGTAGTCAGCCGGGGCGGGTGTGGCGTTATCCAGACTCACAGGGTCACGAAGGGCATGATGCAGCTCGTTCTTGACAATGCTTGCAATGGAACTCACCGTAGGTAGTGGTGGTGTGGCAGCCTTTTGCAGCTCCTCGTGTACTATAGAGCGGATAAGGTCGCGCAGACACTCGTTGTTGCTCCCAAAAGCCGTGAGAACTTGAGCAGTGGGCGTGTTCACTTGCCGCTCATACAGGGTGGATCGATGCTGAAGCATCTTTTCCATTGTGACGGCTTTGGACAAAAACTCGGCGACCCTGTTCGGAGGGCTCCGTGCAAGGCCAGCGAAAAGCTGCTCCTTAACTCCCCGCATCAGGTGACGCACCTTCTTTTCTTCTGTCATACTCGGATCAGCCCGTCGGAACAGGCGCGTCATATCTTCCACATAGGTCATGACAGTTTCATTGGGCATCTGGATGCGGGCCTGGATCGCTCGCTCCGCTCGTTCGTGGCGATCAGCACTTCTGTAAGTATCCAACAGCCGGCGGCGGAATTCGGGCCACGATGTTATCTGTTCCTCGTGATTCATGTACCAGGTACGTGCTCCATCCTCCGAATAGAAATACACACGTTGTAGTTTGGCCGCGTCGTTCCAGTCGTTCAAAGCAGTCACGCGTTCGAAGTCGACCAACCAGTCCTCGACGTCTTCGAGCTCGGTGCCATGAAACGGTGTCGGAACCTGTGGACTTTCGAGGGTGTACCGAGTCACCGGGGGGTTTTCCGTACCTGTTAAAGTGGTTTGAACAGACGTGCTCATCATACTGGGGTGAACTGTAGGGTCAGCTTCAGGTGGCAATCCCCTGATCCTGCGGCTTGTCCGATGAACGGGAGTGTTGACTCGCACTGGGCTTGTGGTGTCGCTTCCAGGAGGGGCCTGAAACATCTGTGAGGGGCTACCCAGCACCTCCACCAATTGTCACGTCGCTCCAGGGCGTGTCGGCAAGATTTATTGACGTCTGAGCAACAGGGCTCTAACCAAGCGCGTCGGTTGGGCTTGCTTGCTAGAGCAGGGGGGGGCCCACGCGCACTTCTTTCTTCTCTGTGGTGTGAGCCTTCACCTTGGCATACGACCCACTACTAGAAGTAGGTGGCAATATGCTTTTATTTAGCTAAACCATGTTTGAAATACGTAGCTTTAATATATTTTGAGTAATTCATCGCCAATGTCGGAAAAAACAGCAGAGCAGGTAAGTGTGGCACTTCACCTCTTCGTCATTATTGATTTACTGTGCTTCGAAAAATTTTTCCCACCAATATTAATTGAGGATCTGTTTTTTTCACTAATTAAGTGACAATATATAAGATTTTGAAAGAAATTTAAGATGTCAATCGGCCATGCTTTGTTCGATCTTACGTAGAATCACCCAGGGTCTAAACTTTGGTAGAATGCATCTGATAACCTCTACAATACGTTGCATCTTAAAATTTACGATAATACTTAGAGGATACTAGCTGGCATGACAATCTTTTAAACTATTTAACCTTGATAGTGGTGATTCGCGGCAGTAAGAATATTTTTTGGAAGCTGTATTCATAGGACAGCACTCTTATGCTGCAGTGAAACCGCCTTCACAGGGAGTTACATGTGGAATAATTTAGATTTGTTTGTTCATTTCGATTACTTCGAAAATTCAAATACTTTAATATTTGTTCAAATACTCAAAGTGCCACTATTCACACAAGCCTAGTTTATGTATAATGATTGTGATTTTAGCTACCTATGGTTTCGTCAGTTATTATATGTTCTTGGTCTGTCCTGTAGAAGTGGTAAACTTCTTATGCCTGTTTGTCTGAAATTTCATGATGTAGGTTCACTTAATAGGAATGAATGTTGGCCTCTGCTGGGAGCAAAGTCAGCCTGATATAATGCAAAAAGCACTAGGAATAGCACTATCTGGAGAGACAGAGTTAGTTTATCTTATTCACTAGAATTCTTTTCTAATGTCTAGCCAATGTATGTCATGTGCTTTCCTCCTTTACAAACTGAGCTAAGAAGCTGTAGATAAATGAAGTGTGATGACTAAGTGTGAATAAAGTTTGATGAATAAAGTGAGCTGATTAGCGCTTTGATGCCCCCATACTGAACTTGGGGTATCGCACTTCCCATAGGCAGACTCCTCTCCCCATGCCCTTTGGAAGGAAACCTGTACTTACCCCTGACTGGTTACTGGGGGGGGGGGGGGGGAACTGTGCATAGTGTGATTGATGTTGAATATTTGTGCATTAACGAGCTAGTAATGAATTCAAAGGTATCATTGCTTTATAAAAAAAATATATTCATCTGAAATATCCGTCTCAAAGTATATGCTCTTGCTTTGTTTAGGCGGCTCGCTTGGATCCTCACAACTACCGAAATTTCTTGTATCTTGGAAGACACTACTTCTATCACCTTAAAGATGTTCAGTAAGTATACAAAAATGTAGTTGGGCAGGTGTTTTGTGCATTTTTTTGTAGTTTGTAACTGTTTCTATTGTGTTGTGCAGGAAAGCTGTAAGGTGTTTTCAGAAAGCTTTTCAACTGAACCAAGCCAGTGAAGAAGCCGGGTCTCTCCTGAGTGATGCGCTGTGTGACCTGGGTCAGCACGTGAGTGAGCCGTCACTTAGTTCGGTGTAAACACATTGCAAACTGTAGAGTTACGAAATTTAATTAGTTCCTGTGTATTATTGGTACACTTGTGAAGAGGAAAGTGTGGTATTGAAACAAGTAGTTTGGCTGCTGAAAATTCGCTCCTTTAGAATATTTATCGTCTTGTACAACAATTCATCTTCAATGGTCTATTTGATGCCAATGATTTTAGTGCACATGGAAGATGCTGAAACTTGTCTTCAATGTCTCACTCTGTCTCAAGTAAATGACCCGTTCCTGTTGCACCGTTCTCACTTCACAATTGAGTATAATGCGGGAAAACACATTAGAGACCTTAAAGGGCCACTCACCAGGCCCCATGCCGAATTTTAGTTAGACAGTGGAAGTTGTTGGGTGTCCGATGAAGAATGTTTTGCCACAAAAATTTTTGGAATCGGTTCATTACGAGCGGAGAAAACAGGTTTTTTGAAGCGGCGCCAAACGAGGGTGAGAGGAGGCAAGCTCGAAACCCTTGCCACTCCTCCGCGTAGCATTCGCAACCCAAATCTCTTTCCCACCCTCTCCGGCATCCGATCAAGAGGTGACGTGCGCATGACGTGCCCCAACAAGTCCAACTCCCGAGCATGGGAGCGGCGTTGCTTTGTTGAGCAGCGCTATTTTGTGGTATTCTGTTTGTTTCTGCGGGATGGTTTGGAAACGCTGGCTTAGACGCGGTAGAGTAGATGAGCATAATGAGTGCGCGAACGCGTAGGAGCGTTCCATGGCAGTCGTCTGCTCAATGCGCTGACCGCGGGGTCAGGAACGCATGCGGAACGCTGGCACTTTAGCCCTGCATCTCGTAGCATTTCACGAGAACAAATGAAAGAAAAACGCGCACAATTTTCGATTACGTCTCATTATTTATTTCCAAGTTTTGTTAATCTCTTAAAGCAACAAATACATAAACTATGCATGTTGTGTTAAATAATTTGAGCCATGTCACGTGGTATACTGTTGACAACGTCAGAGAAGACTTGTCTACGTAGAGAACCAACGTCACTGCATTGCCGTGTACGTAGGGCCATTCCTACGCCTACGTCATGCCCTCATTCTCTACGTGTGCGTCGGCAGAGGGGAGGGGGAGCAGCTTTCATCTTGAAATTTGACCCATTTCCGCGGCGCGCAGCGTCGCAAAGTTTGGCAGACATGATCATGAACGCCTCGTCTACGCATTGCGCTTGTCAGCTCAAAATTGTCAAACCTGGTGAGTGGCCCTTTAATGGCAAACACTAGTTCCCTTTCTGTTTGAAAAGCAAAAGCGTTTGTTGTTTGTTTCTGCTGTGTGTCTTCTATTTTTCGAATGCCAGCGAGATGCGCTCAATCCAGCCGTTCACCACCCGCTCTTCTAGCTCTTTCCTGGTCTCGCCCATCGCCAACCTTCGCACGTGCTTTGCGGTCATGGAGGCAGTACATGATGGGTCATGATGGAAATCATATGAAGTTATTTTTTTGTTCAGTTGTGTGCAGATCTGTGGAGTGGCGTCTTGCATACTTTGTGTTCACAAATGTTGGTGGTCAAGCTGGGTCTGTGTGAGATACGGTGTTTTGAGATAGCGTGTGGCCATGCGTGGCTTCGTGCGGTCATCGAATGGGAAAGCGTCGCTACGACGCATGCACTGACTTTAAGAGCACTGTGAGGTGGTGGCAGCATTGCTTCGAGCGACAAAGAAGGAGCACAATGGAACAAATATGACAGACGTGTTATAGTGAAGAGGGAAAGCGTATCTATCGCATTTCTTTGGAAAAGCTCTCGGACGCAAGTATGACACAAGCAGCCCTACCCTAAACGTGGTGTCGCATCACAACCATTTTCTGAACTAAGGCGGGTCAACGGCTCCCGTTGAAGAGCTTGCATTTGCAATGGCACTGAAAGAAATGAAGGAGGCGTTGGTTCCTGCATAGTCAGAACCTTATCTTGGCATGGTGTGTTTGGTAGATTGCATTTCAAAAGCTTTTACTGCTTTGCAGCAATGAAGAATAATAAAAATGCAGAAATGAAGAAATGCGGGTTGTTTTGGAGCCAAAGGCCTGTGGTCACACTGTGATTTTTCAGCATCAACATAACTGCTGAAACTCATATTCAAACACAAAATTGAGAACTTGTTTCAAGAAGGTTCATGCATGTGCCTCTGTAAGATATTTGAATTAAAAGCAATCACTCACAATACTTGCCATCTGGTTTCAGTGCTGTAGTTCAGTTTATAAAATTAAAGTTTTACCTGCAACACTTGGACTTTTTATTGCAGTGCTGTATCAATAGTCATGCAATACATTTTGGTCGCTAAGATGGCTTCAGTGTGGTTTTTTTGGTTACTATTGTATTGTGCAGATGAAAGAGTGGAACATAACATAAACTTAGTTGAATTTCTGGAGCCTTTCTCTTTGGTGTCCCTCATGATCATACTGTGGTTTTAGGACAATAAACTCCAAAATTTATATTAGGAATCTTGACTTTTAACAGGAACAAAATGTTAAATTCTTGGAAGCAATTACAAGCCAACTTCCTGTAAAGAGGTAAGCTCATTTTATTGCATATTTAGTATAAATGGTTTTGTGTTTGCGAGGGGGGGTCTATTCAATGCTGAAATAATTTTTATGTATGTGGTTTATTTGGTGCCGGTAGTCTGCTAAACATCACAATTTGAGATATGATGACATTTTCGTGTTAAGTTTACAGCTTTTTGAACACGTTGCAATATGCTAAGAGGAATCTGTATTTCTTGCAAAATAATCTCTTGCATGTAAGTAACATTTGGCAATGCCTAAAGAGGCAACTGCTATAGTATGGAGCCTGATTGTAATTTCTTTCAAATGTATTTTTACATGGTAGTAACAGTAGTGAGGAGAAAAGAAAACTAAGCTAAGCTTTTTTCTGGTTATTTTTGTACAAAGGCCGCTCCGACTTGGTTAAACCTCTTTTTTCCTCCTTTTTTCTTTTTGCAGAGCAAAGTGGGCATGGGTAAGGCTTGGTCTCCAACAATTAAGACTTGGCAGAGCTACAGAAGCAGTGCAGTCTCTACAGAACTCGCTTCGAGCTGATCCCAGTGACAAGTAGGTGATTTTCAGGTGTAATGGAAGTGAATAACACATGTAAGAGTAGTGCATAGATGCAAAGAGCTTAAGGAATCGTTAATGAGATTAGTTGAGCATACAAAAATTTTTCACTTGAACATCTTGAGCAGTGGTCCTTCATACTTGTGATTGTCCCATTACTTTATGTACACTTGAATATAATGAACATTGAGCTAGGTATGAGTTATATGATAAAATCTTAAATAATATTTTTGTGTTTGAGTACTATGTGTTAAAATTATCATAATGTAGATACTAGCATACTTACAGTGTAATTAATTAATGTAATCTAAATGACATGGGAACACATTCAAGATGATTCTTTTCATGTGATGATATTTTCCACCAGGAACAAAAGCTTCTGTACGAGGCGGGCATTGCTAGGCTCATAAGTGGCTCCTAGATTGGGAAAGTTCTGAGTAGGCAATCGCTCATGTGTTATGAACTACCCTACTAATTTACTAGTTGAGCATTTACTGTCGTTTTCTGTAGTTTTTACAGTCGCACGGTGATGTACAATGCAAATTACCACCACTTGAGTTTCTTGCACAGACTATCGAATTTCGCATGTGGCTTGTTGTCATTTTTTTAAGCCTAAAATGTGATGTAAAACTTACTTTTTGCGTAGTGTTCCTCAAGCAAGATATTTGTCACATCACAAGTGTTTAGTTGAGTGGTAAACAGCTACCACACTGTGAGGCTGTAATTTGACTTCATACTGGGCATTGTACATTTTTTGTTTTAGTCATTTGTATGCTTCTTCCAAAATACTTTGTGACATTTGCGACTATCGCTTGTTTAGACGGGTGGCACTGGGAGACATCAGAGCAGCCATGGGTGCAAGCCCATGAAAATTATTGCGGTGAAAAACAATTGGAGGACACATATGAGAAGTATACTGCAAGTTTATTCTTCTAACTGCTCTCTCAAGTGTGCATGTTGCACTTCTGTAGGTCTTGCTGGGAATGCCTAGGAGAAGCGTACCTCATGCGGGAGAGCCTCGGTGCTGCCCTCCTGTGCTTCAAGAAGTGCCTTGATGCAGATCCCAAAGATCTCTTTTCGCTATATCAGTAAGCACATATCTTTTTTGAAGATGGAAGGTTCTAGAGAGTTGTTGTGCAGTGCAATAATCCATAGTGCACCTACTGTTTGCCGTTGAGGCATGTTCAAGAATGTTGAACTTTCTTATAAAAATTTATTTGATGCAGAACTTCATTTTGTTGCTAGCATTTTGGCCAGCACATTTGTTGAAAGTCAAGCTTTAGACGAACAATTGTGTTTTGGTCTGCTCACACGTTCCTCAATTTGACACAATTTCCCCACCTTTGCAGCCTCTTTGTTACTAAATAGAATGTGCATTAGTGTTTCTGTATACTACTTAAAAGTTACTAAGTAATTTAATATGAAAGAGCTAATGAATCAAATGTTTATGAAAAAAATTAATCTGTAATGAATATGGTCAGCACCTTGGTTTATTTGTTTGCAACAATCGTTACACCTTTCGGGTATACACTGAAGCATCATAGCAGTGTCATACATCATTAGTTGTTGCTGATGATAGCTATAAGGAACCGAGTGCTCTGTTGATCGAATAGTCAATCAGTCAATCTACCAGTACATCAGTCAGTCAACTTTAATTTCAGTATCAAATGAGCACTGTGATGAATGCATGCAAAACAGCCATATTCAGGTGTTATGAGGTCCGCTCCCCCCTTTCTGCACACACGCTGGAGTTGGTTGGGTGAGTCCGTAAAAACGCATATTCACCTAGCGCATGATAGAAATGAAATATTGAGTGAGGACGACAAAGTAGAGTGCTGGCTGCTGACTTGATTTTCGTTCTGGTCATTTTAATTCTGGTCGTTCCCATTCTGGTCATTCTAAGTACAGATGCACCGGTTTTATGTTGGTTAGAGCTTTCAGGTTGTCTACACATTGTTATATTCGTTTGGGCATGCTTCTCTTTTTTTTTTTCATGTACTGTATGTGGTATATAATGGAACTTTCAGCCACGAGTCAGTGCTGAGGTTGTTAGATCTTTGCATGTGTTAATAAATTTCTTGTGCACTGTAACTAAGAACAGGAATGAGGCAGGCATACTAGATGCTCATTGGTACCATAGAGATGCATGTATGTCAAGGAAGAAGCAACATAATTATTAAAGTATTTGAGGCCAAAACAAGTTAGCATGTGGTTTTTTTTTTTTGACAGATTGTTTCAAGACAACTTACTATGGACCTATTTTTTCCGAGCAGGCTACATTTTTCTTTGCATATCCCTCCCTCCTTCCCCCTCCCCCCCTTTTTTCTGGAACTGCTCAGCAGACATGAACTTTAGAAAAAAGACAATAAATTAAGCAATGGTAAGTCAGTTGTGATGCAAACCCAGCACATGTTGATGAAGAATTCAACTCATGCTTCCCTGTGATGAATTCATCATAATTATGTCGAGCACAAAAGGTTGAGTGCTCGCTGAGACAGGAAAACGTAGCACAGCCACCACTAGACAGCCACATTGAATTTACTGTACAAGTACGATGGCACAGCACTTCATTTTAATCTTGATTTCAACACTGGTATGAGGCGTTTCTTTGAGGAATTTTTATTCTTATAAACTGCTCACTTGAATAATGGAAGTACCTTGAGCACATTAGGCATATTTTTGAGTGTAGCCGTAAAATATGCTTTATAGATGTCTTGATCTCCTTAGGGTGCACAGAAGTGTTGTTATTTAAATTCAGGACAGCCGCAATCAAGTCTCGTCAAGGCTTGCACAAGGAAGCTGCAGATAACTTTCAAGAAGCCCTTGAAGTCAACTCAGAGTACATTCCTGCAATCAAAGGTGAGTGATTTGCTGTCATGATTATCATAAAAATAAAGAAAAATCGAAGGTGAGTGATTTGCTGTCATGATTATTTTAGAATTAAAGAAGAAGAAAAGCTGATAAAGGTCTTGGAGAAAGCTTGTGCTGAGAAAAACAGTTTTTCTACTTTTCTGCAGTGATGACGTCTTGCATGTTCGCTAGTGCATTTAGGCTCAGATATGTACGTGTGCATCATCTGCTCAGAGCCACAAGAGGATCCTCTTCAATTTATTTTTGTATGCTTTACTACAGCAGTGTGCTGGCTAGTTTCACTTTCATCCTCCGGCTAGTTCCCGGTTATTGCACCTACAAAACTGATGGCTTATCAGTTTAGAATCTTTCAAAAGGTGACCGATTGTTACTTTCTCGTCTATTGCTCCCCTGCACGTGATTACTCCTGTTTCCGTGCCGGTGCTTACTTGTCATTCTTTTTGGTTTCAAGAGAAGTGGAAGCAACTTTGAATAGTAGCAAGACGTGACTTTTGATATATTGCAAGTGATAATCGACAAAATACGTCACGTTTCAAAATTTACCACACTTAGAGCTTTTGAGCCAATATAACAAGCTTCTAAAACTTAAAATATTATCGATGTGAGGGTAATATGTCAATTTAACTTTGAAGTGGGACTTCGCGGCCGTGCAAATTTTTTCTAGTAGGTGTATTCTTGGTGTAGCACTCCTTCACTGCAGTGAAACTGCCTTGACAGGAGTTATATGCACTTCATCTGTTTTTCTTTGTTAATTTCAAAGACTTCTAAATTCAGAATAACCTAAATTCGTGTCGAAGCGAATTGGAATATTGTGATATTTGTTTGAATACTAGAGTGCTCAAAACATGCCTACTTTTGATAAACCTGTGATGGTGAAATTTATGAGAATAGACTCTCAAGGAATAGTTTATCTGGCCAAACTGTGTCGCTTTAAAACACCTTGAATCTCAATGGTTATAGTGTTCTCTGAACTAACATGTTGCTTTGCTGTCTCTCTCGCTAATCGTTTATTTGTCAAATAATTGTTTTTAGGTCTGGCAGAAGCGAGGCTAGCACTCGTGCGAGAACACTTGGAGCAAGGGCTCTGTGGTCTTGGCCTGCAATACTGCCAGCAGGCTTTGGACACCGTTGCTAGGTAACATTTGGCTCTGCGTTTTACTTGGGGGGGGGGATCATTTTTGTTGAATGTGCTTGTGCTCTTCTGAAACTGAAGCTAAGCGGCATTGACCTTCTTAATCTTGGTGGGAGAGAAGCTGCTTAGAACACCTCGTGCTGGTGGCTGAATTCTAGTTCTACATTTCCCCCATTTTCTAATCTAATTCTGCAATCTCAATGTCACTGCATTGTTGTTGTTCTGTCATGCCAAAAGTTGAACCTAACAAACTTAATGCTCTACATTTGGGAAAATAAAGCAAGTATTTTTTTTTCATGTGCAATATCTTTTTTAATCATGATCTGGAATTAGCATTTTACATATACAATAATCTGCATGACCGTACTGGTACCAGGGACATTTCTTGTGTGGGTTTTGCTTTTGCCACTATACTACTATTTCGTTATTTACATCAGCCGGTACATTATAGTAATGTTTTCTTGTAATTAAGTTTATGATTGTGAATGTGGTCTATTAAAAGGAGTACAAAAAACAACAGTGCACAACATCTTTCGATTGCTGCGTGCAGCAACTTTTTCTTATTGAGATCAGTGTGAATACTGCTGGTTTTCAGTGTTCCAGTGATCATATGATTAGGCGAGTGTGGTTTTGGTGTTTAATGGTGAAAGATAACTGTAAGGCAGCTGACCAATGTGGTTTTGAGAGGCTGTGTGGATAATAATAATAATAATAATAATAATAATAATAATAATAATAATAATAATAATAATAATAATAATAATAATAATAATAATAATAATAATAAAAATGTTGTCAGACTTATGGTGGGCTTTTACAGAACAGATAGCTCAATATTACATAATAGCTATAGATACCCTTTAAAATACATCCAAGCTATTTGCTGTAGGGCCTTAGAAGTGCTAGTGCTTTTGCCCTCACTACTGTCTTTTTGTGTTTGTGGGAATCAGTACATACCTGATGATTTCTAGAAAAATGCCTAACAAAGCTGTAGAGTGGGATGCTTAGGAACATTCATTTAAGAGAAAGAGATTTTTTTATGTTTTGCTGTTGCTGAAATAGTAGCATCTAAAATTATGTTCAGTGTACTTATCTGGCGGGAGTACCTTTGCAGTAGGCACAGAAGCTTGGAAATGGTAGTGATGATGATGGTGATGCTGTATTTGCTACTGTGTAGTGTGTCCTTTCTTCAGCACCACATAATCAGCTAGGGATTCTTAGGTCAGCAGTTTCATATTGAAGGGCATTCATAAAAAAATTAGAACCACTTTAAGGAAAAAATTGAACATGAGCTTATTTATATATATATGTATATTCTCAGAAATAAGGGAAAGAAGTGTAGACTTAAGGGATCGTTTTTTCCGTGTTTTGACACAATAATAATAATCAGATACGAGAGAAATATATATGCTTCGTGTTGCTTTTTATAAAATTTTCAGGTTAAGGGGGTATTGAACCATTTTTTCAAGTAATCATGAAATTACCTTAGTATCAGAGCTTATTGCCAAATAAATTAATTGTCTTAACACTTTCTTGTTTCCCGTTTCGAGTACTTTCAAAAACCACTTTCCTTTCATTGATGACAAGAATGATTTTTATAGGTTTCAGGCTTGTCCTTGCTTTTCAGATAAACTCACAACTACGGAGTTTTCTTCAGTGTGCTCACCCGTGCAGTTTGATTGCACTCTAGTAATTTCATGCCAGTTTCTCGGCTGCAAAAGTGAGTCTAGCAGCTCGACTGTTGAATCAGAATCTGATTCAGCGAATGTCAGCCCATCATACGAGTAGTTACGAGTTAAGATTTAGGTGTTGATGAGCGAGCGACATCTCAAAAGCAAGCGTGGTAAGACGATGCTCAGTGAATAAAAAGTGGCTGTTCTCCCTCCGTGCTTATGCTTGATGCCACTTCGTGCACTTATTTTTGTGTGTCTATCATTTACTCAGGCACTTGTTGCAATGGGTAACTTTTCAACAGTCGTATAGGTTCTTTTTTAGAATTTGCCTAACTTTTACACATAAAAAGACTTTGTGTATGTAATAACACAATATAATTTTTTTTCCTCTTTACGATCATTTAGAAGAGTTTTAGACATGTTTGTTTTTAAGTACACCTGAAAAATTTAATTCAGCTACAAAAAGAGTACACATTTCTGGTATGTATTTCATGAAAAAATTGATCCGTAGGGACAAATCTGTCAAGAATAAATGGAGTATAAGTATTTGTTGGATGCTTTGAGCTCTTTCACTTTTTTTCTGTTCTCAGTAAGTGTGTTGAAAGATACACAAGGAGGGAAGGCACGGGGGAAAGGAGTTAACGTCATGACCTTGAACCTGTGTGATGAAGTGCTATGGCATACTTCCATTGAGATTTCTTAGTGTGATGTTCATTGTGCCATGTTAGCTGACTATGGAGCAAGGCGCTGGCTGTGCCCCGTAGTATGAAGCCCGTATTATCCAAATGCCGCTCTTGATTTACATTGGCAGTTGGCCAATAACATGCTGTCTGTTGTTCGGCTTGAAGAGAGTGAGCAGCTCTGAAGAGAGTGAGCTAAGGCACTTGTATAAGAGAGAGTACCTGAGAAAATAGCAATTTTGCACTCCACTCGCAAACTCTCCTTGCTGTGCACGACTGCCAGATTAGCTGAGCTGCTCGGCAGGATTGTCTCCTTTCCGAAGGATTTGTTTACTTATCAAGCCCGAGGTGTGGTCCATGACAACTTCAAGAGATCAGATTCAGTACTGTGCTATATAAGTCGCAGTCAGAAGTTACTAAGCCAGCACTTCACTTCTGTTTACTTTCAGGAGATAGCTGCATAGTGTTATTGCACCTGTAATTGATGGTGATGTTATGTTTGTGCAGAGCCTTGGAACTTCAAGGTCGGCTCGTATGTCTGTGGAAGCTTGCGGGTGACATTTGCTTGGTCCCTGCTGTGTACGGGATCAACTGGGTCTCTCTGAAGCTTCCCACTTCCTTGTTGCAAGGGGAACTGGATAGTGGCCAGGAACAGCTTACAAAGGCATCACAAAAGTCAGTTGACTAGTGTTCCTACCACATTGTTCCCGCCCGTTGGGCTTCATTATCAAATGTGTTTTGTTAGTAGTTGACTTAAATGCACCAATTCAGGCTGGCCCTGACGTTGTTATTAATTAAATGGATGCTAAACATGTTAAAAAAAATAACTTGGGAGAGCATTACGTCAGTTTGTTCCCTGCTGACTTCGAGAACTAATGTGAGACAAACAGGCAAGTTTGTTCAGCACTTGAGCATAAGAAAAAAAATGACAGTGGACAGAAAGAGTGCTGACTTCTAAGTATATTTATTTCGCAGCGTGGCAAAATATATGTGTCGACAAGGACGATGAAAGATACAGGACAATAAAAGACTAAGCCCAGTCAATGTATCAGTAGTCAAACCACGTGTGACGTGTCCTCGATTGCCCTAAAGTGCTCTTTCTGTCTACTCTGTCCTTTTTTTTTTTGTGTTCACACACTGAACAAAGCTTGCCAGTGTGACTACACACCAATTAGCCCAAGCTTCTAAACCACGCAAGTGAAAGTTTTAAAAAATGAACACAACTAATAGCACGTTTTGGCAAACAGCCGGGATTGCAGCCGCAGGGCTTCTTGAGATTGAGAGTGTGTAGTGATAGTCAGTTTCGCTATAGTGCGTCGATTAGCTTCAGCAGTGGGGCCCACCCGTTACTGGCCACAGAGGCCACAGTAGAAGATACGAGAGATGCTTGTTCACATTGCGCTTGGTTGTTTTTCGTTGTGGCAAATATTGTAATACAGCTGCAGAAATTCAGTGTCTTAGTAATTACCTGAGCTTTCAGTTCATAAACAGCCTTCCTGCTGTGCAGATCAGTTAGTGGTGGAGTTTTTCCATCAAGTACAGCATGGCTCCGCCAAGGGGACTGGAGACGATGTTGGTTCGTCTAGTTCATATTTCTACGCCTACACTCTCAGCGCGCTTGCGTGGCTGAAGCAAGTCAAACTTTTCTTTTGCTAATTCTAAAGCTCCTGTTACAACCATAGAAAAATAAATGGCAACATTGAGAAAAATGTTGGTCCTTGTTAACCATGAAGTTTTACCAAATTCTAAAGCCATTTCAGCTTCCCTTGAATCACCTAATTCGTAGTCGCCCCTAAGCTACTTTTTTTTTTCATGTAGGTGCTACATGACTGCTATTCGAATGAAGCCACGGCTGGCGTCTCTGTGGCACGACTTGGGCCTGGCCCTGTGGTTGGAAGCACGACTCAAGAAGGGAAGTTTTGACAAGGCTTTAGCCAGTGTGCGCAACGCTGTCACTCTGAAACCAGGCTGCTTTGCTTACTGGAACAGTCTTGGGGTACTGGCTGTCTCCTCAGGTACAGTGAATTTACTTTACATGATTTACCCCTTGGGAGTGCTACTGCTTTTTGTATAGCTGTCTTTAAGGTTTGTAAAGTATCATAGGTGTATCAAACTTGTGAACAACTTAGTAACAAACGTTGAGGTTTTCTGCGAACGTCGTTGGATATTGATAAAAAATATTTATTGTATTGGTTGACAAATCTGAGTAGAGTTGTAATAGAAGTTTCTGTCAATCAATAAATATAGCTAGATTAAATGGCAAATGTTCAATGAGTGCCTGCTCAGACATCACTTAACTTCAAAAGCTGCAGTGTCTTTTTTTGTGTTTTTGTGTGAACGTATAGCCCAGAAAGTTACAAACAGCACATGATTTTGAAGTTGTGGAGCGCTAGAATTATTGTTCCTCGAGGCACTACTTGTGGCCCATCTCAGATAAACACAGTTTGTTCGAGGCAACCCGAATAAATTTTTTTAAGTGTTACAAATTCTATACTGTTATGTAAATATAACAGGTGTCATGAAACGTGCGGAAAAGCATGAAGCCCATTGAAGTTGCCTAATACCAAGCTTAGTGGTACATCATAAGTAAAGCAAGGCTGCTTTGAAGGAACATGTGTGTTGTGTATCAGAGGATGTCATAAAAAATCTCATATATTGCTGCCTAACAGTTGTGGCCGTCCTTCCTGTAACAATGGTGTTCTTGTTTGCAGGTGCAGAGAATTATGGTTTGGCCCAACATTGCTTTATAAAATCTCTGGAGTTGGAGAACAATGTGAGTACTGTTCAATGAGGAGTCTGTACTGATTACTTTGAAATGTTATCCTGGCACTTTCTGTCTTTTCGCTGGGTACAGGGTACATAGGTGCTTTCTGTCTAGTCATATTTTGCGTGTCACGAAAAATGTGATAACTGAGATTACTTGTTTAAATTCAACTGTACTCAGCATTTTCTTCACAAAACTTACGTGAAGGAAATGCAAGGATAAGAGCAAAAAGCTGCTATGTTAGCAGCTTGACGAGGCTCCTACCCCTTTTTCTTAGCATTGGATATCTGCAAAGCATAGTATTGTCGCGACGTCAAGACAGAGGTCGTACTTGAAGACGCTGAGAAAACAGCAGCGGGGGTCGGTCTTTTTGTTAACCGCACACGCGAAAGAGTTCCTCGTCTTTCTCGTCGTTTCGTTCTGCATAAAAGCGTGCAGATGGGCGTATGCGCTGTCGCCTTCGTCTTTTTCGCGGGACGCACGTGAGAATATCATAGCACAGATATGAAAAAAAAAAAAAAGACATTGACGTGCAGACTTCCAAGGGGGGAGAAAGAGAAAAACAAATTTGTGTCAATGAGATAAGTTGTTACAAAATTTATACACAGAGACATGTTGTTTTTTATATCAACACTTTGCTACAGCACACATTCCTTGATTATAGGTCAGCAGTATGTGGAACACTGAATGTTATAATTTTGAGTTTAACTAGAGTGCTGGGCAAGTTAGTATATAATCATGTCATGTCCTATGTGTTATTTGCTGTGTCCCGTTTTTCTCGCGCTTCGCTTCAGCATGGATTAATTTTTAATTTCTCTGGTAAGCTAACTATGGGTAGAATAACATACAGCTTTTTGTTCTTGTGTTTGAATTTCTACATTTCTACGAGCCTACTTTAGTCCACTCTGTCACACTGTTTCCCACAGTCATACAGATACCCTATGTGTTTAACACATGCTGAAATGTTGAAGGAGGTAAGGTAAATCTGCAGGACAAGTTATGTTGAAGTGTACACAGCAAAATTCAGTGAAGAAATTTCTGATCTACTAGAGTTACCTGCCACAGTAGCTTAGTGACTAGGGTGTTCTGCTGTTAAAAATGAGGTTGCGACTTTGATTTGCTTGTGTACTTGAATTTGCATGTTTACTAATCGAAAGTGGTCAAAATACACAATCAGGAGTGCTGAACTGTGGCCTCGATCTGTACAGCTTAATAATGTTAAAGGGACACTAAAGGCAAATATCAAGTTTATGTTGATTGCTGAAATAGCGGCCCAGAAACCTCATAGTGCTATCTTTGTGACAAGAAAGTGCTTATCTTGAAATAAAATCACGTTTTAGTGGCCAGCATCGGGTTAGCACACTTCAAATTCTTTGCCTAAATGTGGCCGTTTCCCGTCACTGTTGCTGTGCACAACGTTGCCCTGCTTTACTGTGCGGCCGCCCACATTAGTAGCAGCACAGCGAAAATAGTGGTAACCACAGCAGCAGCAACGGCCATCAAACAATTTCCTGCCATGGCCTGCGAGATGGCAGGTGTGCTTGGTTCAACTGGGCCCCACTAGATGGCACAATCTATCCACTTTAACCAGGCGAAAATTGAATTTTTGAACCACTCGTGCCATTCCCCATAGTAACACTCTGTGGTTCTTTTTTGCATGAATCAAACAGAAACGAACAGGCAGCATTTTATTACGTCTCTTGATGTACGGAAGGTACTTTATTTAGTGCAGCCATTTCGATTAATAGTGGTTAATTGTAGGCGGTATTTCTGACGTTATCAGGATCAATTTGTGAATGTCGTGACACATGTGTTCTTGTGAATTTACCTTAATTTCTTGGTAAGTAGAGCACTGCTATTGATAAATATTGTTGTTTTAGGTGTTGTCATACATTGAGCTTTCACTTTGACATAAATTATAATTTGACTTTAGTGTCCCTTTAAACCTCACAATCTATTCAACTTATTGTCATCGGTTCAATGGAGCCCCGCTTAATAATGTGACAGCAGAAGCATTTATTTTGTGCAATATTGCATGGTTTTATTGACAGTGTTTGTTTACTTCTACTCAATAACGATATATTTTTTTATAAAAATAAGGTCAATTAGCACACACATATACTTGTGCACTCTAATTACATAGGTGTTAACAGAGTGAACAACACGCCAAGTCTGGGCAGCGTATAACAAAGTATCTATATTTGTCCTCTATGGTGCTAACCTTCTTTTGTATCTTGGAAATTTCCCGATAGGCTTGAACAGATTGCTTATGCTGTTTAACAATCGAAACAATACTAGTAAAAGTGTTTCCGAACATTTGTGAGAAGCCTAATGGATGTTGTGCATCATCGTGAATTTTTATTTAGAAGAGTAGAGGAAACATAGTTTTTGAAGTTCTCTAAAGAGGCTTATGAAACTTTCTTGATCCTGACTTTTCTACTTGGCATGGTTAGCGAGTGCTTGTAATGCAACTACCCGTATTTTTCAGAACTTGTACGCTTGGACGAATCTCGGTGCCTTGTACCTTCAGGCTGGCAATGTGCAGGTAAGTTGAAAAGAGAGTGGCTCTTCGAAACAGTTGCGAGTGCTTAAATCTGTAAGTAGCTAGAATTCTATTTATTCCGTCACTTTAACACTACTGCCATTCTCATTGTGCAGTTGGCGCACCAAGCTTTTGCAAAAGCCCAGTCTGTCGAACCAACAGCAATGCGGCCGTGGGTAGGACAGGCATTCATTGCTGAAAAAGTACATCACCACGACACTATTGACTTGTTCAGACACTGCATGGGACTTGGGAATCACGTGAGTAATGCGGTTATTAATGTGCAGTGCCAGTTTTACTCATGAATGTCAGATGTAGCACTTAGCACTGTAGAAACATATAGGATAGGTAATAATCAATTCAACCACGTAAAGCTTGGTTCAGCACTGTCACTACAGCATAGATTACATGCTGTATGAGTACTTTCATGTTGATGTTTTTTTTCAGGGTGATGCAGCTCGTGCCTATGCCAGCTTTCTATGCAAGAAATCGGCCCAACAGTTGCTCAGAAGCACGGCAGGAATATCTTAGTGGTTGCCTCTGATGCTCTTTCACGCACTGTAGGTGGGTCAAAGTTTCTGTGTTGGGAATCGTTGTGAGCAGTGGAATCGGGGGTGCAACAGCTGCACCCCAATTTTGTACAATTCTCCATTCGTGTGCCGAGCTTTGCAAAAATCATGAAATTTGCCGAAATTGCACGCCACGCTGTGCCAAAATGCCCGACAAGCCTCAAAATTTTCTCAGTTGCGCTAATTTCAGTGAGAAATGGAGGCCACATGGAGCAATTGTAGTTTGCGTCATCAATCAATCCAGGGATCCAGGCGTGGTATGAGACACGCAGACCATACTCACAAGATGCGATCGACCAGATAAAGTAACAACGCCTGTGCACCCATTGGTCTGCTGACCGCAGAGGATCTCTATAGGCGGAATGACGCAGCTTCAAGACAAAAACGCGCTGCTGTACCCAGCAACACTTCACGGGAAATATGAATTTCCTAGCAGGCAAATGCGGCTATGGCTTGTTAGGCGCTAAAGCTGGAAGTGTATGCCGCAGTTACTGCGTGAGCAAACTCTACACGCTGGGGACGCTGGCGAGCACGCTAATCACCATTGCAACAGTACATGCGACAGATATCCGGTGCCGTCGCTGGGCCAACGAGCGCAGGCTGTTGGTACTTTATCTTGTCAAACGCGTCTTGCAAACGAGCCGAGAAGTTGTGCCCTAAACCTAAACCCATGATGAAAAAAAAAGGGGGGGGGAGGGGGAAGGGTATAGTGGTTCGAAAATTTCTTGGCCTTGTTCTCAATGCAGAAAGCTGTTTAAGTTGCCTTCGCTGCAGTACAGCGGCGGTCTGCGGAAAAACATCTCAAGATTTGAAATGGGGCCATTTGCATTATTCACAGAACACAGCACAGTTTGTTCACTTACTTATGCGTGTGTACTCCACCTAATTGTCAGTACTAATATGATTGTTCACATAAAAAAAATACTGTCAATTACTTGGAGCTGTGTATGACATTTTTGCAGCCCTAAAAAAAATTAAACAAAACTTTGCACCAGTTTATCCTTCTTTTTTTTTTTCCCACCTCTACTTCTCAGTTTTACTAATCTCCTGAATCTCAAGATTGCTAGCTTAGCAGACCCACATTTGAGTTCTCAGAGTCTGTCAAAGGATGTGACAGACATGGTGAATGGCAGTGTAGATTTTATCATTGTTTGCTGATGGGGGTATTTCAAAATACTACATGTATTGAAATATCAGCTCTCACATTTACTCCTAATGGTTTAGGGGATGTTGTATGGTTTGCACATATTTGTTGTTCTAAATATAAGCCTTTTTTTTCATACTCCTCCTAATTTAGTTCCTCATGATAAAAATGAACTTATGATTAAAATGGATGTTTTTCTCCCGTAACCTGCTCCAGATTTGGGTTGTAGTGCTCCAAAATAAACATTTCATGGCTTCGAAAATTGCTCCGAATTCTATTTCGGCTATTGAACACCTGTGGAATATTTAAAATAGGTTTGGGCTACTTCTATTTACATATTTTTGAACAGCAGAACTTCAACATGACTTTAATGGGGTCAAATAAAGCAGGCTTTTGCAAATATTTGAATGCTTCGAATATTCGAACGAATATTGCAATATTTGGATTTGATTCGAATTTTAATTATTGAAAATTTTGTCGAAATGAAGAAATAAATGTAAATTAACCCACACGTAACTTTTTGTAAAGGTGGTTTCACCGCAGTAAAAGGGTGCAAAGCCGTGAAAGCATACAAGTCTGCATGTAATTTTTTGTAAATGTGGTTTCACTGTTGTGAAATGGTGCTGAGTCGTGAAAACACTTATTCAGGGAAATCTGAACTGCAGTGAAGCCCCACATAAAGGCTAAATGAACCTAATACCCTCACATAAATTCATCATTTTTGAAGTTTGAAAGCTCGTTATACTGGCTTAATATGCTCTAAATATAGTAAATTTTAAAATGTAGCATATTTTACAGGTTATCACTCACATCCTGTTGAAAGTCAAATCCAGCTACTATTTTAAAGTTGTTTCCACTTTCTTTGTATTAAAAAAAAAAAGAAATCACATAGGTCGTGTTTCAATTAAAATATATATATTATGCGGGTTAGGTCATGATAAAAGTGCACATATTTTTTATAATATTATGTGTTACTATATACTATTCGAATATATTTGAAATTATTCAACCAAAATCACTATTCGCTTCGAATTCACTTCGCGAGCGAAGTTTTTGCCCTTGCTCGAGCGACCGGGCCCTTTTGTCTAGGTGTCCCCGTGAATCATTTTTGCCCACGGAGACGTGCTCGCGGCACCCTGTGTAGTACTTCTCACCCGTGGCGTGGATAAGCCCATTTGCTTTCCCACCGCGCCTTTTGCAACGGGCTCCGTACTGCATTTTGCTGTTGCCGCAGAAAATAAAGTGTTATGACCTTGAGCAGTACCGTGTTCTCGCCACGGCGACAGTTAACAGGTACCCTGCAGCTTGTTAAACCGGACGCACGCTAGTGGTCGTAATCCTTCGGTATATGTGTGCACTACACCGTCCGTCCGTCCATCCGTCCGTACGTCCGTCCGTCCGTCCGTCTGTCTGTCTGTCTGTCTGTCTGTCTGTCTGTCTGTCTGTCTGTCTGTCGGCCCGCCATCCTACTAAATTCATCACCCCACTCATCATCATTCACTTCACGGATATGCTGTGTGGGCGGCTACAACAACGCAGGACGTAGGACTGACTGAGCCATAGCGTAAGAAGCCTTTGCTCTAAAAGAAGTACACCCTTTAAACGAACCTTCCTCTTTTTTTATTTGTCACATTTTTTTGCACTCAAGTTGTTTGTGTATTCAAATAAAAAAAATCTGATTGTCTAGTGTGAATTTCTTTGGAATTTATTAATTTAAATTTGCACAGCTTCTACATTTTCTTTTCAACATTCTTCAGTAGTGCACTTTTGTTGGCATTCATATGGGGTTTTCCATAGATGCCATTGAATGAACAGGACAGATGTCATTATTTTTTCACCTGATTTGTGGATATGTGTGACCTGCCCTTCTGCCAGTCATGGTTGACATGTGCTTGCATGTGCAATTTTGAACAGATTTGGAAGGAGCCCTAGATCCTGCAGCATTGAACATGCTAGGAATACTGCTAGAACGCCAAGGACGACTAAGAAGTGCACGAGATGCCTATAAAAAGTACGTTATTTATTATCATTGTTTTATCATGTAAGAAACATTGCCAACTATTTTTTTTCTTTTGTTGTTGATAGGGAATGTTTCCTTCTTATGTTGTGACAGCACCATCCATACGTGATGTGCATATTTTGTTATTTGTCATTAATGTTGTGGACTGATTACCTGAGTGCCAAGTATAAATATACCTGGATCCAGAAATAAATGTTCTGTTTAGATTTACCATAAAAAACATGTTTTTTTTTAACTTTTTTAATCTTTATTTTTAAGGCATGCACTCATTTTTTGGAGGGCTCCTTTTGTAGAATAATAAAACCTGTTTTTTTTTTTTGCCATGCCAGCTCTTTATATTATCATATGTTATACTTCACAAATATATTTATGTCCATGTTAGGAAACCCAGGGTTTCAGAATTGATGTGGAGTCCACCAGCTTACCATGTCTCACAATTAAGTTTGTGTTTTGGCGTATAAAGCCCCATGATTCAAACTTAGTTCATGTTCACACATGTCACTTGCTTTGGATGATAAATGTTTAAGCCTATTTCTAAGGTAATAGGTGCATTGTTAGGTCAACGTTTAATAACACTTAGTACTTTTAAAAGGGCTATAGTGTGGACCACATTCAAGTGATGTGTGAGCCGCTATGTGGAGGATTTTCAGTTCCTATTCTTGGCTGGGTGGAAGGAATCTTCAAATTAACTTCTGCATTAACCTGTACAATTATTGGCGCAAGCCCAAGATGAACAGTCAGCGGAAGTCATGGCTTCTACAATACGTAGAGGTTCTTTTACTGTAGTTATTTTTGTTACATTATTGAGCTGTCAAATAAATGACTAGAAGACTCTTGCTCATCCTGGTTAATCAAGAGCTCACTAATGTGGTTCGTTATCATCTAACTTTGTAACAATACACCCACTCATTTGTCAACCATTTGGAACAATGTGTCACTATGACGTTGGACAGCTAGTGTTGCATCACGCATTCTGTCCATCCCACAGGAATGCTTGACAATGTTATAGTATGTGAATGAAGCTATGATGACATTTGAGCTTGCCCATGAACTGTATTCACTGCATTCACTCATGTTGATTCAGCTTGTAGGTGTCAGTTCGAAATAGGGCTATTCAACATAGCTATGAGAGCTTTTACAGCTCAACTGCAGATTTTACTCACCTTCAACCCGGCTACCTTCCTTTCTCTGTCATTGTTTCAGGGCGTTGACATTACCTGGTCAAAATGATGATAATATCAATTGCATTCGCGTGAATCTGGCACGTGTACTTTGGTGAGTGACAAGATTCTGCTTTTTTTTTTGTATTGTAAATGACAGTCATGCACAGATTCTATTGAAGGAATTTTTTTTTTCCAAACATGAAGAGTACTGTTTGCTTTAAGTAGAAGCATCTAATTTGGATTTAAACATTCTTCAAGGCTATCTCTAGCATGCTGTAGAAAACAAAACACTTCTAGCGGATTATATAATTCATAGCAAAATAGCAACTTGTCCTATCTCAGTTTCTTTTTTAGTTGCACCGATATATTACTAGCTCTAAAATTTATACGCTGTGTTATAATTTTACAAGTGTTTTCTCTAGGAACTGCTGTGAATGTACTGACAAGGCCTAAAAGAGGGTGAATGGCCTTTAAATTTGAATTAATTAGGCCAAGCTTTAAAAATAATTAATCATTCATTAGACAATGTTTTCAAACACAGGGATATTTAATGCACTTCACACAGTTGAACTTTGTTTTCATGAAGTCGCATGCAATACAAAATTATGTTCAATAGTCTTTATAAGTCTATATATACGGTACACATAGGTGTCAGAAAGTAAAAATGAGAATTTTGCCCTGGTATATGATAATTCATAATATGCATGTTTGCTACAATGGGGTACAACTGAAGTGCGAATTAAATCCCCTTTGCTTATCATGTGTTCATTACATTTTGTACAAGTGTTTTTAGTAGTGTTTTCACGAGATGCTTATGTAACTCACCGATGCTTATTGTATAGAAGACTTGCAGATAGGCAGTTTTCTGCTATATACCTGTAATAGACATCAGTACTAGTGTCACATTTACCTATAAGAGAAACATCAACCTGGGTTATGTTATATTGTGAACTGACTGGATTTTTAAACGCAAGTGGCATCATATACATGAGTAGAAAAATTAAGGAGCCATTCCACTCTGCAAAGTGGATGAGCGGCGAAGCTGTCTAGCACACGTCACCGAGGCGATACGGCGAGCTCATTTGGCATGAAAGGCCAGGTTGTGAACGTATCCACCATTGTTCGAACCACTTTGCGAAGCTTATGGTGACACACTGATGACATCGCCTTCGAGGTAATGAATAGACTTTTCTGCAGCAAACAATGGGGGAAAGCCAATCTGCAAAGAGCCAGCTTAGACAATTTCCTTTCAAGTTGGCTTCACTTCTAAACATGGATGCATTGCTGTGTAGGCATTTTTTCAGATGCCACATAAGGTGTTGTCTGAAAATATGAAGGCTTCTGGTAGGTTTCTATAGTCCTTTATTAATTGTTTGCTATTGCCGTTGCCTTCGTGTTTTTCCTTAAGCACATTCAATAGTCCTAACCATGGTCATAGAAAGTACGAGGAATTCATGTGGTTCTGATGTGCCCATATTTTGCAAGCATGAGTGTGTATAACCTAGTGTTACACACTCGCCTTCGAAGTACACTAAAATCGCAGCACCAGTAATAAATTCCTTTTATTGTGATGCATTAGTTTTTTCTTCCACTCCATAAACGGTGTCTGGGGTTTCACTTCACTTTACTGCTTCAAAATGCTTCAGTAGAGGGCACCGGGGGGTTTTCCTGCATATAGAAATACAACTTGCCGAGAAGTGGCTTAATTATATTTAGGTTTGTTTTCTAAAACTTGTGGCCCATTGACGGGAGGTAAGCTTTGTAGGCATTGTTTACGACTGGCATAACTTGTGGCACTGTTCCAGATAGTAGTAGTAGTAACATGTTACTTTTCTGTTTCAGCACTCTGGGTTGTTATGAGGAGGCCATTCAGCTCTGCCTGCAAACAGGGTCGCACTCATGGGACTGTGCTTTGCATTCTTGGTTTGTGTTACGGAAAGCTGGGTGAATCTTCCGAAGCCCTAAAAGGTGCTGAATGGTTATGCTTGTATTCTGTGCACTCTCACACGCAGTGTAAAATTAATAGGCATGTTTTACTGCTACCAGATAAATCAAATGGTGGCTCTGAGTTTTGTGTATATGTATGCACAATTTCCTTATGAAGTGAGCGATTTATACTAAAGCACAAAACTGCAGTGGTACAAAAATCAGAGGGCACCAGACTCCTGTTGATTATTTTATTCTCTAACTCATTAGTATGAATGTTAGTTACAAGTCCTTTCCTAACTAAGCCTGTGTAGCTTTCACATACCTACACTTCTGAAGGTCATTCCACCATGATCCACCGCGATGTTTCAAGACTAGTTTGTACTAATGATGCAGAATAAACTATGCAATCTCTTCTTTTCTGCCGCCCCCCCAATGGTGGCTAAGGCTCTTGAATGCTGAATCCAAAGGTTGCAAAATCAGCTCCCACATGCTGCGGCCACATTTTTATGGAGGGATACCGCTTAGTTTTTGGCACACATTAAAGAACCCCAGACAGTTGAAATTTTTGGAGCCCTCCACTACAGTGTGTCTCATAATCATATCATAGTTTTAGAATGTAAAACTCCAGCAATTATTATTATATAATTTTTGCTGCCACATCTTAGTTCAGCCGCCCTCTCTGATTATTGCATCGAATAAAGGGGAAAATAAAGCGCAAAACTAAAATTGGTTGCGCCGTGGTGTACGTTTTGTGCGTGCAGTGTATGAGGAAGCTCTGTCGAAAAGTCCGCCCGAGAAGAAAGTGGAAGTGGAGCTAGGCATGGCCATGGTGACCTTGAAGGCTTCTGGAGCTGCAGCTGCTAAGGATTTCCTACAAAACAGGTTTCAGGCTTCTATGCTACTATTGTGATGCTTTTATTTTGTCTACACCAGTGTGAAGTAACTGTAACTTGTAGGTTAACCAGCGTTCCGCAGTCTCATGAGGCTCTGGAGGCTCTCTGCTGCCTGTCCATGCTTGCTGGAGACAGAAGTTCTTGCCGCAGTTCCACTCAAAAGCTCATGACGCTGAGTAAAAAAAGCGTGGCACTTCACGAGAGGACTACATCATTGCTCTGCAGCCAGCAGTTGATGAAGGTATGCTGTTGACACTGCTGTCTTACAAAGCTGAGATGTTGTGGCGCTGACCTTGTGGCGCTGACTTTTTTATTTTTTTTTGTTCTTAATGTATGTTGCAGGGGAACAATATGCAGTTAAAATTGTTACAATTAAAGCCACCAAGTATTTCAGGTTTTTGTTTGGATTGCTTAAAGTTGAATCAGATATAAGAACAAAGTTGTAGATCATGAATAAATGGAGACACATGGTCACAGTCAAACAACGATACAGCCAGGCAACGTCAGCAAGCAAAGAAACATTTGCTTCAAAACATGAAGTTCACTAGCAGTAGCTCTCACATGATGGTCTAGACCCTCCAGAATGTCTCTAGGACAGTTTTTAAACTAGGTTTCTTTCTGAGCTATTTTAATAAGCCTCCCAGAATCCATATGCACCCAAAGTACATATGTTCATCATGTGAACATCATGTCTCCTTAAAAATAATTTACAATATAGTATTGCAGTGTGGCACTAGTGTACACTTCCCACTTCTCACACCTTTGACTGAATAAATTACTACTCCACTTCAGTAACACTACCAGTGTCTGTTGTATTAACATGCACTCGGGCCGACACTCTCAGCATGCGCTAACCTGTTTTGAAAACTACTGCTCATGCTAGATGTGATTGAGGGGTGTTGCTGAAGCACAGTGTTGATGAAGTCCTAGCTTTTATACCAAGTGGTTGGGCTATCCTCACTCCACATTCTCTCCTTTTCCCTGCAGCCTTCTTTATTACAAACAAAGCTCCCATTGTGTTATTTCATTTCATGTCAGTTTATTTCAATCAATCAGTCAGTAAATCAATCAATCAATGAACTCTTTATTTCAATTTGTACACATAAACTAGGGATGGGCGAGAAAAATGTAGCAAATTTTATGCTGTTTAGTAGGCCCGCCACAAGTCACTACGTTTCACACAAGTAGCCGCAAGTTGTTCGAGTTGCTAGGCATTTACAAAGAGATAAAATTGACAAAAAGACATATGTATCGTAATTGGCAGCAGTATCGCAAGTGAGTGTAAAACAATGAAACAGATTGATGCACTGTACGAAGACATGAAACACTTGATATTATGGTTGGTAATACATATTGCTGAATAATGATCTTGTGAATGGTAGACAGATACACAGTATTTATGCTGCCATGAAATGAGGTATTCAAGAACTTTGGCACAATATAACTTAACGTAGAAAAGCCATAGTTTGTTCTACATTTTCGGTAACATGAAGCTACTTTGTACTCTGGTACTGTATAATGAGTGGCGAAATGGTAAGCATAACAGTTTTAGAAAAAAATGAATCATTTTATCTAGTTGCTGTTATAAAAGCACTGCAAAGTAGAATAATTTGTTTACTAGTACAATATGATACTGTAAGAAGACATGCTCAGTGGTCGAATTGTAGGATCCATTAACAATTGCGCAGCACATTTTCTTTCGTAGAGTTTCTAGTTTTAGTATGTTCGACAATATTGTATTTTTCTAGACGAGCACGGACTAGAAGGGTTGCACGTGACGTCAACCACTTGAGGCGCTAGCGGCATTTGCTCCTACCGCCATGTCAGTGATCTGGGAGCACCGTTCTTGAAGCGGCAAGCGGCAGTGAGAGGTTGTGTGAATGCCCCTTCGTACGGTACCAACGTGGTGAAATGCGACTGAGTGCTTATGCACGTGACTTCTGAGGTCCAGCGAAACTTCACTACAAACATAAGGTTCACTTTTGCGGCGGATATCGACCCGTTCGACGTCAGCAGCGATGAAGCTTGTGTGATGTGAAGTTTTATTCCCGCATCAAGCTCATGGACATTAAGGACCACCTTTTTGGCGGCACAAGCTTCGCAACAAGGGATTAGCATAAAGCCTATAAATCAATGGACGCCCACAACTATGTGACTAGCAGATGGGTCCAACAGCACCCTCGTAAATGGCCGCCGCGTCGTCGTGGGAAACGCGACTGGTTCCTTTTGCTCAGTGCTCGGACGAATATTTTTTGTCACCTCGATGGTGTCGCTTCACGAATTATTTGTGTGCAAGGCTTCACAGTTCGCAAGAGTATGTGAGGCTATACAATTCGTGGTTCGTTCGTGGTTTGTGATCGTTCGTGGTTGAGCCCAAGCCGCTTGCGATCAAAATTCTCTGTGCTGCAGGGTCCAACGACGCGCGTCGCGCAGTTGCGCACCCAGAGATTACATACGGTCTCCATTGTAACTGATCGACGTTAATGTGATATCACCATTTATGTGCTTAGCTAACCTTTCTCTTGCCCCGGCGCGGTGGTCTAGTGGCTAAGGTACTCGGCTGCTGACCCGCAGGTCGCGGGTTCAAATCCCGGCTGCGGTGGCTGCATTTCCGATGGAGGCGGAAATGTCGCAGGCCCGTGTGCTCAGATTTGGGTGCACGTTAAAGAACCTCAGGTGGTCAAAATTTCCGGAGTCCTTCACTACGGCGTCTCTCATAATCATATGGTGGTTTTGGGACGTTAAACTCCACAAATCAATCAATCAATCAAGCTAACCTTTCTCTTAAACAGTCAGTGATGCAGTGCGCTCTCGTCAAAGTATGGGTAAACGAGAACGCATTGTGGCATGCCTGTACTGCGTCGCTGACTGTTGACTAACACAATGAAATCAGTAACATGCCGCACCTACTTGAATTTTACCGCTGATAAGCAGCGGTTGCGGACGTAGTGCACGCGCTCGTTTCCTGCTGTGTAAACAAAGCTTCATAGCATGTCGCAAAAACCTAAGTTTTTCACCACAAAAGCAAACCTCTATGATGTTGCATAGGTTCAGAACACTTATCGGAAATGAAATGTTTAACGCACACGCAGTATAGGTAGTGTGTGGCTGAGCCATCCGAACCTTTTCGATTGGTTTACAATCACTTTCGGTATAGAAAAAAAGCTGGCATCAGGCATATTCTCATGACCAGGCTTCTTACTCGAGTGGATGTAGCAAGCAAATACGGCACAGTTCACCATTACGACCACAGAAATTTCGCACGGACGCCCATGCAAGATTCCTGTGTCCGTGCGGACACCTGTGAATGTACCGTATTTACTCGATTCTACCGCGCCCTCGATTGTAACGCTTAGATTCGAGTAATTACAGTAGGTTCTGCTACTGCTTGCTGGCGGTGCCCGAGAGAGAGACCACAAAGATGGATACGCTGCCTCTTCGGCGCTGGCACCATCTCCTGAGCCACACCCCTGTGCAACCCTCTTATAGCTGATGTGGGAATTAAAAAAATACTCATAATACAAAGTAAGTTTAGTTTTGATGGAAAAAATATATCTGTTATTTGAAGCAATTTTTTTGAATATAGAAAGTATTGAAGAAAGATTATTAACATGTGCTTCCCATGGCATTGTACTGCTGAACATTATTCCTAAGGATTTAAATGTGTCCACGTACTCTATTACAGTATTGCCTAGGTATAAGCAGGGCCAAGGAGATACTTGCTTTCTCTTGGGAAGCAAAAGTACTGTTCTTGTTTTCTGTATATTTTTAGTGAGTTAACTGATGACCATGCGGCAGGTGATGAGAGTGCATCGTTTTCGATATCAACTAATTGCTGTGCAGTAGACTCTTATTAAATGGAATCTGAAAAGACCAGGAAAATATGTTCTATTTAGCAGGAGTTTCATTTACCGAGAGATAATCGAGGTGCAGGATGCTAGAACGAAACCAATCTTGTCAGAAGCACTTGTTCCATTTAAGCAGCAGTTCCGTTTAACAGATCTACATTTAACGAGAGTCTACTGTGTATCATTAAACGAAAAGAACAGCTTTATTTATTACACCGTCAGGGGCCAAGGGCATTCAATAAAAAGCCATGCTGTCAAGTTTTTAGTGTCTTCATCTTTTTGTGTGTCTGTTTAATTTTCGTGGCTGAAGTGTGTCTTTCCACAAATAGAGATTAAGTAAGCTGTACATACTGTATTGCCACTTGGTTACCAATAACTTAATTTTCCAATGTCTGCTTATATGCACGCAGGGCACCGACTGCTCGCCAAGCCCGTCGAATACTTAGTAGTGCTGTGCATATTCACCCAGACAAGAGCTCCTTGTGGTCGGCGTTAACACAGGCCCTGCTGTTAGAAAAGAAGCCTAGCGCTCTCTGCTGTGCCCTGGCTGGTCTCGTTCTCGGAGAATGCTCTCCACGACACATGACCATGGTTGTGCTGGCCAGGCTGATGCAAGGAAAGGCCAAGGAGGCCCTGAGAGCTGCTCAGAAGATGGTTTACCTCTATCCTGGTAAGAACTGCTTTTTGACAGTTCCAGAATTTCGTCTCGCCGGTCTTTCATAGAAAAAAACCTGCTCGCTAGCAATAGATTTTCAGGGACTCTTTTGTTATTAATAAAAAGAAGAGAGATATTGTTGCATGCTCTTTGTCATGTTTGTTCAAATCCCGGCTGCGGCGGCTGCATTTCCGATGGAGGCGGAAATGTTGCAGGCCCGTGTACTCAGATTTGGGTGCAGGTTAAAGAACCCCAGGTGGTCAAAATTTCCGGAGCCCTCCACTACAGCGTCTCTCATAATCATATGGTGGTTTTGGGACGTTAAACCCCACAAATCTAATCTTTGTCATGTGTGTTATTGAAAAAAAAAATTTACAAAATATGGATGCTGGTCTTTAGTAACATCAAAAAATGACATTAAAAAAAAAATCGTCACCCAAGCATTTCGCACAAATGTTAACCAGGGAAAGCTGAAGCGTTCGCCCCGGTGTTTAACAGTGGGTTCAACTCAACGCTGGCCTGAAGCCCTTCACAATTATTGGTTTCATGTTCGTGTGTCTTAATGAGGTTAGACACACGTTTGGCTTGGGCTTACCACAGTATCCATTTGACATGCCGCACATTGTAGCTTGCATGATCATGGTCATGGAAGAGTGTAATGAGCGGTTAAATGCATTTCACAATGCGTTACTCACAGTGGTTGTTCTTGAACCTCAGGCAGTCACAAATGTTGCAACCGTAGCGAAAGTGCCGCATGAGAAACTCCCACCGAAAGCAAGCGTTCGCCTCGGTGAATGCGCTCCCGCAATCATCACATTGACGCTGCAGTGCCGCTGTTGTTGCAAGCATTCAACATTGCGAGCTAACTCACAATGCAGCCATTGTTGCGCATGCTTTGGTACGACGCTGTGAACGACCTAACTAATAACACAGCCAATGGAGACAACTCATCACACTGCTGTCGAACGATTTTGCGTTTCTCCTAGCCATACACAGCTTTCGCTGTAAAAAACAGTATTCATTGTAAGGCCTCTGTAAAGCTGTGGCAGAACTATCTTTCGATTGTGGGGGTGCTATCACCTCCTGTAAAGTCATTTGCACCTCATGGTGCGCACGTGTCTCGTAGATAGGCCACATTTAGGTTTAACAGCCGTCATGCGCCTCATGGTTAGTCGAGCGTCTGTGACGCCACCTTCGTGTTACTTTGTTTCTGTTGTTTGAGTGTCATATTGGAAATATTGTATAATGTTGTTTTTAGTGTGTCACTAGTGGCATATTTGATTTGACGGATGATATCGTCGTTTGTAAAAGCAGTCGAATGAATGTATACAATGTTTGGTTTTGCCCGATCGCATTTGCTGTGTCCGTGTGTTCTGAGAGCGACACTCATTCTGACACACCCACAACATATGCACTACAATTCAGTAAATTTGAAAATGGACTGTTGTCTGTCAAATTACATGTACACCGAATGTTTTATATACACATGGCTCTTAATTTTCGTGCACATTGCATCTTCGATGGCATTTTGTTTCGTAGAAGTAGTCTTGCTGGAGCCCTTTTCCACTACATTTCAGACTCTCACTCAGGCTGGGTGCTTCTTGGTCTTGCCATAAGCGAATGCCGAATAGTTGCTGACAAAGCTCTGCAGCATGATCGCTTTCTACTCGGTGCCGACACTTTGTGGAAGCTTTGGTCCAACCTGATTCAAGTGCAGTACGCCTGTGTTCACCAGCGATGGCAAAAAGTGTCAGAGCTGGTGCCTTTGGTAAGTAATGCTGAAATTTCAAAATGCATTCAATTAGCAGCATAGCAGTTGTCATAAGACGGAAATACTAAGTCAAGCCTACATATAAGTAACATGTAAACATGTAGGCCTCTTATAAATGAAGTATGGCAATGTGTAGCCCATCATGCTTCATTTCAGTGGAATTTTCTCCTTCTTTAGTAAAATGGAAAAATCTAGGATTAAACATAATATAAGTTATACTAAAGTGAATATTTGTTTTCACACGCCTTGGAATAAATATCCTGGTCGCCAAAAATGCCAAGTATAGTCAGTTATGAGTATTTTAAGGGGGCAGACTGGTCTTTGGAACCAAAAAGTGACAAATAGATTCATTTTTAAAATTGACATACCGTATTTGGTTTCTGCAAGTATTTTTCTATCTCACTGCAAATTTTCACACACCAAAAAGTGGTAATTTTTTTGCAATGTCATTCTAACTGTCTAGATTCTTGGTGCTCTTAACATGCAGAACCTGTAAAAAAAAAGGGGAACCAACTTCGAGGCTTCTTTATAATTGACCGGCACCTGTGTTAGGAGCTCTGCTGTGAACTTATGCGCACCTTTATGAGGATTGCAAAACACGTGTAACATGATTGTTGTTTTTTGAAGAAGCTGTGTGTTTTCAGTTTTTTTCATTTTTCTGAAAAATTCAAATTTGCGACTGTTCAATTTCGAGGCCTCAATATCTCTGCAGCTAGGGCAGGTACAACAATAATTATTTTTGCAATGGAAACCTGTATGTGTGTAGAATGCAAGTGTGGGAGCAGAAATCAGAGCACAAGCCTGCTTAATCAATTACTCATCAAAATTGTAATATGATTCCAACTGCTTTAGAAAATGGGTAGTTCATTTTGCTATAAAATAAATAAGAAATGCCTAGAAACTAAATACTCTAGCATACTTTCACTCTATAGTCATTAGTCTATGTTGGAATATCTTAAATACCACTTTTAATGAGGCACTTTTTTTTCTTTGGCAGCCTTAAACAATAGGAGGTGAACTTAAGTTATCTCAGGAACAAGATGAGTTACAGGAAAACTAATTAATTGAAATCAGCAGAAAAAGCTGCATAATCCTGTGCAGTTTGATCAAGATCACTGATGAAATAAACAAAAAAATGTCTAAGACCAGTCTGGCCCCCTAAATGCCCTATTTCTTGGAGGTGAACGATTCTGACAGTATTGTTAACTACAATTAATGCCAATGTACAATAGCAATAACCACAATTTCTCACGCCACACAGTGTTGCTGGTCATGATACGTGCAATGCTGCAAACATGAAAGCCGTGAAGGAAGTTCTAGCTGTGTTGATGTGAATGAAACTGCTGTATTAGTTTCAGACTCTCAATAAGTTATTGCCAGTGAGTCTTAGTGCCATAAGCAGTGTGGCCTGTTGAGTGGCTGGCAATAAACAATTGTGGGAAGCTTGTTGCCTTAACGTCCACATTTGTAGGCCTTGCAAGCCTTGATTAAACATTAGAGCAGATCTGTGAATTAGACCAGAGTTATTCAATTATATAAGTTGCGAAGCTGCGTTCTGAAACCCTGGACATGTTATTGGCCGACCTAGCGAGAGTAAGCAGATCGTCGCGCCATCTGGGAGCGACAATACAAAACACTGCATCATCACTTGTGTGTGCGCTTTCTTGTTTTTTAGGCTGCTCAACGTCGCACGCAACACCGGCGTTGTCGCCACAATAAATGGCCTTAGCTTGCACGGCGCCCGCCGCTGCTGTCAGCTGTTTTCGCTCTGCAAAGGCATAATGAAAGCCGGGTCAAAGCGTCAAGTTTTATTTTGTCGAAGGTGGTGCTTGCAATTTCGTGATAGGATGGTTTTACCGCTGCGCCCTGATTATTTCTATTACTTCTCGTTTGCTCGTTTGAAAATGTGCGCTTGAGATCGATTGCTCACAGGAAGTTTGACGAATCCTTTTAACTGTTCCACTCTGCGGTTCGCGATGTGTCTCACTAACACGACGTGTCTCACTAACACGACGTGAGTGATGGTCTCACAAACAAGACGCAGATACGGTGAAGTGCAAACCAAAGCACAACAGTACCGATCAGTACTACTTACTGCAAATTGGCCGCTTTGTCTTGCACGCAGCGATCGAATTCCACTAATCGCGAAATCAATGTGACACTGGCTGGGATACCATATATTTATGTATGCCGATGACAAAAATTGGGAAAATTGAACATTGCTATTTACTTGTAGCTAGTACTGCAAGCACTCTTTTCTTTTCAGGTGCGATGTTCGTGAAGTCTTTCTAATGGTACCGGCGTTTGCTGCTCGGGCAACGTCGTCTGCTGCCGTTGACAGACTTACAGGTTGGATCCACCTGGATCCACGCTGCATACCGCTTGCATCACGCCTTGCTGCTCACTATTTTGCCAAAATGTAAACATCGTGGGCTCTCCACATGAATCTGATAACTACCTGACTTTCGCTGCACCGTCTATTACGCTGTGCTAGCTGTGTACCGCACGAACGCGTCGCTTATAGCCACGTTACTTCTTGTTGCACAATGCGGAAAACATGAAAAAGGACAGAGCATCAAGATAACAAGCAGCTCCTCTGTCCTTTATCACGTCTCCACCATTGCGACAAAGTAACATGCTCAGCACCCTTAGGCACCAACTCACCTAAGAACAAGTTCTAGGCGCTGCCATGCTGTTTGGCAGAATGCAGCGACGCTCACAATCTTGCTAAACAATTTTGCTAAATGCAAAAACACAAAATATTGAAATTTTCCAGTTAGGTTTGTTGTCAAGAGATGGCGCTACAATTTACTCGCCATTTCGGCCAATGCCATGTTCGGATTTTAATACATGGAGCCTATGGGGAGTTTTGCAACTAGTATGATTGAATAACTCTGGATTACACTGATCGACAGCCGTTGTAGCCCATTATGTCCATTAAGTCTGGTAGCGACTTGTGTGTTTGGCTCTGTTGGCCAGCCAACATACTGATCCCATGCACAAACACCAATCACATGTTTGTGCATCCGCAGCGAGGTAGAGTGTGCTGATGTATATTATCGTTGTTCTCGTCGTCTTATCTGCATGGCAAAATGTTCACGGGTAACATAAATCTGCAGAAGGCCCACCGATGGCTTCGAGTTCCTAGGATGCAATGTTCTCGAGGTGCACATATCGTCATCCTTACTCTTTGTTAGTACTACAAGAAACCACAGAGTTTCACACTTTGAGCTTGGTTCACGATGTTGGAATAATGTTAGACAGGTTAGGCATGAAAGAACTAGAGAAATAAATGCGTCATGAAAGAAATAAGATGTGCGATAGAATACAATAAAAATTGAATTGCTACTCTCATTGTTCATGATTGCAGTGATGAATTAAGGAATATTGTCTGACTAAATAATTGATTACCTGCTTAGGATTCGGCACTTCAGTTTGGAAAAAAGAAAAACACTTATGGTCAGATATTGAGAGAAGAATCAAGGAAATTCCAAGACATTGTGCATTATTTATTTATTTATTTACAGAATACTGTCAATCCCCATAGGGATTATTACAGGGATGAGCATCAATGTCACAACTTTTGACATTTGAAACAAAAAAAATCAGAATAATAAAGAACATATAATCACTGAACACAGCAGTACGGCATAGAACAATCATACATAGTTATTTTTACCATAACCAAGTACAAAGTACTCCAATGGTACACTGACGAAGAAACAGGGGTCGGGAAGAAACGAAGCATAGAAGAAGAAAAACACAGATCAGGTATTATTATCAAGGGACCGTATAAACAATAAATGTGTGCAGACAAGTGCTTTGGTATGACATTTGGAAGCAGGAAGGGCTGCGTGAAGGAAAAACAGGTGATCACTGTACATGCTAACTAGGCTAGATTAGATTATCATAAGATGAATCATCCTATGCTAGGCTAGATTAGATTATCATAAGATGAATTATCCTATGACATTAGTCACCGAACCATATCATTGCCTACTTTCATTGCATTTATTGCACAAAGTGCAATTATGTTGCACGTGCCAGGATTACAGTCTAGACTGTACAATTCAGCACATATTCATGAACTATGTTATGCAATTTTATGTAATACAAGGAGAAAAGGGCCAAGTCTGTGCTGTGCAAACACAGTTTTCATGCGTCCAGAAAAAACGGCATAGGTAAGTCTGCAAAATGTGGATGGAGTACTTAAAAGGAAATAAGTTGTACTTTAGGATGAGATTTCAATGCAGTTATAGTACCACGCTAGTGAGCTGGCAGTATTGATTCGTGTGTCACTGCATCATAAAGAAAGCTTTAGAAAAACTCACTCAGTTACATAATCCTTTTCTCACTCTCTTTTTTCTGTGTAGGTTCTGTGGGGATTCGCTGGAAGTCCACTTGTATCCAAGTCATTGAATGTGCTACAGGCCATTTCAGAATTTCTGATGAAAACTTCACGTCTGGAGAAAGCTTCTCTGAGCTCTATTCAAAATACAGTTGAATGTGAGGACATAGCCCCTGGATGGCAGGTCAGTGCTTCTTATGTTAGCTTTTATATACTAAAAACATGTGTACTGGTTGTCCTAGCAATGTATGTCTAAGGCTATTAGACATAGGGCTCCATGTTTTTATAGTTTATTTTTCTTGAAATTCACGGAGTGTTTTTCGGAGTTTACTTTTTGGAAAACATTTGGTGCTTATCGGAGTTAATTTTTCATAAATGCCCAATATTATGAAATTTGGAGGTTTGGTGCTTATCGGAGTTAATTTTTCATAAATGCCCAATATTATGAAATTTGGAGGTTTGGTGCTTATCGGAGTTAATTTTTCATAAATGCCCAATATTATGAAATTTGGAGGTTAAGGTAAGATTGCATTATTCTCAATACTACAATATTTTAGATGACATGATATCCGGCCACGATAACATCAGAACACACGAAGCGTATTATAATTGCTTGGAAGGTTGAACGCACTAACTCAAGTTGTACTCACAAGCACGAATATTTGAATACAAGGCACCTATGTTCTTGCATATTACAACCTTAAAGTTTGTTATATAAGTATACTCTAACATACTTTCCGAGTTCCAGATATTCGTTGTCATTTTGTGCGCTGCAGTGCCCCCAGGGGACTGTATATCAAGATGTCATTTGCACTCTCAGGTGCCCTCATACATGACGTCACTTGCTCATGCGCAACAGGCCCTTTTTTTAAATGCACGATAGGTGCAGTCTACTAGGTACCGTTGATGTGAGGTAAAGTTTATATCACCCAAATGTGCTGATGTATGAATGACATGCCTTTTTGATAAAAAATGGAACAGTGTACTGGCCGTTAAAATTCGAATTGTTTGAAATTTCACTGCCCATTGTTTATAGGATTTTTTCGAATTTATCTGTCAACACGGAGCCATAGTTGTAACTATCGCATTGGTGTCATGTGCAATGGCTTTAAAGTGCTGTGTTCTGGTGCTTGCTTATAATTTGCTCAACAAATACCTGTGGGAATGTGGGCTTTTCAGATGATTTCAAAGCTACTCCAAAGAACTGAAGACTATAGTGGTGCCATTGAGTCACTTGAGAGGGCAAAGAAGTATGATGGGTATGATGAGCTAATTATTTTGTACGTGTTTCCCTTCTTACACTGAATGTCTGGATGCAAAGATGTGTGTATGCCCTCCTGTAGTCAGTATGTTTGCTTGCTATGAATCGTAAAAGTATGTTGTTTTGAAGGGATTAAATGTTGTCAGCCTGTTTCTATGTGTCAATATATGTTGGGATTAAATGTAGTCATTATGCCTATTGTAGTGGAGCATATTTTGATATGACAAGATTGGTAAAATTACTTTATTGGTAAATGACCGTAAGTATGTTGAAATACCCCACATTGTAGATCTACCTCACACTGAAAATAAGTAGCCACTGACTCGTGTTCTTAACACAACAGGAGGCTGTAAAAGCTGTCTGAATCATAAAATAGCTCCTGACTAAAAGACGGGGTTCGGCACTGTGTTGATGAAGGCGTATTCACAGGAAGTGTAGTACTCAGCTGAAGAAAGAATGCTGGCACTAAAACATTGCATTTTCTGCTTATACAAGACAGAGTACCAAACTATATACTATTTATAATGCTAGTCAAAACATCTTATTGGGCAGTTTACTAGTGCTGCAAACAGGTCTAGAAAACGCGACAGACAAGCAAGAATACCATGCCATGCAGTCAGTTGCCTCAGTGTTCTTGCTTGTCCTTTATATTGCTGTCTAGTCCTCTGCTTTCTATTGTGCAGTTTGCAGCATAGAATGTGCCCAGTTCCTTTCTATGATGCATTGAAAGAAACATGCAATTAGATGTGCATATACGTATGCCCCCCCCCCCCCCCCCCCTCTCCTCCTAGTGAATCTGCCAGATGCTGTTCTTACCAGATTGCGGCTTCTGAGGTCAGGTGTTTGCATTACCAGATCTCAATGGTAGTGGCGATGAACTGCTGTGACCACTGCTTTTCGCGACAAGGCATGCTTTTTTTAAACTTGCGTGTGCAAATGACTGTTTAATTAAACCATCACACCTGCAGTGGATTACATTTATTCCTTCGGTCTCCATCTAATTCTGGAGTGAAAATATGATGCTGAATTGCAACTAACTGCTCAGTTGTGTAGAGATTAAACATACATGATGTTCTATGAACATAAAGTTGTGAAAAGTTGTACGTTTCGTTATATCAAGGGTACTGTCAAATTGAAATTTGGTGTTTTGAGCTGTAACATCTACAAAATTTAGCCTCCTTTCATTATCTGAACTTGCTCATTTCTTAACTGATCTTCTGTGTTTACTCGTTACTTGTTTTTATGACGTGGCTTACAAAAATGTTATTGGCTAAGTAGTGATGGGAAGTTTCAATACTCTTGACAGTAATATATTTGAAAACACCCGACTATTATAGTTGAAAAGCAGTGTAGCGAAATTCTAATACTATGGTTACGCAGTCGACATAATGTCCTTGTAATTTTTTTAGCTTTTCCTACAAATTTGGGGGACTTTAGGAGCCAGCTTTATCGACCTGCGTGTTCCTTGGAAGTGTTGAGAAAAACTGACAACTAGGATATAATGTATTGCTAGAGGACAGTGCACTCTATTAAATCTTTAAAAGCGCAATGCATTATGGTTTGCTTTCTATTTCATGTTTTCATTCAGCATGGAAGGAAAAATCCTGGAGCTGGAACTGTGCCAAGCATGGCTGGCTTTGCGTTCTGCAAAGGTATGTTCTAATAGCATATAGCTAACAGTAAAGAATTTCTTCCAGTAACTTCAATCGGAAGTCTAAATGTTTTGTTCATTTTACATCAGCACTTCTCAGATGACTGGCATGTGTGCTTTTGAAATTTCGTGCTTGTTGACAGTACATTTCAGTGTGTCATTTTTATGGGAATTCACTACTCACTCTTTATACATGTTGATTTGATTGATATATGGTGTTTAACATTCCAAAACCACCGTATGATTATGAGAGACGCCGTAGTGGAGGGCTCCGGAAATTTCGACCACCTGGGGTTCTTTAACGTTCACCCAAATCTGAGCATGGGGGCCTACAGCATTTCCGCCTCCATCGGAAATGCAGCCGCCGCAGCCGGGATTCGATCCCGGGACCTGTAGGTCAGTAGCCGAGTACCTTAGCCACTAGACCACCGTGGCGGGGCTTTATGCATGTTGCCAAAAATTAATGTTGTTGCAGAATGTCAATACTTGCTGCCAGTATTACAAAACCAGTGCTTGAGGCCTCTTGCCTTGCTATAGTATCGGCATGTTGTCTTGTTTTATGACTCACATTACCTTGTTATGGTTTCTGTGTCTGGAAATCAAGTCTAAGTTTTGACAGTGCATTCATGCCAGATGCATACACAGACATTTGAACACACTTGCATGCATAAAAGCCCTCAATAGTTGGATAATAAACGATACTTAGTCTTGATGCCGATTTCGACCCCACAAACGATATACAGCAGTGGTGCATATAAGTAAAATTTTTAAAGGAGCAGTGACACCAAATTTCAAACACGAGATGTGGCATTCATTCGATTGCTATGTATGCACAAGTTTTTTCAGTGAACTGTGAACGGCATCCATTACGTAAAAGTTATTCTATTTCGAGCGCAAAGAGCTTCCAAAGGCTCATTGGCGCATTCCCGGCCATGAGACATCGACAGTATTTTGACATGTTCAGTGAGCTCCTAGGCCATGCCTCAGACACTGAGTGACGATTTGTGAGCAGCGATGACGTCGACAACTCCTGTGTTGTCATCGCGGTGTCTACTTGCGGTACCGTCTGGCGGACACGCCTGGCTCCCTGGCAACGGCTTCACTTGCTTTGTCTTGCCTGGCCCATGCAGCGCGTTTGTGTGAATTCTGCGTTTTCATTGTGCCGCTTCAAGTGATTTGCCATGGAGTCGTGAGCTAGAATGTGATTATTTAAAGCAACGGTCATCACGAACAAGTAACATGCACGCAGCATTCGTATGTCTTACCAGCCAGTGAAATTAAAGCGTGTGTCTCCAGCTGCCTTGTTGCTGCTTGGTCCAACGTCGATTACAGAATCACTGCTCAAAAGAGGATCGAACTGAAAATAATTCGCCATGCCGCGAATCCCTGCGATTCCCTCTTCCTCAGTGTTTTTACGGTCGCTTGTGGGCACTGATGACGGTGGCGACGACAATGGGAATAGTGAAGACATGCCTATACACATGCGCGCCAAGCAGATGAAATTTCAAATGGAACTCGCATCACCATTTCGTGTGGTCACTTCGTAAGATCAGGCGCGACCACAGAAGGTGACCGCGAGGAAGCTCTGAAAATCAGCGAGCTTTGCCCCCGTTTTGAATTGAGTTTGATATTAGTCATACTAATCGACATTACATATATTGATTCATCCCACTGTTGCAATATTAGTACCTAATCGTGACTAGGGGATTGATAGCTACGCAATGACACAAAGAACACGACATGCATCAAGTTGATGTCCCTGCTTCTTTAAGAGCAATTTCCTAATGCATTGACCTCGCCAATGCTGGTATCTAGTAATTTCCAAAGCTCTTATTGTTTTTCAGTGCATGATATATGTTCAACATATTTATATTTCAACTGAAATATGTTCGTCATGTTGCAGGTTGACTCTCAGCAACGTGACGGTATGCTTAAGGCTGCCCTAGGATATCTCAACACAGCACTGAGAACGAATCCCAGATGCAGAGCAGGCCACATGATTCTTGGTGTTTGGGCACTGGAGAATAACAATCCCAGGCAAGTATTGAGGTCTTTGTATAAACAGGATGATTTAGAAATTTGGAAGCAAAGACTTTGAAACGTGTGGGGAGCATGAATGGCAAGGTCTTCTTGGTAGCGGTGCCTAGCTGCTGCTTCAACTGCGCAAACCTGTGGATTCTGGCGTTGGAACCGCTGAGCTTCTGCTGCAGCTTGTTTAGTGAGGTGAAGCACTTCCATTGGTTACGTCGCTTGTGAAGAGGACACTGTAAATGAACTGACTAGTGCAAGCGATGTCATGAATGAACAACCAACAGTGAACTGCTCTTTTGGGAGCAAAGTAGAGACCAGAGAGAAGACTCGATGCTTGTATGTGCATCGCATCTTTTCTCTGGTTCGGCCATCTTTCCTTTCGTTTAGCCATGCCACATTTTAGCTGCAGTGTACTGACATCGTGTTCACGCAGCGCTGCATTTCCTTGGCCGCTACTATCCTTCTTCACTCTCTTCTCTGTCACTGTTATTCAGTCTCTGTGTTTTCCCTCTTTTATCATCCTTTGTGCTACTAGTAAATTTGCTTGGTTATGCCACTGATGATGTCTGTGATACTGTGAAGCAGGCAAAGAAAGCATTTAACTGCTGTGATTTAAAGAAATTGACAGTTTTCCTCAAAAGTAGCATTAACAGCTGTTCCAAGGTGGAGCCTCAAAAGGCCACATGCAAGTGTGGAATTCTTTGTTACAGTGCGACATGCTGCTGTTATGCCAAAACCAAGGCATTTGCTGCTGCAATGTACGACCAGAACTCTGACGCATAACACGCACATCAGCAACACTAAAATATGGGCAAGAATTCCTTTTTTATAGAATAGAAACTGCAGCAAACCATACCTATGCAGCATACGCATATTTGCCAGAAAGCATGTCTTTATCAAGTTCTGTCACCTTCTTGTCAAGTGTTTTCATGAATCTGTGTGTGCTTCTTGTTCACCTAGTTAAAAGGTTCTCTTCAGCTTATAGCACACATTTCAGTATTAATATTTTCTAAGTTTCTATGGCCTTGTACATAACTATTGAGATTGGTTTCACGCAAGGCTGGCATCTGTTGTTGACAATACTGATTATCGTGACATCACTAGACACTATCTTGTAGCTATTTTTGGCGAGTGCACCGCTGAACCTATCTAACTATTTTTCAAGTTACACAAGAATTTGTAATGCATGGTCTTAAAGGCTATTGTGGAATATGTACCTGCAGGCTAGCGAAGAAGAGCCTCGAGCGAGTGATGAGATTTCACGATGGCGGAACCTCCTGGATTCAGTCTGCCACAGTGAAGCTGCTGTTTTTGCACTACTTGGAAAGGAAAGATGCTGAGGCACTGAAGGTATGCGTTGCATGAGGCACTAAGATTGCAGTACCGTGACCTTGCACAAGCATATCTCACAGTAAGGCCACAGAGGTTTAGTACCTTGTTTAAAATACTTACACAGATGACCATGTAGATTTCTTCATTATAGGAAAATTTCTTGATGAGCTTAGATGATACTGGTGAGCTTATGTTGCAGTAACAATCTCACCTGCATTCATATTGCCGTCATCACAGGTTGACAGGAGCCGCCACAGTGGTCTAGTGGTTACAGTGCTTGGCTGCCGATTCCAAAGATGCTAGTTCAGTCCTCGCAGTGAGGGTCACATTTCAGTGGAGGCTAAATGTTATAGGCCTGCATACTGCGTGATTTCGGGGCGTCTTAAATTAGCCCAGGTCCATCCTAGGTGGACTAAGTTCTATGAAGACTTCCACTGCAGCGTGTATCTAAGCCCTAATTTCTTTAGGCCATTAAGTTCCATAAGCTATTCAAGCAACCAGCAAGTAGACAGTGACACAGCATGCATTGAAAAAGTGCTCAATGGCTCACAAAACAATTACTAGTAAATCATTCACATCTGACAGGTGCAGCGTTTTTCCTTTTCTCTTAGTCATTCAAGAGAAGTTAAAAACCAAGGTAAAAAGAATATATTGCAGTGCACAGCACACAGGGTGTAATTTAAATGAAAAATATTTTGTGCAAACGCGAAGTTATAGCTGTGGCTGTCAGTGTACTGGTGGCACACAGTATTGAATAGTTCCATTAACGACTCAACTAAATAGTTTGAGGTACACTTTGCATTCACCATTTCTACACATGAGGGCATCAAACAGAGCAGTCATCATGACAACTTTGTACAGCTTTGTATCCTTCCACATGGCTAAAATTATGTGAATATGGTAGCTGCAAACTTATTTGATATGGTACCTTATTGTACCCTGTCAATGCTACTATTGCACAAAAATAAGTGGTTTTACAGGATCTAAGCAGGCAGTGATTGTTGAAGCTATGCTAAATTTTTTCCGTCGGTCTGCATATCGTTTGCAGACATTTCATGCAGGCAACTTGAGTTATCACAATAAGGGTGCCTTATGTAAGGCTTAAATTCGAATAATGCGAGTTTCCAAAACACACTCTGGCCTTATCTCATCGAACTTTTCTCTTCCATGAGAGAGCACTTTATACGTAGCATTGCAATAAGATCGGTTTGTGAATACAGGCATTCATGCCACAAGGCAAAAATTAGGAAAATGCGAGTTTCAAAATGTGGATGTAGGCTTGTGCGAATAGTGAATTTCAGGTTCGAAGCAAATTCAAAGCGAATAGTGATTTTGGTCGAATAATTTCGAATGGTATTTGAATAGCACATATACCGCATATCATATAAAAAAAATGGCATGTTTGTCATGACCTAACAAACCTGCACATTACTTTAAAAAAAATTGAGACAAGGCCTGTGCGGATACAATTTTTTTTGCATCGAAGAAAGCGACTACTTTGAATAGTAGCATATTTCGACTTTTGCTAGAATGCAAGCATAAGCCTGTAAAATATGTTACTCTTTAAAATTTGCTATATTTAGATTAGAGCATATAAGTAGGTGTACCAAGTTTTTAAACTTAAAAGATGAATCGATGCAAGGGCAGTATTCTCATTTAACCTTGAAGAAAGGCTTAGCGGCAGTGCTTGTCTTTTCTGATTGCTTGTTTTCACGGATTCGCACCACTTCACTGCAGTGAAACAACCTTTACAGGGTAACTTATGCGGACTAATATGCATTTATTCGTTTGTTTCGAATAATTCGAAAACTTCAATATTTTAAATTCAATTAGAAGCGAATTAGAATACTGCACTATTCGTTCGAATATTCGCACAAGCCTATGTGGATGGATTGAGCAGCAGGACTTATTAGCTCCACAGTGGATCTGCCTAAGCAAGCAACACAGTCACGTAGTGCGATGAACATTTCATATAGTGAAAAGAATCGCTATGCCGTGAAGCACACTTCCTGGGGCCTATGCCTCATTTTAAACAAGGTTATCAATGGGGCCTATGCCTCATTTTAAACAAGGTTATCAATGCGGGCTAGTCGTCGTTTCATTGCAAGGTGTGGAGTTTCCCGTCGTCTTTATGAACCTTTGCGTATGTGGCGCTACACGCATTCATTGGATTCTCCTGTTGAATTACCAAAATTTTGAAGTATATTGTGTTCTTTGTCAAATTCGACTGTTTCATAATGCGCACGGCAGGTTTAAAACCAACTATAGTTCATTACAAGCTGCAAATAACCTTCGTCGACAGCTAACCCATTAAAAAATAATTTGCACATGCATGCTCCTAAGAGACAAATTTTTCCATACAGAGGCATGTTCGTGTTGCTGGCTTTAGACAAAAAACCTTAATGTCTTATCGAACTTAATCAATTTACAACATCAATATTCAGGCAGAAAACACTTAGGCTTATTTTTAATATGCCTAGTGCTTACATTAGTGAAGAGGATGTACTTGTGCTTTGAATGAAAGCCGGCTGGTACAACTCTCCGACAGAGTTCGCAGGCAAGCACTCGTAACTTTGTGGATGGAGTTTGTTTAATCTTGGGTTAAGAGAGAGAGAGACCATAAAAAGCCTGAGTTTATATACTGAGTGCTTTTTTTTTCGTCCATTTACTGCATGCTAAATGTATTTGGTACGAAACATGTTCAGCAAGCACTAATACTGTACTGAGCTAGCAGACGGTGGAGGTTGTTGCTCGAGCTTCAGTCATTCATGTGACAACCTCAATTTTCATTCTGTGCAGAAGCTGCTACCTCAAGTAGATGAGCAACTGGACTTGCAGTCACTCATGAGTGAAGAAAACAAAGAGCAGCTCATTTCAATGGGCGTTTTATTTAATGCTTCGGAATTAAAAAAGCATTGATATACATGTCTTCTTTGCTCCAGCTAGCAATATTATATGTCCTCGGCTCAATATTTGGCGGGTTACAGCACACTTTTCTAAGAAAAAAAAAATGAGTGAACTGTCACTATCTTACAATATTGAAAAGGGCCTGCAAGCCAGCCTGCAGATAAAAGAAACAAAGTATCCACCCTTGGCATGCTTTTTGGAGTGCAGAATTCTCATGACATCGGCCTGTATTTAGCATTGGTTCTATTGATGTCATTAGGATCTAGGGATTAAAAGAAACAATGCTTGTATTGCATAGCTTTTGCAAGAAAGAATACAGTACTGCCGATTGTGTACTTTCTCTGCTGGAGTAATGTATTGCATTTTCGTTCGCAATTTTTTTTTTTCCGTCACATTGGAGCGACTGGTGCAGAAAGAAGCAAACTCGCATGCATGACATTATACCATGCTATACACTGTAGCATTCTGAGCAATGATGGGCCATGAACACATCCACCCTCTTGTGGCAAAACTGAACACAGCTATGAACACACGGAACTTCCCTGGCACAGTATCGCACTCTTTCTACACCTCCGAAAAAAATAGGTTATGCAAGCTGCCTACCACAACCTTTGCGCCGAATATAGGTATCGCCGAGTGGGAATGCACAATGAGGGAAATGAAAAAAAGATAAGAATCCTCGAAAACGTTAAAATCAGAGGTACCTTCTTGGCTCTCCCTTTTGATCGTGACAACACATGAATAAAACCTGAACACGTCTGTATAGCAAAAGAGTGATTTTGTGTGAGTACACAATGTCCCAAAAGCAGGAACTAAATGCGACTGGGCTTTCTGTGCCCCTGTGAATCTTCTCCATAACCAAAACAGCGATTTTTCTCCCCTCTCTTTCAACGAATGCACCTCTCTTCGCATTGCCAAAAAACGAACCGAAAGAACTCCGATGGAATGTGAACGTGCATAGCACTGCCTCTGTCGGACTTTGCTGCGAGACTTTCCTTGCTCGACAGTGGCACAATTGTTTCTCTCATGCGAGGTTATTTGGCGCTTTTCACGAAGTATCACCGGTTGCCAGGCCACCACTCGCTGGAGAGTCAGCGAGGGCCAAAGAGAGCACCGATCCAAGTGCCTATTGCATCCCTCGTAGGCTCATAGTATTGTTTTCGGAGCAAGATTACCTCTGGCAGCCTCTGCATGTCGGCAAGTGGAGCCCAATCCCATTCCATCAGAATCACAAGCAGCAAAAGAATGAGCAGCAGAGGCAAAAGGAGCCATGCCACAAGTGCAATTCGTCGTGACTGCTGGGGAGTCACAAACGCTGGCTCTTGGCTTTCATGACCAGTGTCGTATTCGGGCGTCGGGTGAGGGTCGAACGCCAGCTCAGAGAGAGGTGTGTCGGGTGGGTTGCCGCCGTCGTCATCGGCCACGGGTGTGTTTCGGGAGGGCGTTAAGTCGACATGGAGGTCGTGGTTTGGAGGTCGCTGTGCCAAGGAACCGTTCTCCTCGCCGGACTCGCCGGAGTCGAGAAGCTCGAGGGGTGTTCCGAGCCTCTTTGGCTGCTCGTCAAAGGCGAAGCCGTCGCCCGAGTCTTGAGGAACCAGGGGCTGCTGGCTCGGCTGCTGGCTGGTCACCTGCCCAACTGAAATCAAATGACATGGTACTGTTAGGAAAGGGTGGTCTTTTGTGATCAAATTAGTTTCTCATATCTGTCTAGGTATGTGTTGTAGATGGCAAGACAAAGCAATAAAGTGAAATGAAAAAAAAAAAAAAATCAAATCTCAAGTGCGGGAGGCCTAGGCCCAGTCACCTAAACCTGCTGGTTTCTTATAATAAAGTTTATTCCTCCCCCTCCTCAAGTGCGTTCAGAACTTCACAAGGTGACATGAGTTGATACAGCTACACAAATTCATGCATTCTTTGACTGAAAAACTATGAACATAAGCACAGTACACATATTTAGTATCTCCATAATGCGTGCTTTCCGTAAAAAAAATGTACATCTGATGCAAGTCTCCTTATGTGCAGGCTCAGAAAGATTGAGACAGAATTTGGCACAGAGGGAATAGAATAAGTAATATACATTGTCATGAGGTGAAATCATCGGAGACTAACGTAATCATAACTTCACTATTTAAGACTGAGTGAAGTGCAATAAATCACACTGTGTGTTGCGAGTAGCACAAATCATTATTTGGTCCAGCAGTTTCTTTTGCAAAAGCATAACCTTGAATTAGGATTGCATAAAGGTGTGTCTGTTGCCACAATTACATGCAAATGGCTCAGCCGTCCCACAGCGGCACTTACCAGAGCTCCGCAATGGCGAACCATCATTGAGCAGTCGGGACGGTGAACTTGGCATTTCCATTGTCGATGCGGTAGTTTTCTGCCGAAAGGACGGTGGCCGTGTCAGTGTTCTCTGGAACTGGGGCGGGTCTCTCCGAATGTTCTTCATGTCATCCATTACTTCTTTTTCCACTCGGCCACTATGGAAGCAGAAGGTTTTACGATTCTCGTAAAATTTTATTTCTGCACAACCAAAAGTCATAGAAGAAAGTTCTCTAGTTTAGGAAGTAAATGGAGTGAAATAAATGTATCCCAGAACAATAAAGTGATGTACTGATAAACTACAGTAAGACTAAAAGAAAAACAAAGCTTTTTAATTGGTCACATGCTAAAGCAAGTTAATGGACGATAAAAGACAACTAAATGACCCTGTACACTCGGCCACTATGGAAGCAGAAGGTTTTACGATTCTTGTAAAATTTTATTTCAGCACAACCAAAAGTCATAGAAGAAAGTTCTCTAGTTTAGGAAGTAAATGGAGTGAAATAAATGTATCCCAGAACAATAAAGTGATGTACTGATAAACTACAGTAAGACTAAAAGAAAAAAGCTTTTTAATTGGTCACATGCTAAAGCAAGTTAATGGACGATAAAAGACAACTAAATGACCCTGTATCACACTGACTGACTACTGTCATGAGTTGTGGTAGTTTTGCATTATGACATAGCATGAAGAAAGCAGCAACTCATTTGCTGATGTATAAATGTGCTATTTCTCTTTCTAAAAAATCTAAATGGAGAAGCCAAAACTGGTCTGAATTTCATGAGAGCATAAAAAGCACCTAAATATCATTCACTAAAAAAAAAAAACTGCAATTGAGGTGCGGCAATTCGTTATTGTAACAAACTCAAAAAGGCAGTTTAGAATCGGACATGAGCGGAATCTTCCATCTGTTTGGATTAAACTGAGCCAGATCTATTGAAGCAGCACTGTGTAACCCCATCATGATGAAAACAACCACCATGGGCCCGCACCCCATCTTAATCATTTGTGTCCTAGGTGCTTTCCCATCATGTTTTCGTTCCAGAATCGGACTTGCTTCGGCTAGTTGGTACCTAGAGAAGGACATGATGCTGTAGGGCAAAACTTGAACATAGAGAGCAACAGGCCGGCTTTGCTGCCTTCTGCCTTACAGCGTTTCTTTCTGAGTTTCGCACTACAGTGTTATGTACTTCTTTCATTACAAGACTGTACATTTGCAATAAAACGTGACTGAAATGACCATATTTGGCATGAATACCCTCAAGAACTGATCAGGAATGGTGTGGCATCAAACAACGCAAGAAAAATAAAAGTGAGCATTTTTAAGGCCTTAAATAGATGCCAAGAACTGTCCAGAATGATGCGACCTTTACCTGGAAGGACCACTTGCTCAACAAGTCTAGACATCACTATTACGCCCACGCAACAAAAAACAAGGATGGTGTTTTTTCACAAAATTTTACTATTTCAATTATTTGCCGCTATGTAGACTGTCTCTACAAGCTAATCAAAGCCCAAAACAATATGTTTCAATATATAAGAGCAAAATCCAAATTTTACTCCTGAATACTGACGATAGTGGGCTCCACAGATTTTAGCCGCAATACACACTTGAGGTACTTTGGGGGCATTGGCAAAATATTGTTCCAGCAGGCTGGACTTTATATTGTCAGCAGAAAAAAAAAATGTGTTTTTGTCATTTTCAGTTAAAGTCAACTGGGCTCCTTTAGAATAAGCGAAAAAAAACAACATATACAGCCCCTGGTTACAGATTTATTTGTCAAAACAGTCAATTTCTCTCGAGATTCAATGCAACAACTAATTTTTTCAAGGAATGCACTTGTTTACTACAAAAAGTTACTTGCACATACCAAGATTTGCAACTCAGTCATAGTGACAGAGTCTTCTGCAGGGGTAATCTTTTTTTTGTCCTGTCATTTAGTGATGTTTGCAGCAAATCAACAAATGTACACCAACTCACTCTTCCTAGTATTGGGTTCAGCATAATGGACAGGCACAAGCTGTTTCTAGATGCGAAGCAGCTTTTGCTCTGGGCTGCGTCCATCTCTCGGCGACCGTCCACTCCCCCACTGCGCATGCATCAACTCTCTTTCCTCTCCTCGTGTGAGTGTGAGGAGGTGGCAGAGCGCTACCTGCACTTCGTTTCTCCTCTCCGATTTATCCCTCTGCCACAACTGTGCGCTCGTATATAGTGCTGCGCACTCTCGCTCCGTTGCACTCTTCTAGCAGCGCTGAGTGTTCACTTTGTGGCCCACACACGGTAATACACACAAATGGAAGGGGCAGCAACATACGCGATACACAAGATATATACAACTCCACACACAAATGAGACATACACGGAAACATACAAATGGAAACACAAGTGAACATTAGCGCTGTTTCGCATCCCCACATGAGTACATTTAGTGGAAGATGGTGTAACTGTCTTTTTTTACTAAGTTCAGAGTAATCAATCAGCCTTGCTATTTTTTTTAATGGTTTTTACATAATATGCAACCAAAAGTTATAATTCGCACAGGAGAAATGCAAGCTCCACAAGAAACATGAAGCTTGCTGCTCATGGCCAAGACAAGAAATATTTGGTATAGGAACATGTCAAGATCATGCACACCTGTATCGAAGCCGGGAACCGCGGGAGAAGAATCCACCACCAGTAGTCACAGATGGCACCTCGCTGGAAGAAGGTATGCTAAAGGAATAAAACAAAGCATAACAATATAAGTCAACATTGGGCTTCGTGTGCAGGTGCTCTAATAATAAGGCACATGATTGAAAATTCGTGTTTCAATGCAAGTAAAAAAAAACAAAAAAAAAAATAGAAAGTGAACGTTGAGACTGTCCTTTGATGCATTGTGTATTTGTTGCATTGCCTGATTCACAGCTATGAAAAGAGTAATTTGTCAGATGAAAAGTTGGTCTAGTTGGTATCAAGAATAATATGTCACGGTGCAAATAAAATAAGACACATACAAGAAACACCGGAAGAAAAAACGCCGGACTACACTAAAGTAACTTTTGCACGTAATATAATTTTGTGCTTCACTGAGGAAAAAAAAAAGCTTTCCAACTTTCCACATGTATGCAGCCTGGTATTACTTCAACATTATTAGGACAGCATATCAATTTGGAGTCTGAGTGATAGCAGCCTCAGCACAAATCACTGAAAATTAAGCACACTCCTCCACTGCCAGCTCCTGGAAAACGATCTAGGGGGATCAAAGAAAGGCATAACCTCAGATATGAGATCGTGCTTGTAGTGTACTCTGAAGTGTTGGCCATCAATGTGTGCCAGAAATAGACTTACTTACTGGGTTTATGCAACTTAATTTTCATGGTTCAAAGTAAACTTGAGAATATTTGCGTGAATGAGGATAGTAGTACGGTGCAAGTTATATATGGTAACATAAGTCAGCTTTTAATATTTATTATACATAGCTAACATCCTAGCAAATATAAACCCCCAGAATAAACTTTATAATATTAAAAAAATTTGATTGAGGTATTAAACATAAAGTAAGGCTTTGAGACATTGCAGATTTATTTTGTATAGGCAGTTTTGCAGCTGAGTGGTTCTATATTGCAGTGAAAGTGCCTTTTCAAGCAGTTTGTACGCATTTCAAATATACTTCATTTTGTACCCATTAAATACAGGCTACTGCACAACTACTTCAGTGTTTGCTTGAATAAGGGAGTGAAGCTGACAACCTCCCATGTGTAATATGAAGCCACAAGGAAATCCATGCTTGTTTTTCAGAAAGATAAAAAAAAAATTATAAAATTGTCCACTTACGTGAAAAAATAGCACTGTTCGACGGCACATTTCCACAAGTGATGGCAGGCAGACTGGGTTGGACACTTGAAGCCCATCAGATGCTTCTTCTGAAAGACAAATTGTTGAAGAAAAAATATGTGTTGAGCTGTGTTTGCATAAACTACTTAATGAAAAATATGGGAAAACGGCCTCAGATGTGAGAAAACCTCGGCCTAGATATGTTAGCAGCGAATAAACATTTTCCTTCAAAATGTTTGTTATATACTTTATATCTCTCATTATCAGAGTTTGATTGTTGCTTAGTGACACAAAGCACAATTCTATTTAGTATGTGTTATGGTGTCCTGTGCACTGGATTATTAAACTATGTTTCTTTCAAAAACTCTCAGCAAAATAAGCAACAGAGGAGAAACAGGAAGGATGAAAATGAAGCAGTCATTGCTAGAGCGAGAAACGTGTGAACGTTATGGCTCCAATGAAGCCCAATTTGTGTATGGTTTTTAGATGCGTCTTGTAAAGGCCTCATGTTTGTATGGTCCATAGACAGGGATGTTGAAACTGCTGTACAGGTCCCCACAGTACGCATAAGGCTGCTTATACAGGTGCACGCCATGAGGACCTTAGCAACATGGCTGTGTTCATGTGAGCGAGTGGTGAAAAACTTGAGCTCAAAGAAAAATCTCGCTGAAAATGTAGAAAAAGCAGAGACTGTCAACGTAGTGCATGATGTGGCACAAGGAGACTGTTCGTCTACTTCACCAGTGGCAATGTGATTCAGCAACGTCGTTCAACATATGCCAACTATTTCCTGCTGGCCCATAATGTGAAGAGTATCTCATTGCCTAGCTGTCGCTCACTTTTAGTATTGACACATGGCTTTTCAATCAATCTCTGCAGTTGGTGCTTATGTTGCTCACTCTTTTAGCACGAGCATGCGCAAAATTCTTAGTCTGAGGCTGCGTGCCATGCAGTGGTCACATGAAGCAAGCATAACAGGTTAAGTAGGAGGAAAAGCTGGACTGGCAGTTAATCATCACAAACACATAGCATCACGCACTGGCAACGTGCGAATAAGCTCACCTTTGCTTTGACATCCTGGAAGCAGAATGAAAACACACGGGACAGACATTAGGCAGGACTATATCCCACGACAATTCGAACCAAATTTACCTCGGGGAACATCAGGTGAATGATGAACATCTTCCCCTCGTAGTTGATCTTCTGAATGTCGGGCCTAGAGAGCGGTGAAAAAAATTGGAGCCCGGCAAAGATTACTTTGCACATCATGCCATACATTATGTGAAGTGTCTCAGTAAATACGTGTAGTGTCAATTTTGAGCAGTGAACAATGCAATAATACGAGCCCTAATTTTCACTGACATACATAATACAAAAATAGAATGAGGTGTATTACTTAACCACTTTTGAAAACAAGTTGCAATCGCAGATGAGAAGTGGGCCAGAATTTCATGTACAGGGGTGATAAAAAGAAACTCGAACATGGTGGCTTGTCAATGCTCCGCTGTTCGCATTTGTTTTCATCGCACTTTTACCTTGGACACAATAAAAGGATGCAAGGGTCATTTTTGAACGTATATTGGATGACTGCAGAGCATTTTTATTACAGCTTGTTACAGCTGGTCAACGAAATGTGAAGAGCAAAGCATGCAGATGCTACACTGTTTGCATTTGTTTCAATTGTGATGGCACTAAATTCACATAAAAAGTATGCAAAGACTATAACCACTTTTAAAATATGAATTTCAGAATTTCAATTTCAGCTTCGATGGTAGCTATGATACTGTGATGCCAAGTTTGAGGACACGAGTTTAATTACCTACCTAGTGCACCACCAAAAGATAACGCCTTCGTAATTGCTGTCACCTTAAAGCAGAGAACTTTACGCTCTGTTCAGTGTATTACAAGCTATATGTTCCCAGAAGCCTGCAATGTGCACAGATGTCTGCCAGACATAAAAACCAGGTGGAAGAAGTATGGAAATATTTTTGATGTGCGTTTAACGCAATATTTAACAATCCAAAGAAGCATCAGCTATGTACTGACGTGGTAAAACTGTGTTAATCATTACCATTTGAAATTTTATTAAATCTGTATTGCACTGTCTATACAATTAACAAACCTATTTTTCACCTTAAGTCAACATTTGATTAAAAACTGGCAAATTTGGAAAGGCGTCCACAACTCTTCAGTTTCATTTTTATGAGAGTGACATAGGATAGTTGAAAGCTGTATTGCTAAGGACATATGATGACACCTACGGCCAGTGTCTTATAGTGCTAAACATTTCGTTTTTTTTTACTATACATTATCTAGGCTCTTGATCTATTTGCAGGTAGTATGTATGGCTGGGAAAACATTAGCAGCAAGAAAAACTCAATCATTTGTTTAAATACATAACTTATGTGAATAAGCACTTTGTATATAACTTGAGCCACATGTTGCCAGTGCAAAAACTAAAGCAGGGCAGTATTCAAGCTATACCTCCTACAGAAAAACCAGAAGACAAGCACCACTTTCTAGATTTCCACATTTAGAATATACCACGAAATGATGAGAAATTCCAGTTAAGCTTTCTCAAAGTTTTCCCCCTTAGTGTTTCAATAAATATTGCCCAAAATACTATGACGTCTGGGTTGAGACAGTGTTTATTCAGCCCAAGGGCTCAGCAACCAACGGAAAGTCTCAGACCGAGCGTGCATACACACGACGATGATTGTGGTGACACCCAGTGAAGATGAGGACACGAGATTATGACAATGCATATATGAAAAGAAGTGCATGAACAATGCCCACAGTACTAACACACGTTTTCAACTAACCGTGGGAGAATAAATATAGATTGAGGATGGCAAGTTCCAAGTAATGCTTTTAATTCACCAATGCCGTCCACTATTGTTGATGGAGTAACACTAACTACAAAAGTTAGCTGAACAGTGCAACACAAGAATATGCACTTGGTAACGCATGATCACAGCTCAATTATCTCAAAGTGCGACTTTATGCATTACTCAATGTCTCTAATAAACATTTTTGTTCCCTTACCACTTGAAGTGATGGGTCTTGCGACTACCTTGGAAAGTAAGGATGCCCGCATAATTGATGCCCTAAGTACAGCTGATTTCCTTTGTGGTCCTATAAAGACAAAATTTCATTTTGTCGAGAATAAAAATGGCTGATATAACTAAAGCTGAACTTCACACGGCTACCCATGTGTGAAAACTCAAGCAGACACCACGTTAATTTTTTTTGCTGTGCTGCTCATAATGAGCTTTAGGGGAAAAAAAGTTTTCACAAAAACATTTTCAACAAAATACTTTTGTAGGATAGGGAGGCGACCCTTGAAGGAAAGTGCCAGACAAATCTGGAATACTGTCAACTGTCGGGGCCAGTAAAAAGATCCCCGAGCCATAATGTCCAACTTTTTCTTTAAACGATAAACACAGAAGAATTACCTGATGTAGTTATATTATATAATTATATAGTCATGACTGACGTCCTACTGAAAGTCAAATGCTGCTACTATTCAAGGTTGTTTGACTTTCTTAGAATGAAAAAAAAAAAAAACAAAAAACACTTGCATAAAAATCCTATTTAGATTAAAAAAACATTTTTGTGTAGGTTATTAAGGTCATGATAAATATGCCCATTTTTCTTTATATGTCATATGTACAATTCAAATTCATTCGAAATTATTCGACCAAAATCACTATTCGCTTCCAATTTGCTTCGAACCTAAAATTCACTATTTGCACAAGCCTTGGACATAAGGAGGGGCAGCGCCAACGTCATAGGCTATGTAGAAGAACAGTGCTTTGAATGGTGTGGCTGCAATTAAATTACAACACTTGAACCTTAGCTGCACCGAACTTTTGTATGATACTTTCAAGTGAAAGTATTAGCCCAGATTCGAGTACTATGTATAGTAAAACAATACAAGGGCACATGAGTATCCACACAAGATCATCTGTTTTTAGCAATTTAAATGAAGGGCTTTGGCTAGGAAACATTTGTTTTTGTAGTGAAAAAGGCATTTTCAGGATGTTCTGAAGTACAGTAGGATCCTGCTGACACGTTTCTGAAGAGACTGGGGTAAAATAAACGTAGTGGGAAACTCAACAGCCTAAAATTGGGAAAAACAGAAAAAAAAAGATATTTAGTGATAATGAAGTTTATTTTCCTGTTTAATTGCGTGGTGTATTTACTCACGCCTGGTCAGCATGAAAAGTTTTTCGAGGACGTGCTAGGCAACATCCTTCTAATAAACCTAGTGCCACCATGGCAGACAGACAGCTCGCAACCGATCACTTTTGGCGATACCTTTGCGAGATCGACACAAGATGGGTCTGTGTTTCCGAGTGATAACGCAGCATCTGTTGGCATTGTGTGGCTCGCAGGAGACTGTCGAAGACCTAACAAAAGTGAAAGAGATTGCGAAAGCAAAGGACCCCTGCTCTGCCAACTTCTAAACTTCACCACGGGTGCATGCATTGTTTCACTCAGTCACGATGTAGTCAGTGGATAGAACTGCAGAGCTGAGATCGGTGTTATCCACAGTAATACAATCAATGCATGCGATTCTTTTCACATGCATTAAGAGTTGTAGACATGAAAGAATTAAGCCCACATAACATGACTAGAAGGCAAGCGAGTTAGGGGGAGACAGAAGGTTAGGTGGGCAGATGAGATCAAGAAGTTTGCGGGTGTAAATTGGCAGCAGCAAGCACAGGACCAGGTTAACTGGCGGAACATTGGAGAGGCCTTTGTCCTGAAGTGGACATAGTCGGGCTGAAGATGATGATGATAATGAACACGACTAGTACAACAAATATGACCAAGAACTGCACAAACTTTTCCAAAAAATTAACGATTATGGTGAGTCCATGCCAATGCGATGGCGAAAACAAAAGTCTTTCTCTGTCTTGCTTTCATGAGCACTAAAAATAAGTTTAAAACTAACTACGCCATAGATGCAATGTTTGCAATACGAATCTCGAAGGATATATTTGAGCTCACAGCAACCGGAAGTGCATTGCGTGTTGCCTGCACCACTCATGCGACTAGTATTATGATCATGCCAGGCCAAGCTGTGTGAAAAGTAAATATGGCCACTCTCTTCCATAGTTGTTTGGCCAACTCGCAGCGCACTTCGCGACATATTATACGGTAACAGTCCTGCAGTTTCAATGTAACAACAGGATTCCCAATACATTACATTATATCCTATGCGAGCTATGCCCAGAATGGCGAAACACAACGCAACAGCCTGGAAAACACAGCAATGAGGAACGTAACAGTGGGATTCTACTGTACGCACTTCAGGCAAAACTGGGTGATGCACAGGTATGCTAACACATTTGACACATAACAAACACAAACCTTCACAGGATGAGGGTCCACACCGTACGTATCGAGGAGACAGGCCTTGCGTAAGAAGTTGGCCTCTGCCACAGCTGGTACTTGGCCCCTGACAAAAGAAAGAGGACATTTCTTCAGCCAATTCATCACGCAAGTTTAGGTGACAGAAGCATGCCTTTCATTAGGGCACTTTATAGGTGTGAGTGAGTCATTGTTTTCTTAGGTGCCAAAGCCGGAAATGCAGTGTAATGCACAGATGGGCATGTCAGCTTTGGGAGACAACAGGAAGAGGCAATAAAAAGCTCAGATAATGAAAATGATAATGACAAAACAGTGCACTCCTGCTGACCAATAAAACAGTGAGTGTAGTACACACATTGACATAAGTGTTAAAAGAGAAGAAAAAGACAACTGTATCAAGAAAACAGGTGCGACAAAAATGCACAGTTATGCTGTTGCAATGATTAAAGTTTGCCATTAATAAAGCAGCCTTTTCTAGCCTTTTACAATTCTAAGGAAGTTAACCTTTGCCATCTTATTCATAATAATGTGCTTTGCACAGAGTTTTACTGATACCCTACAAACTTTCGGGGTTTTGTTAAAACTGGTTACAACAGTTAAACAAGCGTTCAATGAGCGCAAGCAAACCTGAGCTGCTGCTGGTGAATCTCGGCAATCTTCTCCTCCAGACGAGGAGTCTGTTTCAAGAGAAGTTTGAACTCCGAGACATAGTTATCTCCGTGCTCCTCACTGTCATAATCTCCAAGTTCAGCTGTAGCGGAGAGAAGACAAAAGAAAAAATTAAAACCTTATGAAGCAAGGTTAAAAATTTCGTCCGAAAACAAATTTTCTTTTCGAGGCCGCTTCCCCTCATCATGCTTCTATTGGCGTTAGCAGTCATCACTGTAGCTGATACTTCATTGGCCACACAAGTTCAGCGCCTGACCGCTCAAGTTTAGCACCACACATATGATCATGGATGCAATAAGTGCTTCTATGAAGATAAGCACAAAGAACGCACTATTACATGCACAACACGATTCACAAACGTTGACACAGTATTGCGCTCAGTGATGATAACCGGCACCAACGGTAAAGAAGCATTAAAGTTTTCTATGTTTCCTTATTTCTTACCTTTAGTGCACAAGTATGCATGCTCCAGATTCTCAAAGTGAATGAAAAATCTAGTTTGAAAATAGTGCTGTGTGAGTGTGGTAATGTGTCCTCTTGAAGTGTGTCACGTTAACAAAACTATGCCGAATAAGTTTTGTGTCAGTGATCAGGAATGAACTAGCCCACTTGCAGAAATGTCATCAAAAACCATGTGAGCATCACTGAAGTTTTGACACTATATTTCTTCAGACAACACATTAGCATCTTCAAACCTTCAACAAAACATGAAGAGTCTACACTGCCAAGAAACGATTTCCTGGCGCTTCTGCGATATTTCCCTAAGCAGAACTTTAACAAGCATATTATGCAGTAACGTGGAGTTATATTAGGACACATTATTTAGCAGTAGGATCTACATGCTTTGCTTGTTCGGTCGCAGAGCCCATACCTGCCAAGCAGCTGCTTTTAAGCACTAAGTCCCTCCCCTCCTCTTTTTACATTATTACCAGATAGAATATCAGCTAGTCATGTTCGCCCTCACACAACTGCCCTTCAGTGTTTTAACACAGTGACAAGCGATGAATATTTATATCTAGAAGCTAACACAGTTGATTTAATGATAGATTGCTTGATGAATAGCGTTTACGTGGAAGCTAAATGTGAACAAGTCACAAACGGTAAAAATCAGATGGTACATACATTGAATGATCAACGCGGCAAGCAAAGCAGAGTCATTTGGAGGGCAATATAGGCGTCCATGAAGCAGATCTCTTCTCAGCTGAAGAAAAATCTGGTACCTGATTACAAAAGAAACAAAGTAGAATATATATTTACGATATATTGCATTATATGTAGAATGCAGCTTTGTCAAATGTGTGTGTTGTCATATGTGACTCATTACAACTTATTTTTTTAATTTCCTTCTTGAAAAGTCAAACTGTATTCAGTAATATCTTGTGCTCTCCAAATGCTACCATGCCCTGAAGAATGTGTTATATACAAGCAGTAGAGTCTAGTCAAACAGAACCTGAAGGGACAGGAAAAATTTTTCCTTCTCTTTACATCCCCAACCACAACCCCAAAAACGCTTGCACTTCTTTTTGACACAACCACCCGGGCAAACTTTTGTAGGAGGCACCAATTGTAAAGAAACTAAAATGATCACGTGAGCAACAAGTGCTCTCGAAATGTAGGAATTCAGAGGGAATGAACAAACAATTAAATTCAAGAAGGCAGATATTACGCCATCAGCAAGGTGGCAACTCCAGAAGACAAGGTACAACTTCACCCGAAGTCTGGATGCATGATTATTTATAGAACGTAAAACCAGAAAACAAAATGAATGCAAAGCTCGAACTTGGCTGCACACACTGGCAGAGCACGGTCACTTTTCAGAAAACAACACATAACGAACCCTTAATAATGAATTATTACAGAAGAGCAGTTCAGAAATATGAGAAAAATAAAATGAGGCATGAAGGAAAAGTAAAACATTAAGCCAATGTTTTTCGGGCATCTCACTGTATTCATCGTATTCTGTGCTGTTCCTGTGTAGTGAACTGACAGGCCTAAGTGAAATACTAATCACACAAAATGTTAACAATCTTTCACAATGATGCCACTTCATTTTGTTACCTTCACATAGCATAAGGTGTGTAATACACGTAATAACACTGGCAACCACAAGTTAACTCCATCGCAGGTAGCGAGTCAAATGTAAAAGAAACAATGTCATACTATTTGCACATACTGCCAACATAGGAGTACAAGCATATGCTGGTAACTTGATTCATGTATTTCAGGAGTTGGTACTTCTCTACATCACCACATGTACATGAAATCAGCATTTCTTTTATACATGGCTGGATAAAAGGAAAAAGTAAGGTTATGTCTATGAGGTGCCAAAACCACTTTGCATGATTACAAAGTGCCAAATCTTGATCGATTTATCATCTGTGGTTAATCTAAGTATAAATGCATTTTTCAGGCACTAATTTATGGTTGCCATGGACAGAGTTGAACGCGTCACCTCCACAGTGCATGCTGCAGGCAGTGCGCAACATGACTGGATAAAAATTTTTGGCCCAGCATACTTATTGATTGATATGTGAAGTTTAACGTCCCAAAACCACTATATGATTATGAGAGACGCCGTAGTGGAGGGCTCCGGAAATTTAGACCACCTGGGGTTCTTTAACGTGCACCCAAATCTGAGCACACGGGCCTACAACATTTCCGCTTCCATCGGAAATGCAGCCGCCGCAGCCGGGATCCGACCAGCATACTTATAACAAGCTGTTGTGTACAGCACAGCTTTGAAGCCTATGCACGGCCTTGTCAGCTTCTTCGGAATATGAGATTTCACTTAGCAAAACATAGACATTCTACAGAATTATACAGTAGCATTATTATTACAAATAAGTATTAAGCTAATGATAGTGCAGGTCGTTCGAGCAGGCATGAGCTCACCTCGTTATTTCTTCCTTGAGTCGGAAGGGGTCTTGAGGATAGAACTTGACGCGGAAGCAGAAGACGATGGGATTCATACCTAGTAAGTAGACAAGCATGCAGGAAAAAAAGATACTGTAGCTAATGTTTCTTTATGATTACGGAAAATGCTTTCACAAATGCCCACAGAGCAAATTTTGAAGTGAAATGATTACCAGAATAACGATTACAGGCTAACTTATCACAGCTTATGTGTGCCAACATTAATGTTCACAAGCCGAGTGAAACTTCTCATAAGCAACTTTCCTTGATGTGCTTGTCATCAAGTTCTCTTAAACCTTTCAGGACACATTCAGCCTTAGTATTTACATCTGTTATTATCAGCACCAAATTTTTTTTCTTTTCTGCAATCTTTTTTTCTCCCCAAATAGTACCTTTTAACTCTGTATGACAATGCCAGCATTTTTGCAAAGAAAGGAGGAATGAATAAGAATGCCTAATGCTTTGTTTACATGCCACTTAAAATATTTACATGCTGCTAGCTAACTTGAGTTATGTATACACCTGAAGGTAAAAAAAATGTATAAATGTATCCTTCAAGCACTGAAATATAATTGGCTGTTAATATACATGTCAAATTTGCACGGCATTATTATAATGTGCTACACACTTCATTGTGAGAAAAAAAGGCATGGTGACAAAATGTTGCGTTGTGAACTTTTTGAATGGGCCTTTATGATTAAAATATAATATTCATCATTGATTCAAGGTCACTTTTATAATTGTAAAATTATGTTTACCTACATATTATTTATCGTTAGTGTGATTGGGAAAAATGAGGCACTGTTTTATAGCACCGTCTCATTTTTCCTTCCTTTGGTAAGGTTTCATAATATACTACAATAAGCCAAGAGTGATGTGTATTTCCCTGCATACCTTAATGGGTGAAAAATCATTTACAATTAAGGCAACAGTAACATGCATAGCAACAATATACTTTAACAGTGAAGTGCAGTTTACAGTCATGACAATACTGACAGCAATAATGTGAGCCCGATAAAACTACTTTAGCCAGTCATTGTATACACATAGAAAAACGGAAAAAAATTATGCAAAACGATAATTTGTCAAAACGATAATTTGTCAAAAGGCGGCATAGTGAGTAAACATGAGAAAGAAATAAAAGGTTCCAGCACGTAGTAGTTTTTGCGGCTTCTACATAATAATCTATTTGCATTTACCACTGATCCAGTAACTTTTGCCACCGGTTGTATAACAGCACACATTCAAGAAGGTCACACCAATTTCATTTAGTCTTTACAGCTACTCTATTAGACATGGGGCTTATGTGGCATTTCACAAGAATGTGCAAAACTCACCCTTCACCTGCTTGATGACCGGCTTTGTGAGGTCCAGCCAGTGCTGCGAAATTTAGAGAAAAAATGTTTGAGGCGTTGTTCATATAACACTGAAGCCTGTGAACAGTTTAATACACACCCGCTGCTTGTGACTATCGACATATCTGAGGCCAAAGTAGTCCTTTTCCAAAAGGTTCAGGGCGTTGCACACATAGTCAAGTATGTATTGGCCTTTGCAGAGATGCTGGGAGAGTGAGAGAAAAAAAAAGATTACTGCCTGGTCGGGACCCAACTTGTGGTTGAACACGCGTACATGTTCTGAGAAATATATATATATATAAAGGTGGCGACATATACTATAGTGGTGAATGCCTTCATACCAATTCCGAGACAGTAGTTTCCGATTCCGTTAGACGTAATACGGGAGAATGCGCATGACGGAATACGTGTATTCTTCGAATTAGCCGCAAGTGAAGCCGTGTTACGTGTGAACGTGCGAACGAAATTGGCTTCACAACGCCGAAGCGTGAGAGGATGCAAGTGGTTTTACCGCAAGCGTGGGCATACAACCGTCGCGCGTGACAAATTATTCACGGTCATGAGCGCTTCTAAAGCAGAGAATACCGGAGGAAATCATGACAGCAGCGCTTCTACAGCGGCTCCAGACGGTCGCTATCTTATCCTGAGCGCAAACACAAGATAACACATCCCAAACATTCATCGATCTAAACAACTGCAGTGAACCTGCAGATATAAAAAAAAGAATGCACATAAATTAACGCGTCTAGACAGGAAATTTCAACTCGAGGCGACGGCGCGGATCAAACAGAGGAAAAAGACTTGCGGAATGAAATACTTCATTACGCGAAACGACGAGTCGCGAAAGGAAAACACGAAACTAAAGCACGCCAACAATGGCCACACACTTTCTGACAACACTTTTACTTTCCTGCCGTCCCCGCTCTCACGAATCCGGTGAAAATGCCCACTCGCGAAGCTCTTTTCTACGCGCCTGGCCCACGCGTACGTGGTGGGTTTGGTTCGTAGTTGTAAAACTTCACTCGCGAAACTGAACTTCTGGTCGCAGACTCCCACCTGAAAATCACACTGCAACACTTCGCTGTCGTCCAGCAGGCGTATGGTGCACTTGTACTCGGTACTGACGTCCTTCTTGCTTCCCAATTTGAACATTGTGGCTCGAAGGGGATGGCTTCTACCAACCGAGGTTCCAACACAGGTGCTAGTTCCACAGCCTTGGACACTTGACGCTGTCTCCAGCAGCCAAACAACCTGCCATCAACATTTCTATCCTCGCACCAGACGCCAACAGCCCAGCAGCGGAGAAAGAGCGTCGCGTGGTGTCAACCTCCTCGCCACGCTAGCGATGAGCGTACCGCCGTAAACCGCGGTAGCGAACATCACGACGCCGAGCTTTTCAGGCACAGCCTCCGAGCCCCGACGATGGACAGCGCCACGCACCGCTGAGCACTGGACAACGGACAAATACGGCCGCTACGCAGTCAAACAATGCTGGGGGTCAAGGAACTGCATCGGCGGGCTAGTAACAGCTCACTGTAGCGATCGCTCTCGATGCTCACAAAACTTGCCACCTACAATAATAGGCAACGACTCTGCTGGTTAATGACAGCGCACGTCTGCGCATTTAGTAGAAACGCTTGTTGTGCGGCGGCGCTAGCTACCTACACTTCTTACAACATCTCACGTTATTTGAAACAGTCAATAGCAATATAACTGTACATAAAGATGTAGCATCAATTAAGTTTTGTAGAGGCTTAAATAATATTTGATAACTTTACAAAAATTGTTGCGTAAACTTTTATGTTCTTTTAAAAAAGTGTTTAAGTTACGAGCGTCCTCTGGCAAAAAACAGCTTAACTAAATTTAAGATCTAAGGCTTGAAGCTCTTAGGTGGTGGTCTTCGCTCTTCTGTAGTTTTCGCTTATGACGTCGACGACGCACTTGACGCGCTGCACGCGCGCGATCGTCACTGGTTGGTTGTTCCATGCGTATTACACTGGCCATCGATTGGTGCAAGTTATTAATCTGTCTTGATTGCAGCCTACTAGGCTTCCTCATCACGTGCCGTACGAGAGGAGGCGGAAGTGGGAAGTGGTGTGGCTACAGCAGTAGCAGCTACTACGCGCACTACGCAACAGAGCTGCGCTGCCATCTAATTGCACACGCTAGACCCGCCGTGTGTGGTCCATCGATTTTTCTCCTCTTGTCAGCTGGTGCTGGGTTTCGTTGGCGACCATGAAAACATAATGGGCGCGTAAAGCTCGGCGCTTCTCTGTTTACATTCCTCGCCGACAGTTTTATTCTTTGTGATAGGACGCATTTTTTCTTCTAAATTGTTTTAATGAGTGCTTGATGACGGCGCTAATTGTGCGTAATTTCAACCACTTTAATATGCCTGCATGATTGCCAGTTAGGCATGCACGACAAATGCAAAGGCCCCGCCGCGGTGGTCTAGTAGCTAAGGTACTCGGCTGCTGACCCGCAGGTTGCGGGTTCGGATCCCGGCTGCGGCGGCTGCATTTCCGATGGAGGCGGAAATCTTGTAGGCCCGTGAGGTCAGATTTGGGTGCACGTTAAAGAACCCCAGGTGGTCGAAATTTCCGGAGCCCTCCACTACGGCGTCTCTCATAATCATATGGTGGTTTTGGGACGTTAAACCCCACATATCAATCATCACAAATGCAAAGACACGGCCAGGGAGTTCCTCATACGTAAAGCAGTAAAGTGGCTTTAATATATACGTGCAAGTATTTCAGGGTGGGTGAAAGAGGATGGAAAGGAAGATAGAGTAGGCGTCTGGAGCGTGCATATACAGGACAACAATCTGTACAGCTTTATAATGTATGGCCGTTTATAAATAGGGATTATACAACAAACCGCGCATAAGTAAACTTCCAAATGCCTAAAGAAGACACCCACTTTTCCCTCACAACCTTAAGAAGGGAAACCTACGCGTTTGTCAGGTGAATGGTGCTAATTTGGGCAGCATAAGGGCACAAGTAGAGTGGTCTTGAGAGTTTTTTGTTAATAATTTAACAGATGGGAGGAATGACGAAGGACTAGACTTGTAGACGTTACAGAGAAAAAAAAGTGACCGATCACAATTGCAATTATTGTTGTGGGAATTGAGGCTGGCCCGCTGCCTTTGCGCGGGCTTTGCCGCCTCTTTTCTCATGTCCCGACATGTCTGCCCTCCTTTGCTGTCTGCCGCGCTGGGAAGGGCGGAGTGACGTTTAACTCCCTCACCCGGTAGCGGATGTTGACTGTGGCGCCGCGCGGGGAGCCCCCCGAGAGGTTTTCGCGCGCTGCGTCGGGAGCGGGGAGTACAGTCCGGGACGTCAAACGGTGAGCCACGCATTCTTTTCCGTCCGTCGAGTCCCGTCGCCCGGGGCTCGTCGGACTTCGCTGACGGCGCCTCGCGCCCGATGCGAACGCTCACCTTTTGTTGCCCCGCTGCGTACTCACGGCCGAAGGGCAGTACGGTGTCCTAGTGCGTGGCCTAGCTACGCCGACCCGTCTCCCTTCGAAGCCAACGCGAGCGCCTTTGCCCTCGCTCGAGCAACCGGGCCCCTTTGTCCCGGTGTCTCCGTGGATTACCTTTACCGCGGAGACGTGCTCGTGGCACCCCTGTGTAGTACTTTGTGCCCGTGGCGTGGATAAGCCTACTTGCTTTCCCGCCGCGCCTTTTTGCAACGGGCTGTACTGCGTTGGTGTTGCCACAATAAAGTGTTGCGACTTGAGCAGTATCGTGTTTCCCGCCACGGCGACGGTTAAAGCGTGCCCTGCGGCTCGCTAAGACCGGACCCACGCTGGTGGCCGTACTCCTTCGGGATACGTGTACACCACACTGGCGCCCAACGCGGTATCAAAAGCTCTAGCTTTTGATTGCTCTTAGCGAGTCAGTTCGCCTGCGCGATTCGGGCTCGTCGCAACATGGCTGCTTCGCGGGACTTTTGTCCGCTGTCCCTTTTAGCGGATGCCGCGTTGCACACGGAGGCCATTGCCTCTATGGACGGGAACCCTTCTGCACCCGTCCGTGTCGGCACCCCCTATTGCGGTGACGACACGGGGCGCCTAGCCGCTCCCTTTGGAGATGGCGCGTCGCTTCGGAATGGGCCTCTTGCCCTACCCGCACGTTACGCACAAGCGCCTCCGACGCCCGTCCGTGTCGGCACCCCCTATTGCGGTGACGACACGAGGCGCCTAGCCGCTCCCTTTGGAGAGGGCGCGTCGCTTCGGAATGGGCCTCTTGCCCTACCCGAACGTTATGTCTGCTTCGTGGCATGCCGCGTTGCACCAAGAGGCCACCGCCTCTATCGACGGGCGCGCTTCGGCGCTCGCCTGTGTCGTCACCCCTTTTTGTGGTGAATACACCGCTACGTGGTAGCTGACGCGCTATCCCGTGCCCCCTGTTGTCTGCCGAGAACCTGGATTTCGGTGCGACGGCCGCTCGCGGTGCCTTAGCACATGCAAGCGTCGGGGGCGAAACAACAGCTTCGCCGCCATTCGGCGAGAAGGGTGAGTCCCCATGCGGACAAACCTTGGCTGCTAACCAGGTAAGCGGCGCACCGCGAAGCGGCCGAGCGGGGGAGCTTTCCGAAGGCCACGAGGCCGAGAGTGAACCCGTAACGCCGACTCACGCGGCGGTTGCTGCGGTCCTGAGTGGGCGCGATACCAGACTCCCCCATTTTGGGAGAATGGGAATCGCTTTCAGCAGCGAAGAGCTACTGAAGGCTCAGCAGGGTGATCCGTTTCTAGTCTCGGAGGGACGGAGCGCCGTATACGCTGCTTGCTTTGCGGCGGGCGCCGTTAAACCGTCTTGAGAGGCGCGCCGTTACGCTGCTTGTTCTGCGGCGGGCGCGATTAGGGGGCTGAAACAGCGTGTGTCGCTGAGTCCCCGGCGGATTCATTTGCTGGACCATGACGGGCTCCTGCTGAAGTATATAGCCACTGACGACGAGTCCATAGACCCGTTTAAGGTGGTTATGCCCAAAAGTCTGAGAGCCGCACTGTTGCGATCCTCTCACGACGAACCCATGGCTGGTCACCTGAGTGGCTCGAAGGTTTTTGCAAAACTGAGCCGCGTTGTGACCTGGCCCGGCATGAAGCGAGACATTTTTCGCTACTGCCGTTCTTGCCGCGTCTGTCAAACGGTGAAATCAAGGGGTGGCAAACCGCCCGGTCTGATGGAACCGATTGTCAGTGAGCGTCCGTGGCGCGTACTAGCTGAAAGATCCCCTTTGGGAAAACTCAGCCGTGCCCACATCGCAGACCTGAAGCCCTTTGTCATGGTCTAACGAGCTTGCGCCTGTGCCCTGCGGCACTTCGCGCAAGCAACGGGCACACCCGGAGCGGCGGACCGCATTCGGACCCCGCACCGGTATAAGCTGAGGAAGCGGTCACCTCTGTGATTTCGCGCCGGACGGCGGACTTCTCCGCAACCGAAGGCCCTCAGTTTACTGTCTAGCCTCAGTATAGGTTAGCTTCTTTACGGCCTCTTCTCGTAAAGAAGTTGACCCCGCCGTGTCTGCTGCCAGTGTTTCTTTTTTTTTTTGAAGTGTTCATGTGTATTTTATGTTTATTTTTGTCTAATATTAAGTGTTATTTGTGTTTTATGTTTTTCGCCATATGTTGAGTGTCATTTTGCTCTGTGTTTACTTTTTTTTCCCGTGTTCGTTTCGTCTACCGCGAAGGGAGCTGTGTGTGACCTTGAGTGTCGGTGCTTGCCGGGAGAGAGAGACGAAGGACGCTTTGCGCCTACGCTCGCGCAGCCGTCGGCGGTGTGTGTGCGTGTGTAAGTGCGTGACGCTTCAGTGTGAGCCCGCGAAGAGTGCGTCATGGCTTCCCCCCATCGATGCGGACGCTGGAGGTGCTGGGGGGCATTGACCCACTGACGTCAGACCATCTGGCTGTGCTCTGCTCTCGGCCGTCGTCGAAGAAGCCCCGCTGCCTTTACCACCATGGCTCCTGCGCGAGGCCAGCTGAAAGCAGCTATATGCTGCCGGCCAACGCCATTCGCAGCCAATTTGGGTCGGCCTCCCTGAGCACTGGAGAGGCCCGGCTTCGCGCAACGTTCCAGCTTCATCTTCGAGCCAGAAATGCGGGGCCTCCGAAGCACAGCCGAGGCAGCGTTCGTCGGACTCGCTGCTTATCAAGACCAGCAACGAGCCATCAGTGAGCCACCCCCCCCCCCCCCACTTCCGGTACATCTGACCTCGCACTCGGGCATCGCACCCAGCGGACACTGTCACGCCTTTCCGCCCCTCCGCGCAGTGGACGCTATCCCCCTTCAGCACCACGAACACTAGTGCCACGTTTCTGTGCTCCCTTCCGCAGTTATTTGTATAGTGTCGTGTGTTTACTTTGTTATTTATGTTTTTGTTCCTCATTTGTAATCTTTTTTTTTTTTAAGCAGCAGTAGCAGGGCTGGACTGAGGTTAGCTGTCGCTCATAGCAGTGTCATTTTAACTGCATGGGTGACGTCCGGCTGCCTTTTGCAGACCGGTAAAGGGCAAATTTAGGAGAGGGGGATGTGGGAATTGAGGCTGGCCCGCTGCCTTT